AGGTGGGCCAGTTCACGGGGCAGCGGTGGGAGACCTACCGACTCTACACCTTCAAGAGGCCCGGCTCCCCCTATCCCGTCGCTCAGTAAGCCCACCTGCCCGACCTGTTGCACCCGCGCACGGTTATGCAGTAAACACCCAAGCGGCAAAGCCGAAAGACGATGGACTCGATTTGGATCAAACAGTGAGCAAAAGGAAACAAGAGATGAAGAAGCACCGAAGTAGAGAGATGGATCCAAATCAGGACCTGATGATGAATGAGTGTAGAGGAAGCAAAAAGGATACGGCACGGTGGATTCCCGGGTGGTCGCCCACCCCAGTACTAACACCGCCTGGCGCAGCTTAACTTCGCTGTTCGGATGGGAAGCGGTGCTTTCTGCGCAGTATGGCCGTATCCAACAGCCACACACTCTCCACAGCCACCAGATGGAGACTTTCTTTGTCATTTGTACAGTGTTCCTTTGCTTCTTTTGTAGGTTCAGCTAGAGGGATGCCAGCACATGAGCAAAGGTCCACTGGCACCGAAAAGAGGGTCCTCGTCTGGCAGGGGCAGGGCACGAATGCGTTCGTCGGAAGCCGGCCGCTCACCGCGCTTGCCGTATTGCATGTCCACCTTTTGGCCTCGTGGGTAGAAGCCCACAACCGCGAAGTCTTCGCTCTGCTCCAGACACTTATGTGCCACACCTGTCCACCCCACGCCCTCAGGGGGGTAAGTGAGCGGCTCAAGCTTCATCAATGGAATGACATCAGCAAGAACACCACCAAGTGATCCTACCTGCGGGGATGATGATTCGTGTCTCCAGCCCTAACCTTGTGGCTGATCCCGTCATCACCTCCAAACTGCACGGTGGCTGTCCCAGCATAGACCCCTGTGCGAAAGTGGCGATGGTGAGTGTGCATTCTGCTACATTTCTACTCAGGCCACGATGGTGGCTAAGAAGGCGCCATGTACCAAGGCCTTCGTGTGCAGTGGAGTGGTAGTGATGGTAGGGGTAGACGCCATCACGCCAGACATCACCCCACTGATGCTTCACCACCAACCGCTCGAACACGGCAGCCGGGTCTGCAGCCCCCTTCAGGTCTACCGATTGCTCGTATACCAACAACGGCAGCTTCTTGCTGTTAGGGAATCCCTTTCCATCATCTGCAGCTCACCTTTTAATCAGTTGATGTGACCCTTGGTACAAAATAAATAAACAATAAAATCATACCGTTGATGAGGAAGGAGTGGACGTGGCAAGGGGCGCCTGATTGTCCCTTCCCGAGCACTGTGTGTGCCAGCAGAAGTGGTGCAGACCGCGTGGTGTCCATCTGGCGGTACGAAAGTTAAAAAGAAAGAAAAGAGGTGTGAATATTGTATTTTCTTCCTCTAAGTCCTAAGATGAGGAGGCTCGCGTGGCAGCAAAGCTCCCGATTGGGATCCTCTGCCATCTCGCGGACACCCCTCCAACCCCGTCGCGCCCTTCCTGCCCTTCTTTCATCGGCACCTTCTTCACTGCAGTCCCTTTCTTTCCGATTTTCGATTGCGCCGGGTCGGCACATTCGCTGCTACGCTGACCGCTCTGCCGCCCCCGATTCTTCGTCCTCCGCGCCAGCCTCTCCAACAACGCCTCCCGTGCAAGATGGTCATCATCACGAACATGGCGGCCCCTTGCGAACGTATGACCGGCTGGTGCAGGAGAAGAAGGTCAACGACGACCCTTCGCAACGGCGAGCGCTACAGCACCTCCAGGCCCTCCACGACCAGCTCGTCGCCGAGCAGAAGGCCCGCCACCACCTCCACCATCAGCAACCTGCGTCGGCGGCAAGCCTGCATGTGCCGCACCACCCACCGCGCCAAGAGCCCGAGCCCGAGCGTGCGCCCTGGTGGAAGGTACGGTGGCCCACACTCGGATGGACGGACACGCACACAAGCTTACCGCACTCACCTTTTCCCATGAGGCAGTTGGCGTCATGGTTCGGCAGCGTCGATTCGGAGGCGGCTGCGGCGACTTCGCCGAGCAGCGATTCCAACGCGGTGAAGGGAGTCTACATGTATGGTGACGTCGGTACCGTTTGCTGTTTGAACTCTCGGGCGTCCCTCTTCTGCGTTCTGACTCGTCTTGCGGCGGGTTGGGGCTCTATGTATCAAAGGCTGCGGAAAGACATTTTTGATGGACATGTTCTACGAGGGTGCGCCCGTGCCCAAGAAGCGCCGTGTGCACTTTAACGCGTTCATGCTGGAGGTACAGCCTCCTCCGTGACGCCATCACCCTTTCCCGCCAGGGTTCTTGGCGGCACTGACCTTCGCACACGTGATCTCCTCTCGCAGGTGCACAGCAAGATCCACAAGTGGCGGGAGGGCAAGCGCCGCGCGCTGGAAAAGAAGTTCGAAGAGGATCGAGAAGGTAACCTTTGTCCATACCGTGTTATCATGAACCTACATTATTCAAAGGTCTGCACATCCACTAACACACGTCTTCGTGAACACACAGGACCCGACCTGCCCAACTTCAATCTGGGCGTCTCGGCCTCGCTCGGCGAGGAGGAGTGGGGCGATCCCATTCCGCCGCTTGCCAGAGAGCTGGCGGCTCAGGCTCCCCTGTTGTGCTTCGACGAATTCCAGGTTCGACTTTCTCTCCTTCGTGTGACTACCCAAGGAGAAGACGCAACAAACTACTCCATTGGTTGACGCGTTGCCGTTCAGGTCACCGATGTTGCCGACGCCATGATCCTTCATCGGCTCTTCTCTCTCATGTTTACGCACGGCCTTACGGTCGTCGTTACCTCCAACCGGCCGCCAGATGGTATGCTCTCGCCTCGCGGCACGCTACGTGTAGCGAGGAACGAGCCTCTCAAATTCTGTCTTTCTTTCGGTTGCGTTCTGCACGGTGCAGACCTGTACAAGGGCGGGCTGCAGAGGGACCGATTCCTTCCTTCATCGACCTCATCAAACGGCGCTGTCTCGTTCATGACTTCGGGTCCGGTCGCGATTATCGCCTGCGAGGTATGCCGCCTCTCTTCTACCAGCGTGCAGCTATTGAACGTAACTAATTGCTTGATTGACCGGTCCGCACGTTGCATACAGGAACCAAAATATCAATATTTATCAAGTGTACGTGCAGCGCCCGAAGTACTCACATTTCGGTGATGACACTGATCCATTACTCTTGTGCGCCTATAACAGCGAAAAGCCTGGCGTCGACGTGGCTAACAATCTGGAGACCCTCTTTGGTGAGCTCACACATCACGTACCTGGTAAGCACAACGGCCTCGCGCACTGGTGTATTGCTAGCTTTTGCTCACCCCACCTTCCGTACATTCTGCAGCGAAATCGATAAACATTAGCGTGGGCGGACGCAAGCTCTTCGTGCCCCGAGCAGAGAGGGGTGTCGCCTTCTTCTCCTTTAGCGACCTTTGCAAGCAGGTACGAACCACATTCGCCATCCTCTCTCTCTCTCTCCCTCTCTCCTGCTCGATGTGATGTCTTACGTTTTCATTGTTGGCTCTAGGCGCTCGGTGCGGCGGACTACATCGCCATCAGCCAGGAGTTCCACACGGTGATCGTGAGCAGAATCCCGAAAATGGAGGACCGGCACCGAGAGGAGGCCAAGCGATTCATCACTCTCATTGACGAACTCTACAACCACAAGGTGCGATCACCACGCGTGCTGTTCGCGCGGACCCAATGTCGTGGGGCTCACGCTGTTTGCTGTATAACGACGCAGGTCAAAATGATCTGTTCGGCCGCTGCCGAGCCAAGGCAACTCTTTGCAGGCGGCGTAGAGAAACGCGAGTGGTTCGACGAATCGACGGGCAAGAGCGTGGGCACCATTTGGCAGGGCGAGGAGGAGCGATTCATGTTCAACCGCACCGTGTCGCGACTCATCGAGATGCAGTCCGACGACTATCTTCAATCGCCACACAAGAAAGAGGTCTAAGGTTACTCGTCGGAGTCACGAACCAAAATGAAAGTTGGTTCCGAAGCGCAGTTTCGTGCCGGGACTTGCTCTCTCGAGCAAGATGGAGACGAGACTGCGGCAGGTGCCGCCGGAGGACGACGAGGTGCGAGAAGAGCTCGCGTTGGTGGTGCCAGCAGCGGAGGTGGTGGAGGCGCTGCGGGAGCAGCTGCTGCCGCAACTCCCCTTTGGCCAGGTTTTGAGTGCCTACGTCAATGCCACCCCGCTCGACACCCTCCGCCAGTGTACCCGCTGGAGCCTTCTGTGGCGAACCTATGGCGCGGACGGGGAAGGTCAACTTACAGGTGCTCCACCACCTTCAATTGACAGAAGATTGAATTATTAATAAATAACAAATAATAATAAATCAAGCACGAGCCGAAAAAGCAAAGAAATAGCGTTTATTAATCTGATGTCCAACCAGCGGCCTTGTGCCAAGACCTGAGGGATCGCCGACTGGCGGTGTTCGGCGAGCCGACAGCTGTGGAGACGCTTCTGATGGCTTGTCCGGGCATTGCGCGTCGAGACGCATTTACGGATACCGGTGAGGGCGTCTTCCACGGCGTCGACGACAGGCTGGACGGTGCAGTGAGGCGAGCACTGCTTCATCATGGTACGGCTCTGTTCGCGATGTGCCGAGGCCCAATCATGCTCACCTTGTGCACAGTGGGCAACATCATCTACGACGACCCGTACGACGGTTGGGTGCTCCAGGACGAAGCCGTGTTCAACCAGGTTCAGCTCAAGGCTTTGAGCCCTGGTCTGTATGAGGGTATGACACCAATTAGATGCTCGCAGGGAATAAGCCTGATTCACCACTTGCGGACAGATGTGATACACGAAGAGGACGCGGAGTTGATCAACAGCAAATGGCCCTACAGCTCGGCTACCAGCCTTGCCACCATCCTGGACTGCATACGCAGCCGTCCATCAGCCTGCATCCGCAAGCGAAATGTACACAACCGTCCGGCCAGTCGGTCCACTTGTTCCCCTGCCTCGTACCCTCTGTGGTGAATGGTCGTTTATTCACCATATCTTCTTGCTCGTTGATAGGAAGAAGGCGAAGACGAGCCGATTGCTTGGAGTCTCGTTCGAGTTGAAGGGCAAGTTGGGATGACCTACACGGCAGAGGCTTTTCGAGGGCAGGGCCTAGCCAAGCGCGTCGTCGTGCAGCTGTGCAAGAAGCTGCTAGAGCTGCGAGACCCCAAGCTCAGGTGCTCAACCGGTGACAACCACAGCACGCCCTGGACGCCCTACTGCTACATTGACGCCGGTACTCCGCAACAATCCCGCAGTCAGTGCACTTCTTCAAATTCTTTCTTGCACCGGCTTGCGACGCCCGTACTTTTTTGGTATTTGAAATATGTTAGCACGCGGAAATGTACTCACCTACTGCCTCGTCATTGGCGGTCTCCAGATAACATTGCGTCCTCTAGCATGTTCGCATCGTTGGGGTTCAAGAAGGTGGGCACCTTCCGGTGGATCAAGGTCTGAAGCGCCTCTTCTGCGAACCGAGACGGCGATCTGGCCAGACCTCCACCCACAGGTGTATGGAAAAGGAAGGTAGGAGCGTTTTCCATCCCCGGCGTGGCCTCTTCCATTTGTGCCAACAAAGAGAACCCAAGGCAAAGGCGAATTAATCCGGGCAACGGTTCGAGTAAGAGAAAGAAGACGTTGGGCGTCGGTTCGCTGGCCAACCAGCCTGGGCCACGATAAACCGAAGCGACGCCGCAAGCCAAGCGACGCGCCGGTTCAGTTCTTCTCCACTCTTCTCTATAGGCGCACCACGCCTTTCCCGCTTGTGGCATCTAATTCTCGATTAATCTAATCTGCACCGATTTTGAAATCGAACGTGAAGATGGAGGCTCCGCGAACTGTGGCAGGAGCCTGCAACTCCAGTGTCACGATTACCCCCATGGAGCGAGCCCAAGCAAAGCAAAAAATGTACCTCACCTACTTGTTACTGTCCAAACTTGTCTTTCTGCGCACTGGAGGTAACCGTTCAACTCGGTTTGGCAGAGTTGGCTATATGAAGGCACAAGCCGCAGCAACCATCGGCCTGGAACTGGACCTCTCTGGGATCGCGCCCTATGTGGACCAGGTTTTTGTCATTTCCACAAGCTTGCAGGACACCTGCTCACAAGCATGGTGCCGTGTGCACATCTCAGGTGGAGGAGAACGACTACGCTATGGCGAAGACCAGTGCCGAGTATCATGCCAACATCAACACCCGCCTCCACTACATCGCAAGTCAACTCCAACTTGTGTCGTCACAACTGGCTCCATTGCTCCCGCCAAAGGTACTTCACGTTTCTCCCTTGGTCGACAGTAGGGCTGATGGCTTGAGTTAGTCTCAGGAACTCGGTTCGGCAACTGCGACACCCCGAGGAGGTCAGCCACTACTTTCCCCGTTCACCGGCAAGAGTACCACGGTACTAGGACACTTCTGCTCTCGGCCGTCTTGGGCCATTCACTCATTGTATGCTGTTTGCAGGCTGTCACTGCTCATCCGCTCTTGTCCCTGCCGACTGCACCGCACCCGCCTCCTCCCTCGGCCGTACCTTCTGCCCCGCAGGCCCGAGTAGCCTCCGTTCAAACCACGAGCAAACCGCCCGCACCGAACTGCCTGCCTTCACCTTCTCTCTTTCGATTTTCGTCTTCTACACCATCCGATTACAACAACTACAACTACGGACCCTCTAATTACATGGCTGCACCGACGACAAGGACACCTCCCTCAGCTGCCGCTACGCCCACGACCATCTTCAGATCCACGCAGACCCCCGGCGTTAGACCCACGACCGCCTATCCCAGCTCTGGTGCGTGCTGCAGTTCATCTTCTGGTTCGATATTTAGCTGATATGGCCACTCCAGCAGCTCCCACCCCTTCTCCGAGGAAAAGCCTGAGCCCAGCTGGTTCGGCTCATCCTGCCCCAACAACTGTTCAGCACGCAACGACACCTCCGGACAGCGTTGGCTACGCGCAAGCGGAGAGCAGGTTCTGGAGCAAGGTACCCGTGTGAGCTTGAAGAGGGTGGCAACCTATGCTGACCCGCCATTTGGACAGTTGGCAGTACTTCGTAACGCATTTGGCTCTGCGCTAGTGACGCTCTGCAAGCGAGTGGAAGAAAGGCAAGACGAGACTCGAAGGCTTATGGATGACTTGCAGGCAAAGCTCCTACCTACTCTAACTGCGATGGAACTGAAGCCCCTGCAAGCGCAGCTGAATGCCTACAACATGCAAAAGACTCACCAAAAGGTCTTGCTCGACCGGATGCACGTCTTCCAGAAGCTGTTCTCGTTCACCCGAGAAAACCACCGATTTGATCAGGGTATGCTAGTGCTTTTCTTCTCGGAGCAACTGGTGCAACTCTGACACTCAATGATTGCGACTAGGTGTGGACACCTATCTAGTTGATATCTGCGAGCAACAGTTCCGCCATTGGCTTCAGCAACTCCAAATGCAGACCAACCAGGACATGGCGCCAGCATCGTCGCTAGCATCAGGACCTGCTCCTACTCCAAGCTCGGTTCCAAGACCGGCTGCAGTCCCTTCGGAAAACGTTCGTCCTCCTCCACTTGGCCCTTGTTTCCATGGTGCTGATTGATTATGATGAGCAGGTGCGACAGACCCCAGTTGGTGCAGCCCCACCAGCGCCGATTGCAACGCCTGCACCTGTACTCGCCCCTTCAACGATCATTGAGTTGTTCTGCAGTTGGCTTCTGATCGGCACGTTGTTCACATTCGGGCAGGCACAGACTGGGAGGGCCGACTTTGAAGTGGTCAATTTGGTTGAAGTCGAACTGCGGCAGGAGCGTGAAGCCGCCAAGCGCGAGCTGGAGGAAAAGCGCCAGAAGATCATCGAGTACGAAGCTACAATCGCCAAGCTCGAACGTAAGGAAAAGGAATGGAAGGCCAAGTACCTCGAGCTGGCCAGCAAGCAGCTAGAACCTACTTCGCAGCCTTCCGAGCCACAGCCGATGGGGACCGAGTCCTCATGCACCACTCCCACCGCGGCAATTGTGCCTTTGCCCGCGGTCCCAGCTGCTTCGTCGGAGTCCCTTCCTGAACCACAGGTACCATTCAACTCATCGCCGACTTCCATGCGAAGCTCTAATGAGCCCACTTCCCCCTCGCAGTCCGATGACGCCGACCACATCCTTTGGCAAGGTAGCGCCGTGCCTCGGTGGTGTGAAGGGGAGGTAGCCTATCTCGAAGCGCGGGCGCGGCCTTCGCAGGAGTACGCTCATGGTTCTGCCACGTACGTTTCCGTCGACCCTAGCGCACGTGGCTCTTTTGGTGCATTCCCATTAACTCTTTCAGTCTCCTCTCATCCACAGGGACGTAGAGCAGTGGCCGACGCAGCTCTTGATTAAAGGCGTGTGTTCCACCCAACATGCATCCGCCTCCATTGCGCAGGTCGTCCAGGTACCTACGCCGCTTTGTCCCTCTCAAGAGACTGTGCGCTGAGTTATTCGGCCACTCCCCACAGATTGGATACCGCGTGCCTCGCCTGGTCTTCACCCCCGCTGGACGTGCAGTCGAAAGCTTCGTGGGGTTGAATCAAGACCTGCAGGCCCAGGCCAAAGTATGTATCTCCTCATTTGCTCCACGTATCCAACTCTTTAATGTGTGCAATGTGTGCGTGTGCAGATGGGGGTTGTGGATTGCATTCCCAATATGACGATGCTCATCCAACCCGACCCGGACGATGAGAGGCAGCTGTTCGCGTACCTGCTGCCTAGGATCCCGCTCAAGCAAGCGGGATTGCCCCCCGGTGAGGGCAATAACGGCGAGGGCCAAGGCCGCAAGAGGAATCGAGAGTCGGGGAGGGAGCGGACAAGAACTGCCAAGACGACTACGACGAAGAAGAAGAGCCACGAAGAGGTCTACGACGAAGAAAAAACAAGAAGATCCTTCGGAAGGAAGGAGAAGAAGAGCAGCGATGACGATTTCGAGTACCACCACGAAGAGGATGACGACGATCTGGAGAACGAGGACGAAGTCGACGAGTTCGAACCAAAGGAAGAGAAGAAGAAGGGGAAGCGCAAGACCAGAAGGATACGCTAGCAAGTAACCCAATAATAATAATCATGGGGCATTGGCGCACTGTCTTGAAGCGTTCGCGACTGTGAAAAAGTTGTGTTCGCTCCCCGACATTTTTGGGCAGGCGCCGCAGCCGATTCGTCGAATTTTATTAATTTAAATTACTAAATTGTGAGTAGTTTGGATTTACGGGGCAGCAACGCCAAGATGAACGAAGAAGAGGACCCCCCAGTGCGTTCCCTTTGCCCCTTTCTGCCCTCCCCCCAACGCACATCCATGTATTTAGTGCGGTAAGATTTACTGTGGGGTGGCCGCGCGGCTACGCATAGGTGGAGCACCCCCTGTACTGGGTGAACGTATTGCGGGGGCGGGTCGAGGCCGGCCAGTTGCACCGGCTGCACCGGCTCCTGCTGCATTCGAGCGAGTCTGAGGAGTGGATCGCCGAGTTCATCAAGGCACGCGGACTGGCAGGCCTCTTCGACGTCCACGAGAACCTCTTCTGGCGGTACCCTTGCCCTTTGCCTCCTCCACCTCCCACGTGGGGCGAAGCTATAATTGTGACGAATCAGCGACTGACACGTGTGTGTTCTGTGCCTCTCATAGCCTGTACTACAACGACTCAAAGGGAGGCAAGCGAGTGGAGGAGCGTACAACCGACGACGCGGAGACGTTCCTTGCCTGCACGGCCTGCTTTCTCCCCATTTTCAGTAGCCAGGTTCGTGCACCACCATCAAGTCCTGAAGCGTCATTGATCACCGCTGCTTCGCTGCAGTAAGCTCAGCTTTGTTTTATGCAGGCCGGGATCAATGCAGTCGCGAAGGGGAACAGAAGCGAGGTGCAGGAGCAAGTCGAGCAGCTCATGCTGTCGCTGGCGAGCAAAGAGCAGGAGGCGCGGGAGAAGGCACTGTGGGCCGTCATCAAAATCGTGGGCACCATCTCACCCACCGACCAGCGCAGTCGCGCGCGATTGACGGAGATGGCACACACACTGTGGGACGGCCTCGGGTCGCTTCAAATCCTGCTCGAAGAGAAGAACATCTACGCCCCGCTGGTTAACCTCGTCCGCGAGGTACACGTGAGCACGCACGCACGCACGCACGCAGTCGAATGCAACTTAACGATTAAATGTGGGGGAATGCGTGCGTATGCGTGACAGGCGCGCGGTCCGCGAGCGCTGGCGCTGGTGGGCCACGTGTTGGCTCTTATTACACTCGCACTGGACGGTCTCTACCCGGAGATCGTCTCCTACGAGCACATCTACTCTCGTAACAAGCTCCGCAACGGATTCTTCAGCGCCGGACTTACCCTCGCCATGGAGAAGCAAGCCCTACAGAGCCAGGTGACGATTTCTTCTTCTAATTTCCACCATCTTTGCAATTGCTTATTTATCGATTACCGATTGGTTGGTGGACAGGCATCGGCCGACTCAGACGCCCTGGCGATCTACGCGGCGGCGCTCAAGAAGTGGAATTACGGCAAGGCGCGGGACGAGAAGTATTCGGTGGCCTTGAGCAGGCAAAAGCCCAAGAGCGCCATTTCTTCTGGCGATCTCAACACGGTACGTGCGCTTGCGATCACGTTCGCGCTCGCCATACCTTCTATGCCTTCTTCACTGACGCCACTCACTTCCAACACACAACGACCCACGACTCGCGGGCAGGAGGTGTCGAATCTCGACGCCTACAGCTACTGCGAATCGGCGCTTGAGCAAGAGCTGGCGAAGAACCGGAAAGCGGTTCCTCCTTGCTCACCCGCCGAGCCACAGCCGAAGCAACCACCACTTACAACGCCACCGTCGCGGCCAAAGTCTGCTGCAGTGGCCAAGCCCCGCTCTCCGCCGGCGGCAGACCGCCCGCCGCCCAAGAAGGCGCCCGCGCTGGCGAGTGGCCACGACGCTGCGATCACAATCGAGGAACGGAAGAAGCGGCGCGGAATGCTAGATGAGGGTGACGACGACGATGACGAGCTGAACAACTACAAGGTCGACTTCAGCCTCGGGGACACGAACTACGTCATGTGCGCCGACGCGTTTCTCGAAGCCGAGACCGACCGCCTGCAGGCGCAGAGAGAGCCCCAGCCCGCCTGGGGCTCTACGGCGCAACAACAGAGGAAGAAGACAGCACCGCGGTCCGCGCCCAGGGAAGAAGACGACGCCTACACTCTGGTGATGGCCGACGATGCCGATGATGATCACGATGACGACGACGAAGAAGAAGAAGGTGAAGAAGATGACGAAGAAGAGGAGAAAGAAGAATCCAATAATGATAGAGACGAAGGAGAGGTGGTAGAGAGTTATCTGTCGGCAAGCTCGGTCGGCGGTGCGACAATGAAGACAACGACGACAACGACGTGGAAAGACGGGCGGGAGTCGTCGGCTCCGGCCGACCGGCGAAGCCGAGCCACGCTTCGCAGCTTCGCGCTGGGCGAGTACCGCGAGGGCAGACAAGCGACCTTCCCAGGAAGCGCCCCGGGAAGGGTGAGCACGGCCGAGCGGACGCAGCCGCCGGCCTGGGAGAGAGCCGCAGGCGGCGAGAGCGCAGGCAGCAGGCCCGCCGGCGGTACCCGGCGTCGACGTGGGGCCATGAGCTTCGTGGGCCTGCGACAGCTCCAGCAGAGGGAGGAGGACGAACACCAGCTCAAGCAGGGCAGCACGGGTCTCAAGTCCGAACGAAGTGCCACGATTGGGCGCGTGGTCGACGACGAGGCCTCCTCGTGTCCTAGCGCGGACCCGTATCTCGACTTCCTGGTGACGGTCACCACGGCGCGGCTGGCCAACAGCGGTTCTGCGTCGCCGTCGTCACCAACGACGATGCCGTGGTCCAAGTCCTCTTCGCCGTCACCGGCGCACATGCTGTCGGCATCGATGCCCGCTTCGGCCCTGCAGGGTCCGCTCTATTCGGTGATGCGACGCCAGCAACTGGAAGTGCAGCAGACCCGCAAGCGGCTCGATGCCGAGGGACACACGCCGAGCAGCGCCAGCAGCTCCTCCCCGAGCAGCACCTCCCACGTCTTCCGCACCGGCAACATGCAATCCACGCCGCAAGGTATCACATTCCTCTGCCTAGTTGACATTCCACACATGCCACCGCACTCAACCACGACAAACAACAATACAGACCTGCGGTCGCTGGCGAGCATCGTCAAGCGCGGAATTCTATGCGCGTGGAGCGTGCAGCAGGGGAAGGACCCCAAGACCGGGCTTCCCGTGCCCGTGTCCGTGTTCGACCCGGTGCGCATCATCATCGACGAGACCAACCTCTACATCGCCCCACAGACCGCCACAGAGGTACCAACTGTTAACCGTTCATGCCAACGCCTCTGCTGGGCCGGTCCAGCACTTCCCCCTCCCCAAAGCACTCGCTGAGTGTGTGCGTCTCTGCTGTGTTGGAGGCTGAGCTGCCCACGAGAATTGCGCTGTCGAGCATCCACCGCGTCAGAGAGTTCCGCACGGCGAGCAAAGACTGGGTGAACAAGTATGGCCTCACCCTCGAATTCATGACCAACACCACGTCCCGCTCCGAGAAGGTGACGCTCGTGGCGCCCACCAAGAAGTCCCAGCAGTGGTGGATGAAGGCGGTCATCATGAACAAAGGTATCGCTCATTTTTGGTGGAATGCTGGCATAGCTCACATTCCATTGCAATACCAGGTCTGCTGCGGGACTGGAACGAGGAATTCCAGGAGGCGATGACGGCCTACCGGCGGGAGAACATCAACCAGCAGGCCAACGCCATGATGGGTGGCCTGAAGGGGAAGGGTAGGCACAAGGACGAGCACGACTACCTGTCAATGTCCATCGACGGCATTTCCCTCGCCTCCCTCCCGCTTTCCGTCCGGGTGCGTGCACCACACACACCCACACCACACACCACACACACACACAACACACACCACACGCCACACACACACGCCACACACACACACACGTGGCACTCACAACACTCGCCTGTGTGCAGGCCTCGTTGCAAGTGGTGGATCTGGTGAAAGAGTTCACCGAGATCGCCGAAGTCATCGCACAGATCATCGTCGATGAGCTGCACTGCCCGGTGGCCGAGAAGCTGATCCCGCCCACGCAGCTCGGCGGCATGGCAGGTGGCGAGAAGTACCTCTCTCACGGCATACTCTTCAAATTTGCCATCGACTCGCGGGGTCTCTACAACGGCGACGAGTTCGCCATGAAGGCCACGCAGGTACGCGTCTTCTTTCCATTCACACGCTTCAATGTCGATGAAATTAACTGGATGTTCATGTGCGCAGCACGAGATCAAGGGACTCACGGCCTACATCAACTATTCGCTCAATTCCAATTTTCCCAACACCCTCCACTTCCCAGTCATGTCGGTCATCGGTATTCTTCGCTTCGCTCTCATCATCATCATCATCATCAGTTGTCCACCTTCGGTGGCGCTAACACTTGAGAGAGTGCAGATTACAAGGGATTTCGGCTGAGTGCTACTTCCATTCTGCCCGTCGGACCGAACACGATCGTGTACGGATCGGCCGATGGGTCGAAGACGGTGCACAACAAGTACAAGGACATGAACGCGCTCATGAAGAAGGCCGGCCGCGCGCTCAATCTCAAACCCCATTGGGTCACCCCGCTGCTGCCCGGCGGCCCCAAGGTCCTCATCTGCGGTCCCGGCGACATCGGTACGCACCTTTCCACATCCGCTCACCGTCATCAGCCACCACTGACCCAGCACCGACTGTGTGCGTGTGCGGTGGTGCGTGCAGAGGGACACCTGGGAACTGATGGTCGCTTCTACGTGCTCGATACGGCGCGGGTCTTTCCACCGACGTACACTCCTCATCGTCGACTTGAGTTTGGTGAAGATGCGCGTGCTCACGCGGACCTCCGCTTCACTTTGATTCGGGGGGGGGGCATTTGCAGCACTCCAACGCCCGAGCTGAAGGGTTCCTTCTTGTACCGGCTGATGCGGCCCGAGTTCGTGAAGGTCAACGAATACCCGCTCTGCTCGGATGCCTATTCACGGTCCGTGCCCCATCACACTCGCCCTTTGTTCGCTTGCGTGACCTACTCATGCACCACCGCACACGCACACACTCTACCGCACTACCGCGCACGCAGATGGGCGCACGATCCCGACAATCCGAATGTGCTGAAGCAGCACAACGCAGAAATTGTGGAGGCGACCAATCACCTCGTGCAAACGGTCATTCCAGCCTTTGTCAGCGACTTCAGGCCTTCTTCGAGACCATCTTCATCGAGAGCCTCAAGTACGCTCATGACCCCTCGCCACCACAACATTCCTTGCATTCCACCATGGAGGCTGATCATTGGTGTTGTGTTGCCTATCTGCGCACAGTGCGTGGCGGTCGTTCGTCGAGGACATGCGCGTTCTGGTGATCGACATGCACCGCGGAGGGATCAACTGCAGATACCTCGGCGTCATCCGGCAGCACGTCACCAACACCAACCTCCGCAAGAGCATGCTCATTGGTTCGTGTTCCTGGCCTTGTTGGCAACTTAACTATTTCCTCACAGCACGCACACACGCAACACACGCAACACACGCAACACACGCGAAACATGCAACACACGCAACACACAAACTGCAGAAATGGTGTCGCGCGTGCTGAAGAACGAGCTGAGGGAGCATATGCGCAACGTGCGCAGTTCGAGCGAGGAGGACAACAAGGGCGTCATCGCCACCTTCTTCGGTCGGTTCCTCCAGGACCCCCACTTCTGGCAGTCCTCCCCCTCTATCTCCACCACCTTCGATGTCAAGCAGCGCCTGCAGGAGCGCTTCCCCTCGTGTCTCACCGTCGGCGAGGTACGTACCTCTCAGCACACACACGACACACGACACACGACACACGACACACGACACACGACACACGACACACGACACAAACACTACACTCACGTCACTCACTCACTCGGTCCACGTTGTGATGTGTTGATCAGCAAATGCCCGGCTGGGACCTGAGGGCCGAGCTCCACATCGGGGCGGTGTTTGCGCGCGTGAACCAGCTGATGGGCCTCAACTGGAGCGAGGAATTCGACACGCGCCTGTGGCGATGGTTGGACAAGCCGCGCGGCGACCTTGCCAGCATCGAAGAGCTTCGCTGCTCCATCGTCAAGATCAGCCCCACGGTACACCCCCTTTTCTTTTTCTTTTACTTAATATCCATTATTAATTCATCGATAATATGAATAGATAATATTATTTATATCCAAAACAATAATTTATGGGGAAAAAATGATATAAATATTCGTGGATGACCAGGTGGCCCAGTTGCCGTTGGTGTCGTTCTTCGCGGCGAAGAAGTTCGAGAAGTATGCCGACAGCCCATACGCCAGCACCAAGAAGCAGCTCGAGAGCTTCCTGCTCAAGGTAGGTCCCCTGCCAACTGTGCAGTGGTGCGTGTGCGGTCGTGCGCACTGGCGTGCACGAGCGAGTTCTCAGCTATGCATACACAGGCGCGGGATCAATACCTTCTGGCCCTGGAGATGAAGTCGGACGACGTGACGATCCTGCTCAACCTCGCCTCGCTGTTTGCTCGCCTGGCCCGATGCATCGAAGAGCAGATGCACGACCCTAGGAGTGCGCACCACTTCTCGAATTATTTATTATTTTTATTATTTTTATTTTTATTCTATTTATTGCATTCTATTTATTGCATATTGGTGTAAGTAGAGTCACGTATTTTTCTTTTTATTATATCTGATATCAAAGAAAATTAATATTATTTTCTTATCTGTGACGACAGCCATGGCCAAGATGCGGAAGGTGGAGGGATTCGACATGAAGCACTTCCGCCATCGCGCCCATCGCTTCTACCAGTCGGCCGATCGTCAATACCAGGTACGGCACCCGTGCGTGCGTGTGCGTGTGTGCGTGTGTGCGTGTGCGTGTGTGCGTGTGTGCGTGTGTGCGGCGCAACTCAACAATTTGAGGCAGGAGGCGCTGCGGATCGATTCAACGCGGGCCGACCTGCTGGCGGGTTACGCCGCGTACCTGCTGACGCTGCCCGAGCGGGCCAAGGAGGCCGATAAGTACTACACGCTCGCCATGCAGGCCAACCCGCACAACGACGAGCTCAAGGCCAAACACGAGCGCTTCCACGACGATCTCCACCACCGCCACCACCCCGCCCCGCCGCTCGACCTCGCCGCCAGTAGTAGCACTCTCCCCAAGAGCGGGGCGCTGCTGGGCGCCAAGACGCTCCGACTTCGGCGGCTGCAATCGAATTCGCTGGTACGGTACCCACCACGGAAAGTAAGTTCACCTGAGGTGGCTCGGGCGAGCGCTCACGTCGTGTGCGCGTAGAAGGGGTCGGGTATTCTGCGGCTCTCGGGCAGACGAGAGGCCGACGACATCGTCATCTCGTCGCCCCAGACGATGAAGCGCACTCTCCAGATCGCGCTCGTGGCCGGGCGCAGTCTCCACGGCCGAGGTACCACTACCACTACCACGCCTCTCACAACCGTACACCGGTGCACCATGTGAACGATGGACGTCGCGCGTTGGGGTTGCGGTGGTGCAGGAGGGAAAGAGAGCGACGTGGTCGACCCCTATTGCGTGCTGCAGCTGGGCCAGCAGGTGCAGCGATCCACCACCAAGAGGAAGACGTCGAGCCCCTCCTGGAACGAAACCTTTTCCTTGTACGCTTTTGGCGCCCAGCCCAGCCTCAAACCACCGCCGCCGCCGCCGCCGCCGCCGCCGCCGCCACCACCACCACCACCACCACCACCACCACCACCCACTATGGACACGAGTTGCGGCTACATGTTCTGACACGAGGGTGCGTGCGTGTAGTACAATAACCAACGCGCAGGAGGCGGTGAAGCTGTATGTCTACGACACTGGTCTCTTCTCCCTGACCCAGAGTACGCGATCGTCTCTCTTCTATGCGTTGTCACCGGTGTTTTGGGCTCAACAATTTGGCGTGGGGACAGACTGTATGGGGATGCGCGTGCTGCCGATATCGGAGATCGAGGCAATGAACGGACACACGGGTTGGTATGTGCTGTGCGCGTCGGAGGGAGAGCCTTCCGACCTGGCCCTCGGCGAAGTGCGCCTCCACTTCCAACTCGAGTAGTACCTGGCCAAAGGAATGCCAAGAATGCTCATAGTTTTGCTGTAGCTTACAGTTTGTACAACATCAACGACGCGTGTGTATGCGTCTGTTTATCAGGCTTACACGATAGATTCGCGAAGGACGGAGGTGTCATCGCCAATGGCTCGGTCAAAGAAGGCCAGCACGTCCTCCATCTTGGGCCGCTTGTCGGGCGTGGCGTGCCAGCACTTCTTCATCACCTTGGCGAAATCAGGCGGGCAGTCGTTGGGGATCTGGGGCCGCTTGCCCTCGAGCACATCGAGCGACACGCCCATGAAGTTGCGCCCGGCGAAGGGCTCCTTGCGCGTGAGCACCTGCCACGTGACCACGCCGAAGGAGAACACGTCGGCCCGCTCGTCGTACTTGTCCCCGCGGATGACCTCCGGCGCCGTCCAGCAGGGTGTGCCGCACCGGGTCATCGTGGCGTTCTCCTCCTTGATGCGCGCGAACCCGAAGTCGGCCACCTTCACGTTCCAGTTCTCGTCCACCAGCAGGTTGGACGGCTTCAGGTCGCGGTGCACGATGACCGGGTGGAGTGAGTGCAGGTAGTTGATGCCCAGCGCGGCCGACCGCAGCATGCGCAACTTCTGCAGCCAGGGGAGCTTGATGGCGTTGTTGAGCAGAATGTCCTTGAGCGAGCCCTGCTTCATGAACTCGGTCACGATGCACAGGTTGGGCCTCTTCACGCACGCGCCGATGAAGAGGACGATGTTGGGGTGGTGGAGCTCCGACAGAAAGGCCATCTCGGCGCGGAACTCGAGCATGCGCCGCTCGTCCAGCTTCTGCTTGATGAACCGCTTCACCGCCACCTCCACGCCCTTCCACTTGCCGCGGAACACCACGCCGTAGGACCCGAGGCCCACCTGCTTGCCCACCTGGATCTCGGCGAAGTCGATGATCCAGCGGCACAGGTTGGCCGACGTGAGGAAGGTGTCCTCCTTGAACATCATGCCCTCGCCCACCGCCGTCTGCATCTCGCCTTCGCCGCTGCTTCGGCTGCTCACCGACGCGCCATCACCGCTGGCGCTGTCGACCGCGCAGTCCATCTCTTCGGCCTCGTTCGACAGCGCCCGTCGAATGGACTTGTCGCCGGCGAAGGGCGCGCGCGGGTCGACGTTGGTCACGCCACCGAAGAATCGGCCCTCCAGCCCCTCCGCCTTAATCTCGTACAGCTTCGAGCCTGAGACACATCATTACGCGAGGCCGCGGTGTGTGTGTGTGTGTGATGTGTGGTGTGCGTACCGGTGGGCGAGTCGGGCATCTCGAAGAAGCCCAGGCCGAGGATGCGCTGCTTGTTCTTGGTGCCGAGCTCGGTGTCCTTGGCCTTGAGGTAGACGGCGCGGCTCATCACGATCTGGCCGCCGTGTGTGAGCGCAGTGATGCGGGCCGCGGCGTTGACCACCGGCCCGATGTACTCCACCCGACGCGTCATCGGATCGCGCACCACTTTGGGCACGCCCACGTGCACGCCCATGCGCACCCGCAGGCCCTTGTACAGCACCCGGTCGTCGATGTCGCCCCACTCCTCGGCCGCGCCCGGGTGTTCCAGCAGTACCTCGGGCCAGGCCACGGCTAGCAGGCTGCGCTGCACGTCGGCGCACCAGGCCAGCGCGTCGGCCGGGCTCTGGAAGGCCATGCAGAACGAGCCCTCGCCGCTGTTCCGGTCCCGCAGGAACACCACCTCGTAGCCGCGGTGCTCCTGTAGCGCGCTACGCAGGGCCTCGTTGTGGAGGAGCGTGGCGTCGCGCATGGCGGCAGCGTTGAACTCCCAGAGCGAGGCGGCGCGCGTGATGTCGGTGAACACGATCGTCACCTCGCCTTCGGGCGCGCGCACGGCTCCGCCCGCGGCCGCGGCCACCGCGTGGGCCGACCCGTGCGACGAGTGGGACGACCCGTTGGAGGAGGACGTGGTGGCCGACGGCAGGGTCCACGACCCGTACATGCTCCCTGGCTGCTTGGGCGCCGTGCGGCCGCCGCCCGATGACGACGACGAGCCGGTCCTGGAGGTGTAGGCGCCGGCCGAGGTCGAGTCGCCGTGCATGGCCGACAGGCGGGTCATGATCTCGAGGAATGTGGGGCGGATGGTCGGGTCGTGGTGCCAGCAGCTCGTGATCAGCTCGTCGAACTCCACGGGCCACGCGCCGTCAGCGTTGTCGGGCATGGCGGGCCGCAGCCCGTCGCGGATGACCGACACGGCCACGGCCGACGGGCTGAGGCCCATGTAGGGCTGCTCGCGGGTGAGCAGCTCCCACAGGATGATGCCGAAGCTGTACACGTCGGCCAGGATCAGGTCGACGTCGGCCGACTCGTTGAGCACCTCGGGCGCCGTCCAGTGCACGCTGCCGGCCACATCGCGCGACCCGCCACCGCCGCTCTTGCCGATGTCCTCCTTGAACTTGGTGAGGCCAAAGTCGCTCACCTTGACGTTCCACTTGGCGTCGAGCAGCAGGTTGAGCGACTTGAGGTCGCGGTGCACGATGCCCGACGAGTGGAGGAAGTGCATGCCCTTGGAGGCCTGGTAGGCCATCTTGGCCTTGAGCGCGAACGGCAGCTCCGGAATCAGCTCGTTGTGCAGCAACTGTGTGTGTTGACATTATGGCGTTTGCGCTGTTAGTCACACGTTCCCTTTCAGCGTACAAAGGGAAGGCTGAGTGTTGTAGGCTGGTACGTACGTCGAAGAGGGAGCCGAGGCTCATGAACTCCATGACGATGCACATCTTGGGCGCTTTGGTGCACGCCGCCATGAACAGCACCACGTTGGGATGCCTCAACGAGGTCATCACCCGCACCTGCCATCGCAATGGGTCGTCAAGACTTAATGGACCATTCCTGATGATGGATGACGACGACGATGATGGCCTTACCTCTTCCTGGAAGGACCGCTCCATGTCCTTTGTGACGCGGTCGGAGGCCATGACCTTGACAGCCACCTCGGTGCCCTTCCACGTGGCCCGGCTGACGTCGCCGAAGCCGCCCGTGCCCAGGTGCTCGCCGACTTCGAGCTCGTCGTACCGGATCTCCCAGTCGTCCTGGACCTGGCCCTTGCGCCTGATCATCACCACCAGGACCACGATCAAGGCCACCAGTCCGATGATGATCAGCACTGCGATCGGCACACCAACACCTGTTGTCACGCGTGCGACAGAAATCGCATGAGCCACCACATATCAAAAACAAAGGCAAAGGCACAGTGTGATGTGGCGTAATGTGGTGCGCGGGTCGTACCGACGACGACGGCAATTGGTGTCGGAGACGCTCGAGGAGTCAACGAAATGCTCGCAGTAGGTGCCGGTCCGGCCCGACTGGCAGTCGCACCGGCTGTTGATGCAGGAGCCGGCGCTGGAGCAGAGGCGCCCGTCATCGCTGATGCAATTGGCCAGCGAGCTCACGGTCACGCCGTCGCAGGTGAAGGCCTTGAGCGCGGTGAGGTAGTCGGCCTCGAGTGTGGCGGCAACCGTGGCGAGCACGTAGCCCTGCCTGCTCGCCTGCAGCGCGGCGGTGGCGTCGTACTGTGTCCAGCGCTACCAAAGAAAAATAGAAATGAGTCTCGTGTAGATGTGCGGTCTTGCGAGTGAGTTGCGTGCGCTTTGGAAAGGCGTGGCGTACCGGGCACCAAAGGAAGCGCTGCGAGCGGTAGCAGGGCGGCGTCTTCGATCAGCTGGTCCCAGCCATCGCCCAGAGCGTCCCCCGACACTCCAAAGTCAATGTTGTAGTTCACGAGCTGGGCCTTGGCGACAGCAGACGAGTCATCGTAGTACTTGAGCTTGCCCTGGTCGCTCGACCAGGACGACGCCCAGGTGTTGATAAGCGTGAGCTGCGCGCCGGCGGCCACGAGCACCGAGGTGGAGAACGCCTCCTCACCGTTGCACTGGACCGTGTTGAGCAGGTTGATGAGCTTCTTGCGGAGGCTCACGTCCAACGGCGCCACGCTGGTCTCGATCGCCACCGTCGATGCCCTGGGAGGTCGATCAACGTCAATCACCGGAACCCGCTCAAGTGTCATGTGGCTGGACAGTCAACGGCCCACGTACTCTTCGTTGGTGTGAATCCAGGCCACAAAGTTGAGCAGTTCTTGCACGTTCGTGCAGTCAGCGGTGGACACGTTCTGGTCCATGGCAAAGAAGGTGAGGTAGGCCATGGGCCACGAATCGGTTCCGTTGGCGTCGAGGATGTCCACCGTGAAATCGCCATCCTCGTATTCTGTTTGGAAGTCTGTGTGGTGATGGTTGTGGTTACGTGCGCACAAGGTAAGCCGATTCATCACACAGAGGGGGCTCATTCGTGCAGGCACGCGCATACCAGCCATGGCGGACTGAATGGCCTCAACGGTGGGCGACACCAGGGTGCCGGCCTTGTTGACCATACGCGCTGCTGAGGCGTTGCCGGTGAGCTCAGCGTAGTTGAGGTATGTCAAGCCGTACGGGCGGCCCTGTAATGGAAATGGCGGAAGTGAGTTGGCGGGCGCTCCGACGGGACCGGAGCTGCGTTGAAACGTCGTAGGCCTACGTACCTGCAACCATACGGCCCGAGCGGGGGACGAGCCGCCGGCGCTCGCGGCGTTGCCGTTGAGGGCGGGCGGAAGTTGGCTGAACGTCCGGTTGACCGCAGCGAACTGCGCCTTAAAATCGTCCGAGAAGCTCTCCAGCGTGAGCTTGAAGACCTCGGGGAACGATAGCACAGAGCTGGAGTCGGAGTAGCCGACGAAGATCGTCTGCGAAGGCAGCTTGGCGGCAATGTCGGGGTTGAGGTCGCGTATGGCCGGGTGGTCCCAAGTGGTGATCTGGCCACCCCATATCTCAGCCAGCACCGTACGATTCAAAATCTGCGCGATCATCGGAGTTAAAATATTACCGTAGCCCCGATCGTGCTTGACCGCGCTGAGAGAGAGGATCCGTACGAGGGTGGAGTCGGTGGAGTTGAGCTCCGGCAAGTTGTAGCCGATGACCATGGCCTGTCCGGCCACGGGGAACTGTACGAGGTTGGCGTACTCTTCCGCCTGCGAGGTGGAAATGCCCCGGTCTGTGACCACGAAGTCCTGCTCAGCGATAGGGGAACGAAAAAGTCCACTTTAGGTCGCGCTCATCGAACCGGTAGAACTTATGCGTACCAGAAGGCCCTGAGTGTACTGAGTAAGGGCCGCGGTGGCCCCTGCCTCGGCATAGCGCACACTGGGATGGGGGTGGGGGCAAAAATTGGTGGTGAGCCGGGGAGAGAAAATGTTGGTAGGCGAGTTGGTGAAGGTACGTGATATCGTCGCGGCTGAAGCGATAGCTCTTGGTCCAGACCTGGAAGATGCCGCCCGAGTTGGTACTGCCCGCGCCGTCAAGCGTGATACTGGTTCCGGCGCCTGCTGGAGTGTGTCACCCCGTTAGGCTCGGCATCCCGTAGGAACCCGCGCGTGACGCAACGCGAAGAGGCGCGAGACATACCCAGAGTAAAGCACAAGGCGAGGGCAAGGGTGAGAGCCAGGGCCACGATGGCTGACTTGTGAGGCATGATGCTAGTGGTGCGACTTGCGGCCGGCTTCAGTTTGAAGTGGTGGTTGGCGGCCCAGCTCGGAGAGGTGTGTCTTCGGCGGCGGTGTTGTGAAGTGTTCTGCACGCGGTGGGCCGTACGCTATTTCTACTTGGGCGAGGGGCACCAGGCCAACCGTGTTCGCTTGGGGCAACCTCCTGCGATGAACCTGGCACGAGCCGCGGTCATTAGGTGGGCCGCCATACTCTGAAACGTGAACCACCTACGACTCTCGGCCTGATCATCGGGCGAGCTCGGTCTCTGCCAGTTTTCGGCCCTTGGTAGACGCGAGAGCGACACGCCCATGAGCGTTTCATGTCCCACTGCAACACCCGAGGCAACAGCCCTGGCGTGACGGGATCGAAGTCCTGTATAAGTACATAAAGTTAACGGCAAACTGACATGAGCGTAGAGCGCGAGAGCCGGGTGGCGAATGGCGGGTGCTGTACCGTCGGAAGTTGTGTGTGCTCCTCAACTTTGTAGGGATCGCACCACCGCTCGGCCACTGTCCGGACGCGAGCTGCGTAATATCCTGCAGGAGACACGGTGGTGACGCAACCGCCGATCGTGGTTGGTAGGTGACTCCACCCGACTCCGGGCCACAAGGTGCTTATTCAAAGCATTTTCAAGCCTTGACAGGGCACTCAAGATGATTAGTGGACAATGGATAATTTAAATCGATTTGTGGTTGCTTTTAAATTAAAACAACGCATGCGACGTACCGCAGGTCTTACCAGCACGAGAAGAGGGGCTGTGGGACGAGGATGTTTGTCTTCTTCCGCTCGGGCCGAGGAGATAACAGTTTATTATTTTCTTTCAGATGTTCTGTTTCTGTTTCTTTTTGGTTTTGCGTTTCTTCTCCTCCTTGCCGAACGGTCGCAAGCCGTTGAGCAAGCCGCTCGCCGACGACGAAAGTGATCGCCGCTTGGGCGAGGTCCTCGACGCCGCACCGCGCCGCTCCTCATCAGAATCGTCACTGGTGCCTCTGGGCGGCACCTGGCTCCCAATCGCGCCGCCTGACTGAGACAGCTGGTCCCTAAGGCCGGCCTTCCGGCTTCTCCATCCTCTTCTTCTTCGCCCTCTTCTGTTGTTGCGATTGTGGTTGGTCTCGCTTGAGCTGCGGCGCGGAGATGAAGACGTCGCTTCCGGCAACCGATGAGGAGTCGTCCATGCGCAGCAGGGAGGACGAGGTGGCGAGTCCCTTGCCACCGATGGTGGTCACTCCCTTGAACGTGCCCACGGTCAGCCGTCGCGAGCGCCGCACGAGGCGCATCATCGACTTCTCGCCGCTGCTCGTGGCCAGACTCCCGCCGCTTCCGCGGGCCGCGGGCACGCCGTTGTTGTCTTGTTCCTGCTGCTGGCGCGCCTTGAGCTGCTGGACGCGCTGCTCGATGAAGGCCTTGTGCTTCTTCTCCAGGTCCTGATTGAACGGATTGGCCTGCACCGCTAACGAAAAGTACTGATGCCCCGCAGCAGCTCTTGGTGAGACGTCGGGTCGAAAAAAACGCTCCAGCACACGTGTGGCACAAGCAACAAACACAAGACACACGCACGACACCACGACACGACACGCGAAGTGTCTTGAGTTGTACCTCGACAGTTTCTTGGGCACGGTCCGGGTCTCGGCCAGCACGTCGGCTTGCGTTGAGTCAATCCGCAGAGCTTCCTGGAAGACAAAGTGAGGAATGTCGGACATGTTGGCCGGATCGAGCGCGCATTCTTTAACATTCTAGAGCGAAGACGGACATTACCTGGTACTGGCGTTCGGCCAAGCGACGGAGTCGTTCGATGCGGACCACGGCTTCGCTCTCCTGTTCTTCGCCCTGCCGTCTGTACTCGGGCAGGCGCTCCTTCACGACCTCGGCCAACCGGTCGAGAACAGAGGCCAGCTTGAGCAGCATGTCGCAGTCGTCCGATTTCATGGCCAGGCCGGCAAGGTACTCGTCCCTCGCCTTGATTGAGCGATCGGAGTTAAAAGGGGTGTCGCCTTACCACCCCCGCACCAGCAGAAGCGTACCCGGTTCAGGTAGATCTCCTGGTGCTTCTTGATGCTGGCAAATGATCGCTCGGCGTGTCGCTCTGCCTTCTTGGCGTTGAGCGGCAGCTGCGAAATCTGCAGCATTTGGGTCAGCCGAAAGAGCTCAGCAAAAATAAGAATAATAATAGTAACAATGCAGCTGGGATCAGTGGCTGGGGTTGGACCGAGGGTGCGATTTGGACAACGGCGTCTTGCGTGGCCTCGACGGAGGCGGCCTCCTCTTCGCCGTTGCTGTTCACCCAGCGCCAGAGCCGGGCCTCGAACTCCTCGCTAAACTTGAGGCCGGCGAGGGCGGTCACGCGCCCGAAGACCACGCCCAGGTTCATCGCCTGCTTCAGGTCCCACTCCTTCGCCTCCTGCGTACGCCCGTACAGTCAGCCAAAGCCTCGTGTTGCGTGCCGTGCGTGCCGTGCGTGTCGTACCTCGTCGGGTGTCAAGGAGCATGGGTAGCGCGTCAGCAGGGCCTTCTTGATGTCCAGTGCCGCACGCAGCCCGGGACACGGAATCGTAGAGGAAGAGGCGGACGCGAGGTGCGAGTCGGTCGAGGACGCAGCCTCGGCGGCGGTGTGCTCCGACGACGAGCCCTGGCGCCAGAAGCGCGGGTGGTGGAGAAGCCGATGGAGGAACGCGCCCACCACGCGCTTGGTGTCCCGCTCCCCCACGCTCCGCACCGCCGCCCGCATGAGCTCCCGTAGCTTGTTCTTGAGCACGCGCGACACCATCTCTGGAAGAGGAAACCACCACGCACGCCCGGCGTGGGCGTCGTGGGAGGAAAAACGCGGGCCGTGTCCAGCACGTAAAATCGATTGTCCTTCCCGCGGTGGCCCTCTGCCGAGAGACAGAGGCGATGGGGCGTGAGCCGAGGCAAGCAGGCGTGAGGGGAGGGGGAAGGGGTTGGGTCGGGTTGGGTGCGCACCGATATCGCCAGGCCCGCAGATGGGCACCCGGCGCGCGGTCTTGAGCAGCTCTGGCGGCACGACGGGAACGATGTAGTGGGATTTGATGTTGAGCGCGCGGCCGGCCTTATTCATGAGCGCGTTCATCTCCTTGTACTTTTTGTGCAGCGTCTTGCCCCCGTCCGCCCAGCCGTACACGATCTGTTGATTTAATAAGCCGGCTGAGCAGTTGATGGAGGAGGAACGCACAGTGTTGGAGCCCACAGGCAGAATAGACGTGGCACTGAGCCGATAGCCCTTGTAGTCTATGAACAGTCCGCAACACGTATGAATAACTGCTTGAGCTCGAGTGACGTGAAAGAAGTGCGTACCGATGACGGTCATCAAGGGGAAGTGGAGGGTGTTGGGGAAGCGCGAGTTGAGCGAGTAGTTGATGTAGGCCGTGAGGCCCTTGATCTCGTGCTGCGTGGCCTTCATGGCGAACTCGTCGCCGCCGTACAGCTGCGCTGAGTCGATGGCGAACTTGAAGAGGATGCCGTGCGAGATGTACTTGGCCCCGCCCGCGACTCCGCCGAGGTTGACCGCCGGTATGAGCTTCTTGGCGTCCGGCTGCGGGAGCTCGTCGACGATGATCTGCGCCAGCACTTCGGCAATGACCGTGAATTGGCGCACCAGGTCGCCGATCTTGACCGCGAGAAAGAACGAAGATGATAAGAACGAAGCGAGAATATGTCGGGGGGGATGTGAGTGGTCGAGAGGCCTGACCTTGCTCTTGCCAGCGAGGAGGATGGGGTTGAAAGGTGCGGAAACGAAGTGGTCCTGTCATGCCAGCTCGCCGACGTCGACGAATCGGCCTCGTGGTGTGAGCAGTTCTCGTGGTGCGACTTCATGACCACCTGGAAGGACAACATCCAAGATTGTCTTCAAGGGCAGAACCTATGGTGTGTGACCATGGGCAAGGAGGAAAAGCTGGTTGTACTGGTGGCTGCCGGACAAGTTGTTCCCACCAAGGGGGCCATCTTCAAGGCCAGATGGCAACTCGCCAACTATCTACAGCGGGTCAACACAGCTCTCTCCATGATTAATCTGTCTCTCAATCAGCCTCTACACTCGCTCACCAGGGACGCAGCCACGCCCAACGTCATGTACAAGGCCATTCTACAACACTTTGATAGTCCTGATGTCAACCGCGACCTACATGACTTTGCTGAGCTCACCAACATCAAGATGAGTGACATGGAGACAATCATTGGCTACATCAACTGAATCAACGTCCTCAAGAGGATGACAACTGAGGAACACAAGTTCAAGCCAGTGTGGAAATATGTAGACCGCATACTCTGGTATTGTCACCATCATCTGCACAGACAACAAACACAACATGTGGTACCTGAACTCAGGCACATCACATCAACCCACATGACATGCCATCACAAGTGGCTCAGCCTCTTCAACCCCAAGTGCTCCACACACAGCGTCATGCTCAACAACAATGCCACACTAGCCATGCGCAGCAGCAGCGACATCCAGGCCACCATTCACATCCACAACCATCCAGTCACCATCGCCCTGAAGGGCATCCTCTACATGCCCAATCTCACAAAGAACCTGCTGTCCACAAGTCACCTTGTCCAGCTGGGATACACAATTCTCCTGAATCACAACAACCATACAACACCCTCAGGCATCACTCCCCCCTCTCATCACACACACAGAGCATAACATGCTTGTCATTGACCTGTCCCTGTCTACTCAACAGGCCCTCATGACTCGTGTCTGTGTGCACAGCTCAAGCAACCTCATCACCCTTGATCAGCTTCACCTGTGCATGGGGCACATCAGCACTGTGTGGCTGAGGTGAGCCACTGCAGCTGCAACAGACATCACATTGGCGCCAGGCTTGGAGTTATCATCCTGCAATGCATGCATCACGGCCAAGCAGCATTGGAAGGCCATCAGCATCAGACCTGCCCCATGCTCCACAATCCCTATGCATCTGGTCCACTCCAACATCTGCAGACCCTTCCCAACTCACTCCTTCACCAGTCGCCTATACTTCATCTCCTTCATCAACAACTATACATGACACACCACCATCTACTTCCTCAAGGAGAAAAGTGAGGTGCTCAATTGCCTACATGACTACATCACCTCCATCCCCACTGGCATGTGCATATGCGCCCTGCGGTCCAACAATGGTGGTGAATACACCAGACACAATGCCCAGGCATTCCTGAGTGCCTCCAGCATCAAGCATGTGCCCTTGCCTCCATACACCCCACAGTACAATGGTGTGGCAGAGCAATTCAATCATACCATTGTCAAGATGGCAAGAGCCATGCTCTTGCAACATCATGTTCATCATTGAGTGTCCCACAGTGTCGTCACCCATTGCACTGCTGGACAGCACTGCCACTACCATCCCAAGCCTGCCAGTAACCAGCACAGATGATCAACTTGAAACTGGTGTGGATGAGACTGTTGACACCTTGCTACTGGGTGAACAGGACACCACCCTCCACCATGTTGAATTGGATATGTCCATTGCCAACATGACTGGAGGTGTTGAGCTACCCTCCCCAATAAGCTCCCCCCCATGTTGCCTTGTGAGTGAATTGGGATGGACCTTCACATTGGAGTGGAGACTCTGCACAATGTTGTCCCACCCCTGCACTCACTGCTGGCGCTGCCTGTGAAGACCAAGGGCAAGAACAAACTGCTGCTGTGTCTGCCCAGCATGTGCTTGTGCAATGCTCCAAAATGCCTCATTGCCATGTGTGACATCACACAGCTCATGTCCCGTGTGGAACCTTGGAACTTCCATGAAGCCATGGTGTCACCTGATGCCCACCTCTGGCTCATTGCCATGCAGAAGGAGATTCACTCCATACTTGGGAATGCCACCTGGATGCTCTGTCTGCTGCCTGATGGGCGCAATCTCATTGACTTGTGCTGGACCTTCAAGGTTAAGCTACTGGCCAGTGGTGCTGTTGACTGCCCCAAGGCAGGCTTTGTTGCCAAGGGCTACTCCCAGGTCTAAGGTGTTGACTATGACAACACATATGCCCCAGTTGTCTGCATGGAGATACTGTGTAAACTACTGGCCTATGCTGTCCTCCATGGTCTGGCAGTCCACCTCATGTGTAGTAGTTGGTGGTGCTGATGAACTTGAGGTTGATACTGTCAGTGATTGTTGTGGTCATCTTCATAACACAACAGGGCCCATAACCTGTTAGCAGATAGCTGTGGTAATGAGTGGAAGATGGTGATATAGATGTATTGAGACAAAAGACTAAGAAGTCAAACAGAGTACAAGTGTAAGTGAATGGAGTTGAAATGTGTGGAATGCGCGTAGTGTGGTAACTGGATTACCATGGAGAGGGATTCTCCAACACTCTCCTCCTCCACAGTAAACAGTACCCTGTCCATGCGAGTGTTCTTATGCGTGCGGTGTGGGTTGTAGGTGGCGGTGAGGTAGTAAGTTGGGTTGGATGACTGTGTCTTTTTAACACACTCACTGTTTCGGGGTTATCTCCACGCCAGCCAATTAGCGCCAGTGCTGGCTCCGGTTGGGCCGTAGACAGGACCCAGAAAGAGCCATATTTCCGATAGCGATGTGCGCCTTGGTGTGGACGTGGCGCAAGTACGTAACGTAATCTACTTCTTCCTTTGTGGTGAGGAGCGTAACATTTGGCTCGAGGCGTCATCGTACCCCCAACTTTCAGGCCTCGAGGCTCACTTGGCGAGGTGCTGGGGCACAGGCGAGGTTGACTGCCTGGTGGGGGTGGCTCTGGCGGTAGACCAGCAGGCGTCGAAGTGGTGGAGGGCGGAGCCCGCGTCGAGGCGAGCCTCCGGGTCGACGGTCAGCATGCCCCGCACCAACGTCCAGCGCCCCACGGTCAGGTAGGGCGTTGGAACCGCTTTGCACCACCTAAGAGTTCCAAGTCGTGAGTAGACGACACGCACAACGCGCACGGCGTGCAACGCACGAGAGCAAGAAGAGATGAGACGAGGCACGGACCATCTGGCAGGGTCCAGCTGCTGCACCCACGCCTTGACTTCGGCGAGGCTCATTCGCGCCACGGTCTGGGTCTCCGTGTCACTCCTTGGCCACACCCCAAGCATCTGGTGGCCGGCTGGTGAGTGATGGTGGCGAGGAGGACCTTTACCGTCGAGGTAAAATAAGGAGAAGCGGAAGACCTACCTGAAACGCCAGAAGAGCGCCAGCGCTCCACATGTCGCTCTTGCAGCTGACCTCGCCGAACTGGAGCGTCTCGGGCGCTAAGTAGCCTTTCGTTCCCCACGGCTCTTGGCAGGTTCCGCGCACCGCGTCTTCGTCCGTGGCCAGGTCAAAGTCGAGGATAATTGTGCCGTGTTCTCCTCCAGCCACGGAGGGGTCTCGTGCGGCGGTGGTGAACACCACGTTGGCATGAGAGATGTCACGGTGGATAATCCCGCGCTCGTGTATGCCTTGCAGGGCCTGTGTACGTGTGTGAATCTTGTTTGAGCGACTAGTAATTCCATTTGCCGCTCTTCTCCCTCTCTCAGCGGGCGGGAGGGGAGGGGTCGTGCCTCGAGTAATTGCCGTGCGTATCGTGAAAAGTTGAGATCCGAGTCCAACTGCGCTGAGCTGATGCCTGCATGGCGATGCACCCCACCCACGAATGAGCAATTAGAAACGAAGCGTTCATGGGGTACCAACCGAACTGTGCATGTGTGGGCGGTGCATACCATTAGCGTCGGCGGTGGAAAGGCGGTAGTAGGGCATCACGAGGCCCGAACAGACAGTGCTGTCAGGCAGGCTGCAGTCGATCACCTCTAGAAGCTGCGCCACGTGCGGCACACGGCGAAGTTGTCCGAGCACACGCGCTTCCTCACTTGCGTGTTGCCTCGACTCGACCAGCTTCACAACGACCTCCTCGTGCCCGTCCGTGGTCGATCTGTGGCACAGCCAAACCTTGGTCGTGGAGTTCTGTGTGGGGAGGGAAGAGGAAGCATCAGACATGTCGGACGGAAGCAAGGCAAAGTTGTAATGCAGTGAGCGACAAACCTTGAAAAGCTGACGGATTGGCTTCAGCATCGACGAAGTAGAGGTCGTTTGTCCGCCGGCTCCGTCGCGGGGTCCGCGATCTTCCTTTGGCTCGGCTTTGGCCTTCGGGAGCTCGAGCTTGGAGGGCTTATGCTTCGGGCAGTACCAGGGCATGGAACCATGGGGGATCTGGGTGATGTCGAGACCAACGCACTTGGGATGAAACCAGTTCTGGCACTCGGAACAGAGCACGTAATGCTTGCCGTCATCCTTTTTCTCGCAGGTGCAGAACCGACTCCACCAGACATCGACGCGTGGGCCTCGCAGATCGTGGAGATTGAAGTTTTCCACCATGGTGCCGAACCTGATGGCTACGTTGATGGCCTCGTGGCGAAGCAGAAAGCACCGCTTCAGGTCGGTCACGTTGTCGATCAGCCGGTCGAACAGCACTCCGACGTGAAGGCCTCGTCCCCGGACGTGCCAGACGCAGGCCATGCGGAAATCAGTTCCGTTCATCCGCGTAGCTAGTGTGAGAGGAATGGCGGCGGAGAAGAGGGGTCCCTCGCCCGGTAGAGCATCGAGGAGATCGAGCTGGTAGAAAGCACACACGATTGCAGCGTAGAGCAAACGATACCTGGAATCGCGCCCCTCACACAGAAGTGATATTACGTTACTATGGCAGTCATTCAAGAGGAAGAGGCTCACGCACCACCCTTCCTCAGAATCCACTTGGTTCCGCTTGCACTCCACAATGTCAAGCGGGAGAATCGCCTTTCCAGCGCGTAGCGTGTCCCATTTGGAGCCAGATGCACATATGCCGACGGACAGGACCGGTCGCACCCAGTTGTCTTCATCAGTTTTTGTTGTTTTTTGGGGGATGGCTCGTGCTCCTTGGAGTGCCGCATCTCTGTGTTTGTGGAAAATGAGTGAGCCACCTGTCACAAGGCTAAAAGGACTGGTTCTGTACCCGTCCATTGTGAACCGGCTTAAGTCTGGAAAGTGGCCACCGAGGCTCAGCGTTCCAAGGAAGTGGGCTACCCACGCCAGCTCATTACAGCCATTAAGGGCTGCGCGGTGTTGGAAGCTGCTGAGCAAAAGCTCACCAGCAGCCTTGAAGTGGGTGCTGCGATCGCACAGCCCATTCCACCGCGAATTGACCTCCATCTCGTCGGCGTGCAAGAGCTTTAGGATACCACAAGACAATCAGCAAGGAATGTCTGAAAGTATGTGAGGGTGGAACTAACCGGAAGGAGATCGCGTAGAGTCCCGGAAACGCTGGCTGACTCCTTCAGCTGTGCGACAACCTTGTCTCGTTTGACGTACATCTTTGCTCGCCTGTGGCAGTAACTCTCATAGCTTGTTGATAGATGCGAAGAGGATATCACTTGCTCCGAAAACGTTTGGCGATGTCGGGATTTGTCGGAAATGGGAGTCGACTCTGCATAATTTAGATGAGAAACGAGAAGGGATGGTTGAACAGAAAAATCGTGGGAGGAATGATTACCTTTTGCCTGCGGGGGGGTCAAGCGTAGCACCAGTACCGGTTCCTGGGGCAGCTCATTGATGGGTTCTTCGGAACGTGCTACGTTGAGCAGGCCGTAGCCCTCAAGGTCCCCTCCGATTTCGCTCATGATCATGCCGCTCAATTGCGCGAACGACCGCACCGTGACCGAGCCTAGCATCGTGCACTGTTGTTCGTGCAAGATGGTAATCGCCTGGTAGTGCCGCGACGTCTCTGAGTAGAGGCCACCAAGAGTCAGTACTTGTAGCAACAAGAAGAAACGTAGTACCGGGAGCGTCTCCCATCTGCGTCTCCATCTCGAGATTGTTGTTTCTGCTAGTGTCTTCCCGCCTTTTCCGCGGCGCCAAGACTGCGCAGTCGGCAGGGCCATTTCGCGCGTTGTTTAATTACTATCACTCCACAACAAGCCACTGCACAGATTGCCAAAGCCCTTTTGCACATGATAGAACGCAATGGCTGCTGCTGCAACCCAAACTCTGCTGCCTCAGCCTGCCAGGTCCAGCCACACCAAGAAGCAGCCAACTGTATCCTCACTCACTGGTAGCATCACAAGCCCATTCTCAGCAAAGGCCTCAAACTCCAACCAGCAGCACTCATAGTAGTGCCAGGTGGACACTCTGCCCAAGCTAGTCCCACCAACTCTTCAATGTGGCAAGTGGTGGCCTCCAGTACCAACCCCTCCAGCCTTCCACCCAATGGGCTTCAAACATCCACACCAGCCACCTCACAGGCTCAAACATCCCCAACAGGCCTGGCTGGGCAAACTCAAACACCATCCCAAGCCACACCATTGACACCAACATCACCTGGAGTAGCAGCCACCACTCCTGACCAGGCCAGTGCAGCACCACAAGGATATTGGTCTTGATGGTCATGACCTGTGACAGTCACCACAGAGGTGCCCCATTGACCAACTGTGTGTTGGTGACAATCCACTTGAGGTCCTGACAAGCTTCCATGGTGAGGGGCTTGTGCCAGCTCCAGTTGTGCTGCCCACAACCCATCACCAGGTCAACAATCAGCCCCAGTACCTCAGCACATTGTGTTGGCTCCCACTCCCCTTGGTTGGCTGCCTGATCCAGCTGAGATGTCCCTGATCCAGTGGAGCTCCTCCATGAAGTTGTCAATGTATGCCATGCACATGATGCCCTGTTGCTGCCAGAATGTGATCATGGCCTTCATGACTTTTGTGAAGCTGATGATCTTTCATGGGGACCAGCATAGGCTGAAGGGAAGCACCTGGTAGTGGTACCACTGCTGGCCTACCTGAAAGCTGAGGAGTCATTTTGTGTTGTTGTCCATCTGGAGATGATGGTAACCCTGTGTTAGGTTGAATGTGATCATCCACCAGTTGGCCCCAGCCAGGTGTGCCAGTGTTGTCAAGCCTTCAAACCACGCCAATTGCAGACCAGGCCAAGGTTGATGTCACAGTCCACACTCAAGCCCCTGATCCCCAAGACCATTTTCCCTCTTACATTATCCAACCAATTTCCTGACCAGACCTCTGATGGTCACAGCTGTAGTTTGCACCCATCTCCCCTTGTCAATCTTCTTATCTGTTGTGTTGCCAATACATCTGTTCTTCCAGCCCCCTGTCTCTGCCCATGAGGACTTCAGACTGGTGGGGAGCTATCCAGAGTCAAATGTGGTACCTGAGAGGTAGGAGGCCATGAATCATATCTTGGAGAGGTTGGGTGTAGCTTGCAGGGGCCAAGTTGAACTTGAGGTGACACTTTGTGAGAAATCCCTGGGCTGACTGGTGGTCTTGGCCAAACATGGATGGGCAACCAATCTTTAGACTTCAGGGGCCACAAGCTCCTTCATTGTCAATTCACTAGTGAATTCAAAGCTCATGCTGGCTTGAAATGACAAGGGGAGCATCCTTGGGCCAGAATGGCTGTGGGTGAAGGAAGAGGTGCTTGCCCTGGGCGGGGCCAATGAGACCACCAAGCACCATGGTAAACCTGTTGCCATAGTGCATCCATGCCTTAGGTACAGGGGAGTGGGTGGGGAGTGGGAGGGGGTTTGAGTAATCAATGATCAAGCTCATGTAGACACTTGGCCAACTCTTGGCCTGCTGACATCTTTCCTTGTAACTTAGCCTTTCAGCAGAAGAGAGGGAAAGATGGTGAGCACAAGCAGTGGCAAACTGAGCAGCCTCAAGAGGGCTTGTGGCACACAGGCGCTGCTGAGCAAACTGAATACATGCTGAGCACTTGCCAAGGCAAGAGTTCTTTGGAAGCTTGACATGAGAGAAAACAGAGGCATGAGTTGGAAGCAGCAAGTGAGATGCAGGTGATGGACATGGTGCTGACAAGAAACTGTGTCCTCTCATGCTCATTCATAGGGCGAGGAGATAGCCAGAAGGTCAGCACTGGTGAAGGACCAAATGATGGCGGCTTAGGATCAACCTGATTGAGGATGAGATGAAGGTGATGCCACACAAGGAGCCAGAGGTCTTCAACTACAAACAAGGGCACACCAAGGATGAACATCATTGTGCAGCCAAGATGCTGGCATGGTCAGATTCCAGAAGGCCACTGTGGCACTGGTCTCTCTTTCTCTCTCTCTCCACTGCAGTCCATTCCAAAGCTGCTGCACCAACCACTCCAATTGTTGTTGAGCCTACCTCCCCAGCAAGTGCATATTGTCCTACTTTGCTCTCTGCTCAATTTCAATGCATATTTGTGTGGTGCCTGTGTAGCAGCCACAAAGGGTAAGGCAGCTGCCACCCCCAAGGAGTCACCATCAAAGCAACACCACAAGGCTCAGGCGGAGCTGCAGAAGAAATACAGCCCTCACATGTCCACCCTGCTGCACAAGCTACTTGCCAAACCTCTCCAATTTCATGCAAACATAATGTCATCATATTGCATCAACATTACCATCATCACTTGCCTCTTCCTTGCCAGACATAGGTGCATCAGTTGTCCCCTCAGGCAGCTCCTTCCTCTTCTTGGACTGAGGCTTGGGCTTGGCCTTGGCCTTGGGCTTCACTCCCTGCTTGCAGTTCTTTTTGATGAGGAACCACACCAGGTGCGTGGCCTTGCAGAAGTAGACCTTGGTGGTGGTGGTCTCAACCCAGAGGTGGGCTGAGGCAGAGGCAAAGCAGCGTTTCAGCATCTCAAGGAGGTTGCAGAAACCACCACAGGTGTGCTCACTTTCATCAGTGATGTTGTCACCTGCCAAGCCCTCCATGACCTCATCAACCATCCAATCTCCCTCTCAGTTGCTTGTGGTGAGCTCACACTCAATGAGCCTCTTGAGCTTCTGGTGAGAGGTCATCTCCTGGGGAGATGAGCCTTTCAGCAAATGTTGAACTGCCAGAATTGGCCAAGGTGGATCAGCCTGAGCACCCAGTTGCCTTCAGTGTCAACTGTCTCAGGACAGAGCCATTGTGCACCTGTTCAGGCTGTGGGGGTCTTCACGGAAGTGCTCCGGTGTCCACCTTTGCGTTGTCCTTTCGCGTCTGCGAGCCGACTCAATAACAATCCCGGCCACGACGAGTCGCGACAACTTCAAACAACCCGATCCGGCGCTCTCGTATCTTAAATCTTTACTGGTTGCCCTTCGCACTTTTGTTTCCTTCTTTCATCGCTTTCGCTTTCGTTCTTTCGTTCTTTCGGTTCGGACCTAGTTGATGTTGGTCCGCTGGTTGGATTCGTAGGCGACCACCTGGGGCGTCTTGATGCCCAGGCGGTACATGTAGGACTTGCGCAGGTAGAGCTGGTCCTTGGCCTCGGGCTTGACGGCGAACACCTGCTCGGGCACGCCGGCGAGTCGCGGGTTGAAGAGCGCGACGGTCCGCTCCTTGGTCAACTCCGGCTCGTCCTTGCCCAGCAGGTCCTTGTTCTCCTCATCGGCGCCGGCCTCGGGCTCGGCCGGGCTGCTGGCCGCGGAGTAGATGGCAAAGCCCAGCAGCACGACGACGAGCGACACGATCGTCTCCCAGTTGAAGTCCTCGGTGAATTGGAACATGATGAAGTGCAGCGTGTAGACGACCTGGGTCAGCGGCAGACGCAGGGCGAAGGCCAGCGTGAAGAGCGTGGCTGAGGCGTGCTTGGTGACGAGCAGGATGAAGATGTTGTAGCCGAAGTTGACGAGGACGTACATGCCCGTGAAGAGGTAGTTGTACTCACACGAGTCGCCCGGCAGCGTGTTCCATCTGTCGGCGCACTCCGCGTTTCGGTCAATTAAGGGGAAAAAAGGCTAAACAATGTGCAGGACCACCACACACCAACGACAAGAGAACAAGTATAATCGTAATCGTAATCGTACCCGAGAAGACAGAAGTAGCCGTTCTGGATCTGGTCGGGGATGTCGCTCGCCGAGATGCCGCCGAAACCGGGGAGCATGGTGACCGGGAGGAGGGACAAGCTCACGCCCAGCTGGAACCTGCGTCAGCCCGAAGGTCGGTCAGCTCTCTACCGACTCCTCCTCCGTCACCCCCCCCCACCCCTATCAAGGAAATTGGGAATAAGCACGCACCAGGCCACCCAGGAGCCCATGTAGTACACGTCGAGCACCACCTGCCCGAACGCGAGCTCCTTGGTGACGTTGGACAGCGCCTGGGGAACATTGTTGGACCTGCGGGTCGGGGTAAGCGTGAGAAAAACCGGTTACGTTGGTCGAGCGAGAGAAGCGTTTGGGTGGAAGCTTGGAGGGCGGAGCGGAGGGCGGAGGGCGGGGGTACGTACACGTAGATGAGGATCGCATACCAGAGGGCGGGAGGATTGTCGCTGTTCTTGTTGCTGGTGAAGAGCGGGATGAGCGCGACGAAGGCGCCCGCGAGAATGATTCCGGCGCCGCCGATCTTGCCCAGTCCGTATCTCGCCCGGAGGACGATGAAGGAGGCCACCATCGTCATGGGAATGATCGTCTAATGTGCACGGCAACGATATTTGGTCCGCGTATGTGTGAGGGTTCATGGTCTGGGCATTAAGTTCTGCGTGCTTGTGAGTGCTGTGGGCGACATAGCGCGTGTGCGCACCTGATTGATGATGTTCTGGAGGGTGGCCGGCGTGTTGGGAGCACCGATCGAGAACAGAAAACCGGCAAGACCATCGAACACGCCGAAGAGGAAGAACTTCCACACGGGGAAAGCCCTGCACACGCACTCAATCGTGAGATCTCACTGCGCAACGCAACGCAACGCAACAAAGAGTGCGGAAGAGAGAGAGAGAGAGAGAAGGGGAGCGATGTGTGACGCACTTCATCTCGTCGGTGATGTCGTTGGTGAAAAAGTATTTGTAGGAGGTGATGATCTGCGCCAGCACGCAATACGTCAACGTCGTGAACTGGTTGTTGAACCAGGCGTAGTTGGAGCCGAACTTCATCTGATTGTACCGACCCGTGACACTGTTGGCTGTGTGTGGTGTGGTGGTGAGATGTAAGCAACGAGAAGGAGGAGAACATGATGACAAGGGAGGGAGTACCAATGCCAAAGAGGACCAGAAGGAAGAAGTAGAGGAGAATGCGGAGGGTCTCGGGCGTGAGCTTGGCGCGCCAGTAGGCGGCGGAGAAGAGCTGGACAAAGTCCGCCTGCTTCCTGGCCAACCAGGACTGGCCCGAGGCTTGCTTGCCCAGCAGCGGCACGTCGTCATCCGGCATCCGGAGCTCGTCCATCGATGCCTCTGTCTTTCCCCGGCTGCTCTTCATCTGTACGACGCGGGCGTGCGCGCGACGCAATGAAAGGGAGTCAGGGCCAGCGACGAGAAGAGAGGAGAGTGTTCAGAGAGAGAGAGAGTTCTATTTCTTGGCACCGCAAGGTTTGGCCCAACACCCAAGTTGGGCTGGAGAGCAAATAAAATGGAGATTAAAATAATATATCAATATTATTAGTATAAAATGAGCTTCTTGGATAAATCTAAATAAATATAATCAGACAAGAACATTGGAAGCCCAGCCACAGCTCCGGGGAAAGGAATTGATCAAAAGATAAGAAAACGAGAAGGAGCTGGCGCACCTCTCGTGCCTTGAAGCTGTTACAAATCAAATGGGGTGATTCGTGCTGTGGCGACGGACGGGGGGCGAAACGGAGAGAACCCGAGAAGATGGAAAGCGTTGCCTCTTTTCCCGCGTCACGCAGCAATTCCCACCTTTATTCCGGAAACGAGACTGGGAAACGGAAAGTAGAAAGCAAATAAACAATTATTTTGTGTGAAATTAAAGAATGGGTAAAAATAAAAATAATATATACATAAATCGGTATAAATAGGTCGTTTTGTTTTAGTTTGGCCGCACGAGAAGATACAGAGAACAAAAGAGAGGAGACAGGGACGCGATGTTCGGTTGAGTGTGAGGGACACTCGAGCAAATGATCACGTTCGTTGGCTCTCGCTCGCCTCTTCCTCTCCTTGCGGCTGCGTGTGTTTGGGTTGGTGGTGGGTACTCAGCTCTCCTCGGGCTGCTCGTTGTGGTAGACGTGCAGCTCGCCGTCGAGCGAGGCGGCTACGACCACCTGGCCGTGCACGCCCTCGAATGCCGGCGCAAACGACGCAGCCGTGGCCATGCCCTCTTCCTCATCGGTGACTGTCGCGTTGGTGAAAGAAGAAGACGAGGATGGTGTTGATGAGTGGGATGCTGTAAGCACGGACGTGAGTCGTAGATCGAGCAAGTGCTGCGTACCTTGGAAGAATTCGCACGCCTTGTTTCGTTTCTCCTTTCCCGCTTCCCACAGAAATACATTCTGGTCCTCGGAGCCCGCGACTACGTACTTGCCGTCAGGGCTGCGGGGGGGGGGGAACGGTGCGGTGTGAGCGAGGCATGGGAAGACGGAAACGGTGGCGAAGAACGAGCTTGGAAAGAAGAACGGAGGGCAGCAACGAACCTGAGTGTCGCTTTGACCTGGAACTCTCTGCTGGTGTAACCGGCGTATTTACAGATCAACGAAAAATCCTTGGTTCTGTACAACCGTGCCGAAGAATCATTCGATGACACCAACATCTGGCCATCAGGAAGAGGAAAGAGAGACAAACAACACACCAGTCAGCTAGGCACTGAAACGCTCGCCCGGGCTGCGCACTCAACACGCGTGGGAAATGCGTACATGTTTGCCGTCCTTCGAGGCCTCAATTCCAGTAACCTTGCGGCGGATGTGATCTCTGGCCTTGAATCGCGAGTTGTGAACATGCATCTCCTTGGCCACCTTCATCTCCTGCGATGTTTGCCAAGCGGGGGGGGGGGATGAGAATCATGCTGGCGGCTTCGGCCGAGCCATACTCAAGTGGGCCAAGCCGTGGCGACTAAGCGACCAAGTGGCTGTGCGTACGATTGTGGGCCGTGGCGAGGTCGAGCCCTCCGCGTCCGGGCTCGTGGGCTCTTTTGTTATGGCCTCCTTCAGTGGACGATGAACAGAGCAGAGGAAGAATGAAGAAGTTAGAACAAAAACAATCGTGGTGGCGTGGTCATACGGAGAGGTCGCACCTCAGTCTCGCACAAGAGGAGCTTGCCAGTGTCGGTGCCAACGACGAGATATTCGCCCTTGTCGGACACGAATGCGCCCGCCGTGATCATGTCGCCAATCTCCACTTGGAACGCGATTCGCTTGCGAGGGATGTTCCAAACGTAGATTCGCTTATCCAGACCTCCGCTCATGAACACCTTGTTGTTCTGTAAATACACCATAAATTCCAGGTTTCGTTTCGAGTCAGTGAGATGGCCAGACGAAAACGCAAGCATCGGGGGAAGCAAAGGGGAAGCTTACGATCGGGTGAAACGCGACTGTGGTGACAAAATCCTTGTGCTCAAAGCACGAGACGCAGTCATCGCACGACATGTGCCAGAGTCGCACAGTGCAGTCCATCGATGAAGAGAGCAGAAATTCGTTCTGTGTGGAAGAAGAATGTAAGTGTGTCAAACGACGGGGCTGCGTGCAGGCGCCACGGGCACAAAGGGGACATACGTTCGACCAGGAGATGCAAAGAATATCGAGAGTGTGGCCAGGGAAACTCTTGTAGCAAACAGGATCCAGCAATTGAGTGAGCCGCCCCTGCTTGCCTTCATCTGCGACGGCCAGTCGATATGTAAAAATGAGAGGCAACCGGTGACGGAGCAATTATAAGCAAACACGGCGTGAGATAACGAGCGAGGGGGTAGGCAACTGTTCTCACCCGTGGCAAACTTGGGGTCCACCCGCCACACGCGCAGTACACCGTCACTGCCCGCAGTCGCGAGGTATCGCCCGTCGGGGCTGAATTGCATCACCCAGATCGCACCTTTTGTGGTTTTGATGATCGCGGTGAGTAAGTGCAAGGCCGAGCGAGCAGAAACGAGGTGACGCGATCTCATGTACCGTAATGTCCGCCTTCTTGTTCGCCCAGCGTCTGTACTTGGTACAGTTTGTTAAATGTTGCGTCCTTCTTCTTGTTCTTCTTTTCAACCTGCGCAGGCCCGACCGCCAACAAACAATCAGTAACTGCCAGCCAGTGAGGGAAGAAGATGGGCGAATGCGCACCTTGATGTAGCCATTCTCCTCGCCCGCTTCGCCCTGCTCGGACTCGCCGGCCTTCTTCGTTGGCTTCTTCTTCGAGTCCTTCCTCGCAGGCTTCTCCTTGTCCTTGGGCGTCCGCTTGTGGAATATGCTGAGCCGCACCAGACCACCCTTCTTGCTGCCCTCCTTTTCCTTGCCTTTGCTGTTGTTCGTCTCCCTGCTGCTGCTGTTCTCCTTGTCGTTGCTGTTGCGCTGGCCGCCGCCGGACTTGCTGCCGTCGTCGCCGTTGCCCCGGCTGTTGGTCCGCTCCTTCTCCTCGCCGTCGCCTTTCCGCTCCGTGCTGGCCGAGGAGAAGGACTCGTGATGCGAGCTGTCCACGTTGCGAGCCGAGTTCGTGTTGTGCCACCGTTCACGAGAGTCGGTGTAGCCGCCACTGCGCGGCCCGCTACTGTCTCGCCGTCCGTTTTGGTCGACGTGGGGCAGGTCCTCGAGCTCCTGCAGCGAGGAGATGATGGTGTCGAGGTTCTTGATGGCCTTCTTGCGCTCCTCCTTGCGCTGCGCCTTCTCCTTCTCACGCTCCAGCTCGCGTTCGCGCTCTTCGTCCGTCATTCCGCCTGCTCGCATCCCACGCACTAGCACGGCCGTGCTATCTGCTAATGACACACCGTGTTCACGTAGCAAACAGTCAAAAGATGCAGCGGCAAGTGCGTACGAAAGTAAAGCCATTTGACCCAATCGAAGGCAAGTGGTTGACTTGTAGCTGAAATAACGACGCCAATATCAAATCAAGAAATGAGGAGAGGGGGGGGGCACCAGTCAATGGTGGGCGCTGTCTGATGTTGCCACTGCTCGTTCGATCTATTCCTCCTCCACTGCTGCCACCGCTAAGGCGAGGCGACATAACAGCTCGCGCGATCGAAGGTGAAGTGTCAGCCGCATGCGGGATCGAGCCCACCCTTTCTCCCTCCTCCATCGCGGCTCGCTTCATGGCGGTTCGCCCCAGCGTCTCCTTGCCCTTCTCCTTACCCTTGTCTTTGTTCTTCTTCTTCGCTCTGCGCTTCAACTCTTCGCTTGATGTCGAGTCGTCGCTATCTTCTTCCTCGTCTTCCTCCTCGTCATCGCTGTCACTGCTTGATTCTTCCTCTTCATCTTCATCCTCGTCTTCAGAAGATTTTCCATGACGCCTGTATTTGTGTTCTTCCTCCTCGTCCGAGCTGCTGCTCTCCTCGTACGACGAATTCATCTTCGCAGTCGAATGCGTGCACAGTTGCTACTCGACCAAATCAATCGAATGGACCCAGATAAACGCAGAAATGGGTGAATTTTTCGGGTATGCCCTTGGAAAATGGCAGCAGACGGTGCGAGTGAGGGAGGGCAGCTTCGTTACTCGCGGCTTAGTCTGAGGATGGGAGTGAGGGGCCTGTGGCGGTGAAGATGGGCGCTAATTCGCAGTCACTCTCCGCCCACAGCAAACCTGACAACCCGCCCCACAATCCCCGTTTGTCGACAGAAACCGTGGTGCTCTGCTCTGAGTAAAAACAAAAGCCGTGTGAAGCACGCCCAGTATTGTCCAGTAGTGCCCAGTGCCCCACAAACGTCAGAGTTCTGGCTCTTTGCGATCAGAAGTGCAAGGTGCTCCTCAAGAAGCTCCACCTTTCCACACCAACCTAGTAATGAACTCACTCACTCAACATGAGTGACAAAAAAGAGGGTGAGGGAAGTTGGCGTCGCATGTAGGTGTCCTTCAGTGGTTCCGGCTCCGCGCGGTCGTTGTGTTTGGCCGCTGGGTGGGCTTGATTGCTCTCCATGGCCGTGGGTGGTCCCCAACCCTTCGCGAGTGCGAGGGGTGTGTTGGCGGGTGACCGGTGGTTGAGGCCATCGAAGGGGGTGGAGCGGATGAAGGCTGGAGTTGGATTGGTGGTCGACTGGCCAGTTCTCTCCGTCGTGGAGGGGTCCGGCCGTCGAGTGAAGTGCTTGAGCTCCGTGGAAGGAGCTCGTGCGGGTCGACAAGCTCAGCGCCTCGCCTGTGGTGGCGAGGCCGGCTCGTTCGTGGCGGAAAGTAGTGGTATCTCATTGTCGCGCAGCGTCGGTGTGCGCTGGCTCCCACCTATTCTGCACCTCGCCGCAAGTTGGTGAAGGTATCGTGGATCGAAGAAGATGAAGTGAATCGTCGGGATTGATGCATGAGTAGTTGATGGTTGATGTTCGAAGTAACATGCTGACTGGTCGGTTCGCCGCTGCCGCCAAGTGAATGGTACAGGAAGGCTCGCCGGGGCTTCCCTCGCCCCATCTTACAACACTCAGCGACGCGCCCTTTTGCCCGCGCAGCACTCTCGCCCGGGGGCTATTGTGGGACCAAAGAAGAATAAAGTCGCAACTGGACGTGGGCAGTTGTTCGTGCGGAGTCTGGGTGACAATAGGACCGTTCGGGATTGGGTGAAATAGCAGTTTGTGCGAAATGTTGTGGCAAGGCAGTGTGTTGCTATCTGTGCTGCTGATCAGCGGCCATTCTCCGGGGAGCTCATCTTCGGTGTGCTCTGTTGCGGGTGACAACATGTTCACACGCCGGCGAATTGGCGGCTCTCCCACGTCAGCGTGATTGCACAAGGCGAACACTACCACCAGGTCGTCTTTCACCCCGTGCGCCCATTTCCCCCGTCAGACAACTCTGCGGCCATTCTTCTACTCTCCTGAACCCTGAGCAAACGCCCCGACGAGGCTGATGGGACCGTCGACGCCAGCTCTCGTGACCATCGTGGCCGTGTGGGCGTTCCTCCTCCTGACGTCGCACGTTTCGCCCGGTACAGTTCTTCTTCCCTTCTCGAGCCGCTAGTTCTCATTCTCACTTTCTTGCAACGACGCAGGCGCGGCCGGCGTGCAGCTTGATGGAGCTGGTAGCTCCAACTCCGCGGGCATCCTAGCTGCCTGGGCGCATGCTTACCGATACACACGCGACGACGTCAGGTGCGCCACCTTCCTCTTTTTCTCTTCCCCCTCTCTCCTACGTCTGCGGGCTCACCTGCCCCTTCCCGCAGAATTAACTACAGCCAGCCTGGGTTGCAGGTGGCCCTCACCCAGTACTCGCAAGGCATCGTGGTACGTCGCTAGCACCGCTTCTCTGTTGGGCTTGGTGGTTCTTGAAGAAATAAATAAAGAAATAAAAACAATAATTAAAATAATAAGTAAACTCACCAAAAGCGTAACGTGCCTACCGATAGGACTTCCTTGCCACGGACCGCGGCGTCTTTGGCAATGACTTCAGCAACTTGATACAACTGCCTCTGGCGGCACAGGCGATGGCCATGGGCTACAACATTCCCTCACTCCATTCCTCGGACCCCGCCCTGGTATTTATCGCCCCCCCCCCCAACCTACACCCAAACAATCGCTCACTCAATGCCGTCTTGCTACACAGATCATGAACAGGACGGTCTTGGCCGCGATTTGGGCTGGAGAGATCACGATGTGGGACGATACAGCCATTCGAGAGCTCAACCCTGCCTTGGTGGGCAAGCTACCGTCGGAGCCGATCGCCGTCGGCTATATCGACTCCACCATCACCATTTCGTTCGTCGAGGTGCTTAAGAAAACGCTGGAGAGCTTCAGCGACGACTTCCGCGTGGCTTTCGCCGCGGCCAACCGCACCTTTGGAAAGCTTCCGGGTGCCGCAAGCGGCGGCACACTGAAGCTCATCTCCGGCTCATCACCTGCTCGTGCTGCCTGGATGATGGTACACCACTCCTCCCGTTTCTATCGTTCATGTGCGCTTGACGTTTGGTGGATATTCCTTGCTTACCGCATCGAGTGAACTACACAGCAAACCAACTACAGCATGACATTCCTCAACTTTGCCGAGACCGTGGGCCAGGTGCCTCTCATGCGCATGTACAACAAGGCAGGCACCCTCGTTGATCCCAGCGTCGCCTCCGTCCAGTCTGCCATGGTACCCTTCTCTACAACGGCGAACGCACAACCCTCCCTGCTCATTCCTCCTGGTCAAGAAGACACTAACGCCCAAGCGCAGGCCGACTTTGAGGCCTACTACGACAACGGCGAGTTTACGGTGGACATCCTCGACGCCAATGGAACCAACTCGTGGCCCATGGCCTACCTTACCTTCCTCTCCATGGACTTCAACGGAAGCTACGCCGACTGCACCAACGTGCAGGAGCTGCTCAACTTTGTTTCGTGGATCGACACCAATGACGAGTACGCCGTTGACTGCTGTCCCATTTATCACACTGCAGTTGCGAGTGGTTTCTCACCAAGCCTTCTTACGCCTATCTCCTTGCAACAGGGCGTCTTCGACAGCGATCGCAGCGAACGTGGCACCACTGGACATCGGCCTGCGAAAGAAGCTCATCAACCAGCTGAACGGCGTACAGTGCAACGGGCAACAGGCCTTCACCAAGGCATTCCTGGTGGGCGTTGGGGCGGAGCTATCGCTCATAACCTCGTGGTCGGTCTCGTGGTCGGCCGACCAGAGCAAGCTCAAGTACTACCAGGAGACGTCAACCGTGGCCAAGGAGCAGCTGGTCCAGTACAACTCTGATTTCGGTGTAAGCGTCAACGCGCTCACCGACGGCTGGGTACAACAAATGAGCGACGTGGGCCAGATACCTGCCGCCGCCTTTGCCCTGGCCCCAGGTGATACTCACTCGTGCCTGCACATTTTATTGGAACATTCTCTCACACGGTCATTTTATGTGTTTGCCTTCAGGATACAACATTCCTGAGCTGGCTGGCAACTATTTGGTGCTCGACTGTGAGACGCTGGCAGCGATCTACTTGAACTCGATCACCATGTGGAATGACTCGCGCATCAAGAGCATCAACTCGCCCGTTGTCGCCGCCCTACTACCCGCCCAGCCGATTGTAGTGGTCACGCTCTCCGAAAGTTCGGCCATCACGCAGCTCTTCACCTACATGCTCAACGCCACCGTGCCCAGCTTTGCCGCTCAGGTACCCTCTCACCCAACTGATCAACACACTCAAAGAAGAAGACCCCGTACGAGCTCACGGCTTGCCTTGGCAAGGTCGGTGTTGGAGGGTTGCCCCACTTCCCAGTCTTGGACGCGTTCAACAGGTCGCTGACAGCGTCTGACGGCGTAGGGCTCACGTCGCTCCTGCGGTCCACCACGTACTCGATCGCTACGTGGATGCACCAGCCGCTTCTGCAGGTGTGATACCCCGCCCCCAAGCGCCCATTTTGACCGTAGATTAGATCTAAACCCGCGAGGTTTGTATGTTCAGAGCCGCTCGCTGGGCGTAGCGTCGATGATCAATCCGGCCAACAAGACGGTGCGCGCCTCGATGACTTCGGTGGCGAGCGCGATGAACGACTTCCTCCAATCTGGCACCCCGCTCGCCTACACGTCGCTCGTACTGGGTACGTCACCACCCTGGCCGGCCACCAGTCCCGGTAGCACCCTAAACTCACCATTGTTGTCACCGTGCTACTACTTGGCTTCAGGCAAAGGAGAAGCAAGCTGGCCGCTCGCCACCTTCGCCTCGATCATCTACCGACAAAAGTCAATGAACGATTGCAGCGACGCCCGAGCGCTGGCCGACTTCCTGTGGTGGTCGCAATTCGACCCCAACGCCGAACAGGTGGCCATCAGGTTCGTCCCCCCTGCGAACACTCCGTAGTGGCGCACTCACATAGTCACATTCTGCTTTCCCGCCTCTAGTCAAAACTACGTGCTGGCGTCGTCAATTGCCAGAGCCAAGAGCTACTTTCTCAGGCTGATGAAGAACTTCACGTGCGACGGCGTTGCGGCGAGCAGCTACGCCGGGTGCATCAACGACGGAATGCTGTGCTCTGACCAGGGCACATGCACCGACGGCGTGTGTCAGTGCAATTCGGGGCGAACGGGCCAGTACTGCGACCAGCTCTCCCAATCCAGAATCAGCGACGACCAGCTCGTGGCCATCCTGCTCGGTAGCTCCTCGCCCGCCCATTTCCCCCTGGACCAGCCCAGGCCGCTGACTGTGAAACCATCTCCCTACAGGCACGATCATACCGTTGGCGTTCTGCTGCTGCCTGCTACTGGTCGGTGCCATCATCTGGGCCGGGTACCTCTCCCGCGCCAGGAAGCGAGGCGAAGACGACTGGGAGATCCGGTACGACGAGCTCGAGGTCGGCGCGCACCTGGGCACGGGTGGCTTCGGCGAGGTCTACCGGGCCACGTGGAAGGGCACCGAAGTGGCCGTCAAGGTCATGTTGGCCGAACGGGTCACCAAGGACATGGCGAGGCGATTCAAGGACGAGGTACTCCCCAAGAGCTCTGCTGTGTGCATCCCATCTTGCTTATTTGGTATACAATGTGTACGTCACAGGTGAGGGTGATGACGGCGTTGAGGCATCCCAACGTGGTGCTGTTCATGGCGGCGTCGACCAAGGCGCCCAAAATGTGCATCGTCATGGAGTACATGGCTCTCGGCTGTTTGTTCGACGTACGCACCAATCCCCCCCCAAATCGATCTCGGTCTCTTTGGTCCGGTTCTTATCATTCTACGTCCACGACAACGCGACACGAACACAGTTGCTGCACAACGAGCTGATTCCGGAGCTGCCGTTCGCGCTCAAGGCCAAGATGGCCTACCAGGCCTCCAAGGGCATGCACTTCCTCCACTCGTCGGGCATCGTGCACCGCGACCTCAAGTCGCTCAACCTGCTGCTCGACACCAAGTGGAACGTCAAGGTGAGCGACTTCGGCCTCACCAAGTTCAAGGAGGACATCGGAAAGGGCGCAGAGCGCGACATCGGCGGCAGCGTGCACTGGACGGCGCCCGAGATTCTCAACGAATCGGCTGACGTGGACTACATCTTGGCCGACGTGTACAGCTTCGGCATCATCCTGTGGGAGCTGCTCACCCGCGAGCAGCCCTACTTCGGCCTAAGGTACACAACCACCTCTGCTGGCACACGGCCCGCTCACCACCCCCTGACTGACGCCTTTGCTCTGCGATACAGCCCTTCGGCGGTGGCCATTTCCGTCATTCGCGACGGCCTCCGACCGCACATGCCGCATAACCTGGGCGGATGGCCGGCAGAGTACGACGAGCTGATCACGAGCTGCTGGCACCACGACACCACCATTCGCCCCACGTTCCTCGAGATCATGACCCGCCTCTCCACCATGCACGGCGGCTCCACATCGGCCGGCGTGACGACCTACACCTCCAAGACTTCGTCCTCCTCGGGCAACTCGGGATTGGCCAATATACCGAAGAGGAACAGCTTCGGGTCGTGGACGCTGCCCTCAGCCACCAACTCGTCCGTGGGCTCGTCCCACTCATCGCGGAACTCGTTGGCGGCGGCGCCGATGACTGGCAAGGACGTGCGGCCGCCCGAGGGCGAGGTGACGATCGTGTTCACCGACATCACGCGCGCCGCCTCGCTCTGGGAGTTCAACGCCGCCGCCATGCGCGACGCCACGCTCCTCCACAACGACATCCTGCGGCGCGCGCTGCAAAAGCACCGCGGCTACGAGGTGGTCTTCATCAAGGACAAGAACTCGGGCGAGGGCTCGTTCTGCATGGCCTTCCAGCACTCCACCGACGCGCTGGCCTGGTGCTCGGAGGTGCAGCAGGTCCTGCTCGCTGCCTTCTGGCCCGAGGAGCTGCTGGAGCACCCGGGCGCGGCCGAGGAGTGGGGCGACACCGACAATCGGGTCATGTTCAAGGGCCTGCGGGTGCGCATGGGCGTGCACGTGGGCACTCCACGCATGGTGCGCGATCCGATGACGCGGCGCATGGAGTACATCGGACCGGTGGTCAACGCCGCGGCCCGGATCACGGCTCTCACACACGGCGGCCAGATCGTGATGAGTCAGGCCACCTACGTCCGGGTCAAGAACGACCTCGCGGCCCAGGGGAAGGTCATCCTTGGGCTCGGTCGCTTCGAAATGCCCGACCACCCACGAGGTCTAGACCCCATCCATACCTTCCATTCCACGCTCTTCTTTCAACACTTGCACTTCTCTCTTCTGACATTCCGCTCTTCTCTTCTTGTCGGCCGGCTGCGCACAGGGTCGAAGCTGTACGAGTTGAAGATCGCTGGGCTGGAGGGGCGCTTCTTCGGTGGCGTGGCGATCGACAACCTCGATCACGAGGCCGACAGGTCCACCAGCACGCGCGCCTCCTCGAACCGAAGCACGATCTCGGGGGCCAGCAGTGCCGGCAGCGAAGTGCAGACGGTCGTGGGCGAGGGCATGATGTTCAAGGAGGACACCTTCCTCACGTCGGCCAACCTGTGCCGCTGGATCATCGACTTCGCCGAGATCCAGGTCGGGCGGCAGGTGGGCCTCGGGTCCTACGGCACGGTGTACCACGGCAGGTGGAAGGGCGTGGAGGTGGCGGTGAAGCGGTTCATCAAGCAGAAGCTGGACGAGCGGCGCATGCTCGAGTTCCGCGCCGAGATGGCCTTCCTGTCGGAGCTTCACCACCCCAACATCGTCCTCTTCATCGGTATGCAATCGAAACCCCAGACAGCTCACCCACGAACTTGGAGAGCTGACATTGTTGTTTGTTTCGTCCGATCAAACAGGGGCGTGTGTGAAGAAACCCAACCTGTGCATCGTGACCGAGTTCATGAAGCAGGGCTCGCTCAAGGACATCCTCACCGACAGTTCCATCAAGCTCACGTGGCAACACAAGCTCCAAATGCTGCGACGAGCCGCGCTGGGCATCAACTACCTGCACTCACTTCACCCCATCATCGTGCACCGCGACCTGAAGCCGTCCAACCTGCTGGTGGACGAGAACTGGAACGTGAAGGTGGCCGATTTCGGGTTCGCGCGCATCAAGGAGGAGAACGCCACGATGACCCGGTGCGGCACACCCTGCTGGACGGCGCCGGAGGTCATCCGCGGGGACAAGTACGACGAGCGGGCCGACGTGTTCTCCTTCGGCGTGGTCATGTGGCAGGTGCTCACGCGCAAGGAGCCCTTCGCCGGGCGCAACTTCATGGGCGTGTCGCTCGACGTGCTCGAGGGCAAGCGGCCCCAGATCCCCAATGACTGCCCGCCCGAGTTCACCAAGATGCTGAAGCGGTGCTGGCACGCCTCGCCCGGCAAGCGGCCGCACATGGACGACGTGCTGGCCTTCCTCGACGGACTCATTGCCGGCGACGAAGAAGACGACACCTACCAGCCCAGCGTCGTGTAGCGTACGGACCGGTCAGGAGAATTTTGTACTCGACATTCTTCAGCATTCCAGCATTCCTGCCTTGGTTACGCGAACAGAATTGGGTGAGCCGCAGTGTTTATTATTGTAATTCGATTTTTCACAAACACTTGAAGCAAATAATTGAGGATCTGCCGCCTTGATGGAAACCGAACTCAATCTGGAGAACCTTCTGGTACCTCACGGCAGTGTGGCAGTTTTTTTCTTCATGATCTTGGATTAGATCTCATTTCTTTTCAATCTCCTCCAAGGCTGGCACGCTCCGCACCCAAGGATTGGCAAGCACGTTGCTGGCCAGTGATTCACACGAGGCCATTCCCCTTCAGCAGCAAGCGGTAACTCCCCCTTCCCCTTATGAAACGGGAGTCAGCAGTCGTGTGACCCGGAACTGTGGGTGTGGTACAGGAGGACCACCCGCTGTATTGGGTGAACGCTCTGCGTGGGCGGGTCACCAAGCGGCTCATGGTGAAGCTGCAGGCCACCCTTCTCGCGCAGGGCAACGCGTTCCTCGATCAGTTCATCAAATACAACGGCATCAGCTGCCTGCTCGACGTACACGAAGATCTCTTCTGGCGGTTCGATCTCACACCTTCATCATATGTGCACTGCGTGTGCGGTGGTGTGTGCGTGTGCGTGTGCGGTGGTGCGTGTGCATGCTGGGCTGATTCGGCTGATGTGTCCGCGCACAGGACGTTCGAGCCAAAGGACAAGCACAAGGAGCACGCCATCGATTTACACGAAGCCAAGGAAGCCTTCCTGGAGTGCACAGCATGTCTGTTGCCACTGCTGCGTCGACCGGTTGGGATTCGCTCATCCACTTCTTCTGCCCTCGCCTCTCGTCCTCCTCCACAGCTCTCTACTTACAGTTCCTTTCTCATTCACGTCCGTGGGTGGTGCATGCGTCAAACAGATGGGTCTCAAGGCCTTCACCGAGGGCAGCAAGAAGACGCTGCACCAACAGATCGTGCTGCTCGCGACATCTCTGGCCAATCCGGAAGTGCGCAAGGTGTGCCTCTGGGCCATCCACATGATCGTGTCGCACTGCCCGATCTCCCGGTACACACATGCCCGCATCACACCCGGCTGGGTGCACCAACCACGCCGTTTTCTAAATTCGCCCCTATTGTCGCTTCGCGCAGCATGGGCGACTTGACTTCCGCATTCCACGAGGGCCTGGTCTCTCTGCAGCCGCTCATGGCCGAACCGAGCATATTCGCCACTTCGCTGCGCATCATTGCTGAGGTGAGCCCCCCTCCCACGTGCTCTGACCTTACATCATGGGGCGTTGCTCACCTCAAGTTACTACTCGGTCATGTAAGGCCGAGAGCACCGGCGACCTGGAGTCGACGGTCCACGCGCTCTACCTGCTGAACGTCTCCGTGGAGGGCGTGGGTGATGATCCTCACGAGTCCAAGCACCTGAAGACCCGGGAGCGGATGCGCACGGCCTTTGAGAGTGCCGGCTTGCCGGCTCTGCTGGACAAGCTTCAGCACAAGGTTCAGCCAAATAATCGCTCGGCACTTGCACCGCGTCGCACTGGTACTCACGGTCTGGCGCTGTTGTGGTTGTGCAGAACGAGGAGGCGATCGACAGAGAGATTCGGAAATGGAACGACGGGAAGGCCAGGGACGAGGCTCTGCTGCGGGAGAAGACGAGTCGCAAGGAGCACCGACTGCTACTTCGACAGCCGGTCAGTGAGTCGGAGGAGGACAACAACATGTACGAGACCGCCGACGTCGCGGTGCCTCCGCCGAGGGGCGGCGCCAAGGTGCCGGACGCCGGTTACCTCCACCAAGACACCGCCACCAGCGCGCCAGCGGCGAGGCCGGGGAAACAGAACGACGGCTACATGGGCTCGGAGGAGCAGGCCCGGCTGGGACAGAACCCTGTTGTCGAAACCGACGCCGACAATCTCTACGCCGATGAGGAGGATCTCGCCGATCTCATTCGCACCACCAAGGGAAATGCGCCGGCAGCGACATCGCCAATCTCGACGGTCGACATTGGTGCGGCCAGCAATGGCGACGGCTACCTCGAGGCCGCGGAGGAGACGCCGCCGGTACCTGACGCCGCGGAAGACAGCAAGGACATGCTCGACTTCCTGTACCAGTCGGCCCAGACCGAGTCCTTCACGCCCGAGACGAGCGACGGTTCGGCGGCGACAGGCGGCGAAGGCGAGCTGTACCGCTTCATGAAGCAGCAGCTCGACCAGGCCAGCTACATTGGCAACGACTCGGCCACGTTCGCGGCAGTGGCGATGACGAGCGCGTCTCAGAGCGAGACGGACGAGGAGGAGGCACAGCAGCAGCAGCCCGAACGGACTCGTGCGGGAGCGTTTAGCGTGCGCACGGAGGAGCAGTTCGATCTGCGGTCGTTGGTCTCGGCGACCAAGAGCGGAGAGCTTTACACCTGGACCGTGCGTCTGCGAACGGACCCCGCCACAGGTTGGTTCCAACACCCTCGCACTGTGGCCGTGCTTGATCCCTGGGTACTTAGATGTGGGCCATGGTTCTAGGTGTTCCTGTGCCGCGCAACGAGTTCGACACCATGGTGGTCGAACTTAACAAGACGACGCTTACCGTTACTGCCAAGGTACTGCCTTCCTCTCTTGTCCCTTAAGCATGGCGGCGTAGATAACCTTTTAATTATTATTCTGCGTTCCATCACACTCGCGCGTAGGACCAAGCCGATTCAGCTGAGCGGTTGGAGCTGATCGGCGATCTGGCCTCCGAGAACCCCGGCGGACCTTTCGTGGCGTCGATTCCGCTCAACCGCGTTACCCGAGTGCGCGAGTTCGAAAAGGGACACACGAAGGGCTGGGAGGACAAGTTCGGCTTCGTCATCACCTACCGGTACGATCGTCCACTTCGCCTTCACCTTCACTCCCCCTTTCACGGGTGTGCCGCCCCTCAATCGAGTGGTCTCTCATTCTCACACGAATACGCCTGTGCATAGCCTTAGTGCGGCCAAAAGGGCTCAGAGGTTCACTCTGGTTGCCACGTCGGAGAAGCAGCAGCAGTGGTGGATGAAGGCCATCGTCATGCACAAAGGTTAGCACTCCTACTAGCATTTGTTCATTTGTTCATTTATTTATTACTGATTGCTGACGACACTGAACGACACACAGCCCTCACGCGCGATTGGAACGACGCGTTCCAGTGCGTGATGAAAGAGCTGCGCGAGCAGATCCTGGCCAGCGCGGCTGCCTTTGCCGAAGAGGGGGCGTCGGGCGAGGCCTTCACCGCGCCTCAGCTCGTCAGGAGCGTCACGAGCATGGACTCGAGCACGTTCAAGCCGCCTCTCGCCGTGGAGATGCTTCAAAGCGGCAGCGCCATCGCCAGCCGAAGGGGCTCGGGCATGCTGTCGAGGAACAAAGACAAGAAAGACCGGAGGAGTCTATCGCCCAGGAGCACCTCGCCCCGCACCAACAAAGCTACTACTGTACGTAATTCTCTGTGCTGACCGGTCCAGTCCTCTGTCACATGATCGGACTGACGCACCTCTTTTTTACGCGTTGGCGTGGTGGTTCGACCATTGTTTCTTTAGGTTGGTCCCAAGGTGACAGACCTCATCCTCGAGTTCACGCAGATCGCGGAAGTGCTGGTCCAGATCATCGTGGACGAACTACACAGTCCCGACTACGACAAGCTCGTAAAGCCCACCAACCTGGGCGGTGTGGCCGGTACGCCACTCCACACAGCCCGTTTGTTGTTGTTGTTTGGGCTAAGCAGCGTAACTTTAACCATTTCAGGAGGAGAGAAGTACATCTCTCACGGCATCTTGTTCAAGTTTGCCCGAGACTTCCAGGGCCTCTATGGTGGCGATGAGTACGCCATGAAGGCAACACAGGTACGCCAGAGGCAGCTGTGGCTCAGCTCCTTTTTCTCGCGCTCTTTACATTCTCTTGTTTATTCACCTCCCACACTGCACTGCCCCACGACCAGCACGAGATCAAGGGGCTGTCGGCCTACATCAAGTATTCGCTCAATTCGCGCTTCCCCGACACGCTGCACTTCCCAATCATGACCGTCATCGGTACGCGCATACCGTCGCGACTTGCGCACGCGTTGTGCACCATGGCATTGGACTGACGGATTGAATAATCACAGACTACAAGGGCTACAGGCTCAGCGCCACCTCAATCCTTCCCGTTGGCTCGGATACGGTACAGTATCATAGTGGCCTGCGCGCGTCACACATGCAGCACGGCTAACCGCTCCGCACCCCACATTGCAGCTGATCTATGGCTCAGCCGACGGCGGCAAGACGGTGTACAACCGGTACAAAGAAATGAGCGCGCTTATGAAGAAGGCCGGCCGCGCACTCAACATTAAGTCCCACTGGATCGTTCCGATGGACAAGGCGTGGCGCGAGCGCGTGGCGTGGCGCAGGTCCAGATCTGCGGTCCGGGCGACATTGGTACACGCCGCCCCCCACCACGCGGACCGTCAGCCTACTAACTCGCAACGAATTGTGACAGAGGGCCATCTGGGCACGGACAAGCGTTTCTATGGTACGCCCTAGAGCGCCCTCCAGCTCAGGCTCGAAGTGGTCCGCGTACTCACCACCACTCACCACCACCATCCACGCTACAGTTCTGGACACGGCGAGGGTGTTCCCGCCGACGACGCCGGTCCCCGAATTGCGAGGCTCCTTCCTCTACCGCCTCATGCGGCCCGAGTTCGTGAAGAACTACCGCACGCCCCTGTGCTCCGACGCGTTCTCCAGGTTTGAAGCAATCTATTTTCTGTGGGCGCTGTAGCATGAGTACGGCGCTCACCTCTGCATTTTGGATGGGTGCAGATGGGGCAACGACCCGAGCGATCCGTCGGTGTTGCGGGAGCACAACGTGGAGATCAGAGAGGCGACGAACGCCATCGTCGAGAAGGCCGTCCCCGCATTCGCCAAGCGCTTCGAGGACTTCTTCAGGCGAATCTACCGCGGCCAAGACGGCTCCAGGTATTTTACACACACACACAACAGCGCGCAGCAATTGTAGGACTCCTCTGATGACCGTGGTTTGTTGGATTGGTCATTATGCGTGAGCGCAGTAGCGAGATGTGGCGTACTGCGCCGGACTATTCGCGGTACATGGTGATCGACATGCACCGCGCTGGCATCAACGTCAGATATATGGGGCACCTGCGCAAGCACACCACGAATACCCTACTCAACCAATGGCTGCTCATGGGTGCGAATGTGTGTCGTGTGTGTGTGTGTGTGTGTGTGCACGGTAGCGGGTTTGTAACAGTTCTCCGGCGTTATGTCACGCAGAAATGGCATCGCGCGTGCTCAAGAACCGAATGCGCGAGCTGATGCGTCAGGTGCTGTCGGCCGAGGAGAAGGACCTGCGTGAAGTGATCGCTACCTTCCTCCATCGTGTTCTTCACGACCCCGCCTTCTGGCGCTCGCGCTCACAGACCGAGTTTGATGTCAAGCGCGCCCTGAAGGAGCGCTTCCCTGCCTGCTTCTACTCGGACGAGGTTCGTGCACGCGTGTGCGTGTGCGTGTGCGGCGGTGCGTGCGTACGTGTGCTGTTGTCGTTTCGTGATGTTAATGCTCGATCGCAACCAGGAAAGCGACAGCTGGGACCTTCGGTCTCAGATCCACTTCGGCGCGGTCTTCGGGCGGATGAGCAGGCTGCTCGGCCTGCGCTTCACTGAGCAGTTCGAGGAGCAGCTGTGGAGGTGGATCGACAATGGCTGCATCGGCGAGGTGGCCAGCGTCGACGTCATCAACCAGGCGCTCATCAGCATCAGTCCCACCGTACGTTCATTCACCCCCCCTCCTCTTCAACGCGTCTTGCCTAGTCGCTGTTGTGATGTGCACTCACCACCAGCGACCTCGTCTCTTCTTTCTGTTCTCTGTGCCCGCCAGGTGGCTCAACTTCCGCTGGTCTCCCAGTCCCGGGCCAAGAAGTTCGAGAAACTGGCCGACAGCGCCTACGCCACCACCAAGCACCAGCAGATCCAGTTCCTCCTCAAGGTACTCCCCCACAAACTCACGTTACGCTCGCCTCGAGGGCTCACGGTCGTGTTGACTCGGCTCGACGTATAGGCCAAGGACGAGTATCTGCTGGGCCTGGAGATGAAGACGGACGACCAGGACCTCATCGTGGGCCTCGTCCGGGTGCTCCTCGCCTGCGCCAAGCTCCTGCAGGCCCAGGCCGAACACCACAGCCGCCCGGAGCTCAAGCACGCCATGACCGTCCGCATCCAGCGCATGTTCATCCTCGCCGAGCGTCAGCTCAAGGTACGCACCAGCGTTGCCCATTGATCGCATCAGCCTTCCCCGTGGTGTGTGGGTCGGTACAGTGCCAGCTCACCGCCCCGCCCCGCCCCCGTGCAGGAGGCTTTGCGTATCGATGGCACGCGGGCCGACACGCTGGCGACCTACGCCCTGTTCCTGGCCGAGCACGGCCCGGGGGCGAAGAAGCAGGCCAAGGCCGAGAAGTACTTTGAAATGGCGCTGCAGGCGAGTCCCTACGACGCCGCCCTGCAGCAGCGATACCGCGTTTTCAAGGGCGAGGAGGACCCCGAACCCGAGCCAACCACAACCGTACGTCGAGGCCACCCGTAACCCTCACACGAGGCACACGGCACATTCAGCACACAACGCGCGCAACGGACACGACGCACGACTCACACGACACGCGACACCTGAACACAGGCGCCAGCGCCCTATCTGGACCGGAAGAGTTTGTCGCAGCGGTTTTCTCGTCACGCGAGCGTCGAGCAGCGCATGTCCGTATCAGGCCCGATCGCTGTGTCGATGCCGCACTCGGCGGCGCCTCAGGTGCCCAAGCGGCTCGCCCTCACAGTCGCCTGCGCGCGCAAACTGGCCGCCATGGACACGTACGACGGCCTACGCCACCACGCAAGCGCTCCAACTCAACTAACGTACCCAACCCATACCAATCAACCGACACTGCAGGAACGGGTTCTCCGATCCCTATTGCGTAGTAACACACGGGAGTCAGACGCACCAGACCGAGACGAAGAAGAAGACGCTCAATCCAGCGTGGAACGAGACCTTCAACATGTACGTCACATACGACTGCAGTCGTCTATATTCTCTTCTTCTTCTTCTCGCCGTGTTGGCTCACTGGCCCTCCTCCCGCGCAGTCTGGTGGAGAGTGGAGAGCCGCTTCGAGTCGCCGTGTGGGACTGGGACCGCATCACCAAGGACGGTACGCTTCGTCCCCCCTCTTTGAAAGGCAGCGTGGCGCCCATGCATTCAAGCTGAACGTGCCGCACGCACACGCAGACTTCATTGGCGAGCGGGTGATCGCCATCGCCGAGCTGCAGCGTGAGCGCATGGAGACGGAGACCTGGTACGGCCTGTGCCCGGCCAACGTGTCCACGCCCGACCCCTCTCTCGGCGAGATCAAGCTCGCCTTCAAGTGGAGCGAGTTGTAGCAGCCTTCACATTTTTGCGTGAGTGCTGCGCCAAAAGAAAATGGTCCGCAGTCCGCCCGATGCTCGCCTTGCTCGAAATGGTCGAGATTTGAATGACTTGAATTCCTCAAATCTGACCGTTCGTTGGTGTGGTGCTGTGGTGGAATGTGAGCAATTTATCGGAATGCAGGAGTTTACGCCGTACTGGGCGAGATTCAGACGACAAGGGAGGAGAGAGTGGCCTCACTTGGCGTCATGAAGTGGGAGGTCTGCAGTATGATGCGGGAGCCAGAAGATGAGCATAAACACCGAGACGAGAGAGACACAGAGATGGCACACACGTGGTGGTGGTCATAAAACCACAAGCCCACAAGGCAAGCAAGTCCATTTCCCACCTTCTACCAACCCAAACACAAGCCACACCAGCAGACCTGAACAACACATCCACCCGCCATGCATACCACCACAAGAAACCACGCCCTCGTTCTGCTGATCGTGCTGACCTGCGTCCCGCTCTACTCAGCCGCCAAGGTTCCATGGCCCACTCTCATCCACCCACCACGTTACATGTAACCACTTCCACCCCCTCTCACCACCACACAGCGGTGCTCCGAGCCGACGTGGGAGCAGCTGCGGGACCACTTCGGCCTGGAGCCGCACCCCGAGGGGGGCTTCTTCGTGGAGACCTACCTGGCCAACGGCTCCATCCCCGTGTCGGTCCTGCCCGACCACTTTGCCGACTCGCCCGACACCCGGCCCTACTCAACCGCCATCTACTACCTGCTGCGGGCCGGGCCGGCCTACGACGACCGGTCGCACTTCCACATGCTGGCCATGGACGAGGTGTGGCACTTCTACCTGGGCGGCCAGCTGACCATCGTGCTGCTCCACCCGGCCGATGGCAGCGTCGAGGTGGTCAAGCTGGGCCGCAACGTGCTCCACGACGAGACTGTGCAGTTCGTGGTGCCGGCGCAGACCTGGTTCGGGGCCTTCGCCTCGGGCGGCAACTACGCCTTCATCGGCAACACCAACGCGCCGGGCTTCGTCTACCAGGACTGGCAGCTGGGCAACAAGACCGCGCTCCTCGAGGAGTTCCCCGATGCCGCGGATTGGATCGAGATGCTCGCCCTGGCCGAGTGATCACCCCACTCCCTTGCCTGCACCTGATACGTCAGTTGTTTGATAGAAATTATGTTCATAGCGATCTGTGGGATGAGACGTCACATGAATGGTAGACTTGGCAAATATTATTTCAATTAAATTTTTTGTAAAACACAACAAGAGAGGGTTGAGAGGGAAGAGATAGGGAGAATGGTGAGGGGAAGAGAGACGGGAGGTGAGGGATCATGGTTTGGCGTCGTGTTCTGGTACTCGGGAAGAGAGCTGGTAGGACCCTCCTCCACTTCCTTCACGTGGTGTCTCTTTGTCTGCTGCGTCCGGCGTGGCCATATCACTGGCAGGGAACCGGTTCGGCGCATTGCCTGAATGGTGGCTCCTTGAGTACGGTGTGTGGCGTTGATGTGTGTTGCGTGTGTCGCGTGAGATGGGACGACGTACGGGGTTCAGAATAGGAATTGGTAGAGGAGGTGGGCCAGTGGGCTCCTGACCGACGATGATGCTGAGTCGGTGGGCTCGCAGTAGCTCGCATTCACCGTGCCCGCCCATACGGCCATGGTGCCGAAGGGCGACACCGCGTTCACCGACACCGTGAGCTCGCCCGTGGTCGCGAAGCAGTGGTCCAGCGTCATCTCGAGCGTCGACCCAGCGATCATCGACGCCTGGGCCTTCACTGCCACGGGGGGCTCGCCGTTGGTGAACGAGACCACAAACGAGGGCGCCAGCGCGGGCAGGCTCAGATTGGCGGCGTTGGGCAAGGCCGAGGTCAGGCGCAGCTGGAACCGGTCGCCGGTCGTGGTGTCGTCGGCTAGGGGCGGCGTGACGGAGACGTTGAGGTGGAGCTGCTCGGTGAGGAAGGCGATCACGGCCGACGTGTAGGTCTTGCGGTCCTGGGCGGAGGCCAGCATTTCGAGGCCGATCGAACTGGTCACCGTGGCAAAGGGGAAGCTCGGGTCTGCGTGTCATTGAAGCGCCACAAATTCCACAATCAGCGTCGTGTGTCATGTGTCGTGTGTCGTGTCATGTGTGTGGTGAGCTTACTTGGCTGCGAGCGGTAGCCGACGCTAACCACGCCCTGTTCATAGACTTTGCGGCCCACGGTCGGCGGGTAATAGAGAAGTGGCACATACATCCCCGGTGCTGTGCCGCACACACGCCAATGCAAAAGGTACACCGCAGTGAGAAATGAGCGATTTGCTGCAATGCAGGTGAAGTCATCAGGGCATACCTTCGTTGCTCGAGAGTTCCGCCACGTACTTGCTTGATTCAACTTCCTTCGACAGAGAGTAGGAGAGCTTCTGGAACGCTGTGTTGTCGTGAAAAGGTGAGAACATCAAAAATAACGACGACGACAAGACATCGACAACGAAGAGGAGAGGCGGAGTGGAGAAGCGCGCGAACCTGCCGGAGCTGTGGGCCAGCCCTTGAACGGACCCGTGGGGAAAGCTTCACCGGTAATCGGGTTCGCCAGATCGTCCGGGATGTACCTGTTACCATGTTAGAAGAGGCGAGGAGCGTCAGCGCAAGAACGCAAGCGACACGGTGGTGCCAACGGTGTTTTTCGTAATCGGCCGATCTAACTTTTGCGAAAGTTGGTGTAGGCTGCATGCATACCCGGAGAGGCTGGTGCCCCAGTAATACAAGGTCGCGGGGGCGGTGGCGCCACTTATGAACAGCCGTCCGCCCAGGGCAGTGTACTCGCGCAGCACTTCCACACTCTGCCCCCCGCGCCCACGCCGTCAGCGTGGCCATCTCCCTCGTCACAACCACTCTTGGCGAGTGCGACAACAGGCCCGGGGCAAGAGAAAGGGAACAACGCACCTCGTCCTCCAGAATGACCCGTTTGTCGCCGGCGTCGTTCGAGCCGGTGAAGAAAAACACCATCGGGTAGGCCGACACCCAGTACAGGTCGTCCTTGAGCAAGGTCACGGCGTCCACCGTATCGTACTTGATACCCAGCCCGTCCAATGTCCCCTTATACGCCTCCTGCGGTTTGGAGGGTTGCACCACACACACGACACACACGACACACACGACACACACGACACACACGACACACACGACACACACGACACACACGACACACACGACACACACGACACACACGACACATACACACCAGTGTCAATCATCAGCCCCTGTCTGCTGGGGAATGTGAAAGAGGCTAATCGTACCAGTGCGGGCGTGCTCACGCCACTCAAGCCCTCGGCGTTGAGGAGGAGGACCGTGTTGGACGTGGGCTCGATCACGCGCGCCCAGAGCGGCATGCTCACCTCGTAGTCGCCCGATGTCAGCACCAGGAAGCCCTGGTCGTCTCCTATATAATGTGGCGTCAGAGCAATCCATGGGTTCTGAGGCGTGAATCGAAGACCGACCTTGAGGCAAGCTCGACGTGTTGAGGGTGACCACGAACTGCTCCTCGCTTCCCGGATTGAGCAACAGAGACGCCGGAGAGAACGTCACCCTGTGTGTGACCATTTCCCGCAAATGTGAATGTTTGTCAACAGCACAACAGGCTGGAGAGGGAGAGGTACCCAGGGACAGGGGACGAAGAATCGGCGAGCGACGAGCTGATGGTGAAGTTCTGCGGCGTGGCGGCGACGTTGGCCACGGTGACGGTGATCTGCTTGGAGTCTCCCTTGAGCGTGTAGCCGAAGGAGAGCGAAGGCGGATCGAGCAGCGCTCCCGGATCGGCGATCTTCGTCAGGTCCACTACCCCCGCGCCCATATCTGCGTGCGTGCTCGAAACAGGTGAGTGCGGTGGCGTACGTGCGTGTGTGCGTGCGCGGTAGGTGCGTGCGGTGAGTGCGGTGTGTGCGTGTGCAATTCAGCATACCGAGAGGCTGGGCGTGCTGGCCGAAGGAGTCCATGACGCCTCTCCAGCGGGCCGTGCCCATGAGAGCGGCCTTGATCTGGCGCGGCGACCAGTCGGGGTGGAGCTGCTTGACCAGCGCCGCCGACCCGGCCACGTGCGGCGCAGCCATCTGGGGGCCGTCCCGCAAGAGGAGGTTTGTCAGCGAGTGAGCGGGAGAAGTGGGGCAGAGTGTTCGAGTGGGTGCGCACCGAGGTGCCCGAGGATACGCCGTAGTGCGTGAGGATGTCCATGCCGGTCTCGCCGTACGCATAGCCATGCGCCAGTACGCGGTCGCCCGGCGCAGAGATGTCCGGCTTCAGCGTGCGCAGCACCGATGGACCTCTGTGTCCAGGGACACACACAGCGCGATTCAGTCTCAGCATTCCAGTGAATGACCAAGACTTAAAATAAGCTTACCTGCTGCTGAAGTCGGTGATGACGTCCGCCGTGGTGTTGACATCAACCGTGTCAAGCACAACCTTCACACTCACAGCTGCGGCTCCCCCGATGGCAACTGCAATTGGCCTTGTAAGCAGCTGTTGTAGGGAGGGGAGGTATGGTGTGATGGAGCTGGGTGTTGTATTGCGCGTACCTGTGTCATTGTACCAGGTGACCAGCTCGTGGCCGTTCGTGGAGTTGATGAGGAACGAGGGGATTGTGATTGCGGGCCACGGAACAGTCGCCCAGGTCATATCAGTATCGCCCAGCGGGTGGTACACGATAACGAGCGCAGCTCCTAGCAAAACCCAATGAAACAAAAGAAACAAGCGAGAGATGAAGTTATTATCATCAGCTCTGAATTGGGCGGAGCGGACAGATGGTGCTACCTGCTATCTGTCCTGTGAGCACCTTGTTGTGGTAGGCGCAATGGTCTTCCTCATTCCCAGTGCTGACCACGATTAGGACCGCCTTACCGCTGACGTTGGCGCTAATGGGATTGCAGCCCTTTGGACACACACACACACACACACACACACACAACGTACCACGATGGACGCGGTTTAGATAGAGTGGGTATAGTAAAAGGGGAGTGAGGTGAGTGGCCACATACGTAGACGTTGTTGGGTTCGACGACGGCCAGCGGGATCACGTCATAGGTGTAGGCCTTGGCCAGTGTCAAACCGGGTCCCATCCTCGACCTGTAGGCGGTCATCTTGGCAAGCACTGGCGGCACCGAGTCGCCTGTATTGCCCATTGTGAGCGCTTGTGTATGCGTGCGTGCGTGCGGCTGGGCGGGAAGTGGTGAGACGTACCAACTCCGGCGAGAGTGGCGACGATACCGAGGACTGAGGATTTGGAGGAAGCGGCAACGCTGATGTAGTCGGCCGACGGATGGTCCATCGTGGTGAGTTGTGGTCCGTTATTGCCTGCGGACTGCGTGCGCAGGTTAGAAAAGGGCAGGAGGAGGGGAACAGCTCGTGAGCATGCTCGAGCGGTACCATGCTGAGGAACAGGCCGGCATGAACAGCGCTGATGAGCGCGGCATCAAGAGGACTACACACACACACACACACACACAGTGAGCCTCAGACACTGCCCACGTGAGGGGAGTGGACGGAGTGGTCGTACTCGTAGGGACCGCCCTTGTATGGACCGGCGCCCCAGGAGTTGATCACCACGTCGGCGCCGTCCTCGACCACGTCCTCCAGCGCCATGATGATCTCTGTATCGTCCGCCGTGTCGCGGCCGCTGGACGCTAGGTAGAAGATGCGGTAGCTCATGATCCAGGCCTTGGGCGCCACGCCGTGGAGCTCGTGCGTGGTCGAGCCCACCGTGGCGCTGACCACGTCGCCGCCTGCCGTCGATGCCGTGTGACAGCCTGCCACCACCAACCAGGTTGTGGCCACGACATTTGTGAGCGAAGGTGATGAATGGTGGGGTAGGTGCGTACCGTGGCTGTCGTCCGGTCCTGGCCAGGTGTTGTTCTGCCCAGGAGCCGGCGGATCATCGGCTCTGGAGAGAAGAGAGAAAGGTGAGGTGAGGTGGGCGGTCTATTCCATCATCAATCCAGCCCAGGTTAGTACCGGAAGTAGGCGCGGGAGGCGATGACCTTGCCGTTGAGGTTGGCCTGCTGGCCCAGCCCTGTCCCGCTCCATCCCGCCGGGTACGAGTACCTGTCGAGAGGAAAACCAAACAATCACTATTAATCACCAACAACCAACAACCAACAACCAACAACCAACAACAAGCAGACAGGGGGTACGGACCCGGAGCCATTGAACATGGGAGCAGCGCTGTACACACCAGCGTCCACGGAGGCGATCTGTCGTCGCACGCGTGTGAGCCTCAGCGGTCCGTGTATGAATGAGAGGAGTGTATGTGGGTGTGTGGGTGCACTCTACCTTGATGCCCTTGCCAGCGTTGGAAAGGCCGCCGATGCCCGAAGCGGCGTACGCCTGAGCGGCCTTGATGTTGTCGATGCTCGAGAACAGCGATCGCTCATACCTCCGCTCCAACGACACTACACCCACCCACTCCCGTCAGATATGGCCCCGACCAGGCGTGTGTGGTGCGTGGAGGGGTGGGAGCCGGCTGGCTGTACCGTGCTTGACGTGCGGCAAGCCCCTCACGTAGCGCAGGAACTCGTGCGGGCTGTCGGCGAAGTCGTCGGGCACGCGCAGGCTCAGGCCGTGAAGCGAGCGCGTGAACACGCTCTCCTTGGGCTGGCCCTCGTGGTCCACCGTGCGCGACACCAGCTCGGCTGGAGATCAACCAAGCATTAGCCTTCGACGATTGCATCTTCTCCACCAAAAAGGAAAAGAAGGAAAAGAAAGAAAAGGCGGAACAATGAAAATTGAGATCGCACCGGCTCTCGGCGTGGTGGCCGAGTTGGACCCTGCGCGGCGCTTGTGGGCGAGGCTGCGGAGGAGGTCGTCGAGCGAACCAAGGAAGGCGCTCCGCTCGCTATCCATGCGAGCCACATGCTCGCGCGCCTCGGCCTCGCGCTCCACCAACCTCTCGAACCGCCGGTTATCATCCGCCACGTCCTCTTGATCTGAGGCGCGCTTGCGGCCTGCGGCTGGGAGCTCCTGGAGGGCGGGGCCGAAGCGGCGGGCCAGCGGTTCGGACTCGAGCTGCACAATGATGCGTCGCGCCGGCCCATTGTCCGGTGGTGATGACGACGAAGACGCTAACGCAACGCACAACAGGACAAGCAGGAGGCCCAGCACCCCCGTGGAGAGCAAAGGACGCGCGGCCATCGCGATGAATCTGTAAGTCCTGAAGTGGTGTTGTACGGGTGAAAGATGTTCGGATGTGTACAGCATCACCAATGTGACGGTTTATATGGTGGTGTGTAGGTGCCAAGGCTTGTGATTGGCTGTTCAACAGCAGTTCGTGGTTGGTGGTTCTAAGGAGAACGAAAATTCGTGATGATATGGTTGCCTCCCATTGGGTCTTCTCATCTTCCTGTTTTTACCACAGCACGAATTTAGATTGTGCCTATATTAGATTCTCCTGCGGCACTCGGTGTTTTCGGTCTGGGGTGGATAGGCCCGAGGGCCGCCAGCGGGCTCCGAGCAGAAGACGCCGCCGAGACGGTGGGTTCGCAGTAGCTCGCATTCACCGTGCCCGACCAGATGGCCACCGTATCTCCCTCGGCAGTGGTCCAGCGTCATCTTGAGCGTCGACCCAGCGACCATCGCCGACGCCGTGGTCTCCACCGTCAGGCCGGCTCGCCGCTGCCGAAGGAGACGCTTAACGAGGGCGCCATGAGGGACCGCAAGACCTACACGTCGGCCGTGATCGCCTTCCTCACCGAGCAGCTCCGCCTCAACGTCTCCGTCACGCCGCCCCTGGCCGACGACACCACGACCGGCGACCGGTTCCAGCTGCGCCTGACCTCGACGTTGACCGGCAGCGCTGCGGCCAATCTGAGCCTGCCCTCCAGTCTTGCGGTCCTGGGCGGAGGCCAGCATTTCGAGGCCGATCGAACTGGTCACCGTGGCATAGGGGAAGCTCGGGCCTGTGCCGCCCACTTGATCAGCACACGCGCGTGTGTGGTGGTAGTGCGCGCGATGGCCGTGTTTGTCCGAGTCTGCCACAGGACAAGTCCGTATCGCCCGGAGCGTTGAAGATAATGACGAGCACAGCACCTGACAAAAACAAGTAGACTGTGTCAGAACTCCATAGATAGCCAGCGATCAAAAGGGGTAGGACATATCAGCATTTTGCGCATTCAGCACCTTGACGCTGACGTCATCGCAACCGTCCCTCCTGATGAGGATTGCCTTGCCGCTGAGATTTGTCGCGACGGGATTGCAGGCCTGCGAGTCCACACCACCCACGTACAGACCACCACACGCCGCGATGTGCTCCTTGAGCACCCGGTGAAGGTAGGACGACCCGATGAGCTTCATGAAGGCGTCCACACACTTGGTCGCCAGCGTGTTGCCACGGAAGATCACGCCCGCGCTCTCTGCGTGCACCGTGAGTGTCACACGACACGCCACACGCCACACGACACACGACACGCACGCCACCAATGAGCGACTGCCCTCTGCGCAATGAGGAGAGTGTGGGTGTGTGGGTGCACTCTACCTTGATGCCCTTGCCAGCGTTGGAAAGGCCGCCGATGCCCGAAGCGGCGTACGCCTGAGCGGCCTTGATGTTGTCGATGCTCGAGAACAGCGATCGCTCATACCTCCGCTCCAACGACACTACACCCACCCACTCCCGTCAGACCCACGTATCACTGCCAGCCGCACGAAGGGGTGGGAGCCGGCTGGCTGTATCGCGCTTGACATACGGCAGGCCCCTCACAGACGCAGAACTCGTGCGGACTGTCGGCGAAGTCGTCGGGCACGCGCAGGTTCAGGCCGTGAAGCGAGCGCGTGAACACGCTCTCCTTGGGCTGGCTCTCGTGGTCCACCGTGCGCGACACCAGCTCTCCAATGCTTGTATTCCAGATATGCCCAACAATAAAAATCGGCCGATGGAGGAGCACCAGCACGGCGCACATGTCTTTCAAAAAGAAAACGGATGCGATCGTACTTGCGCTGGGCGTGTCCTCTTCCTGTCGCATAGCCGTGGCCTCCTCGTTCGAACCTGACGAGAGCCGGGGTTTGTGGGCGAGGCTGCGAAGGAGGTCGTCGAGCGAACCGAGGAAGGCGCTCCGCTCGCTCTCCATGCGAGCCACATGCTCGCGCGCCTCGGCCTCGCGCTCCACCAACCGCTTGAACCGCCCATGTCCGTGTTTCTCTTCGTCGTCCTAGGGCTCCTCCGGGGCCAGCTCGCGTTGGTCGTTGCGCTTGCGGCCGGCGATTGGGAGCTCCTGGAGGGCGGGGCCGAAGCGGCGGGCCAGTGGTTCGGACTCGAACTGCACGGTGAGGCGTCGCGCCGGCCCGGGCGCCGGTGACGGTGGTGATGACGACCCGAACGACGCACAACAAGAGAACGAGCGGGAGTGGGCTTGCACACGATTGGTCGCGGTTATCCTAATCAGGGGAAAATAAAAGAAATGCAATTTTCTGGAGTTACTTTCGAGATAGGCAGATCACCGGCGAGATGGAGAACAACACGCCATCCACCAAGCGAGAGCTGCGAATTGGGTACTTGCGTGCCCCAAAAGAAAAACAAAATGCTATTTTGATCGCATCGATCGTAATTTGCTTCACATATGGACCATCTATGATTATTAAAACAAGTGATCCGCTGCGGGCAGGGTGATTGGTGAGGACAAGGTGGGGAAGGACACAATGATGGATGCCCTCACACAAGCAGCAACGTACGGGGACCCAGACGATGAAGACGAAGACTGGGAGGACGTCAGCCTGGGCCTCTTCCGTGGCAATAGCGCCGGTGCGTGCCCCTTATCTCTCTCATTTACTTTCTGTTTATTTATCCTTTACTGCATCTTATTTTATTTTATTTTATTAATTATCTTCTTTTATCAATTTATTGCTTGGTGCTACAGATACGTTTGGGTTCATGGAGGGAGACGTGCTGCTGGAGGGCGAGCGGGTGCGACTAAAGGTGATACACAACGGCGGCGACAACTGCATCGACGCGCGACTTGCGGAGGAGATGAAGAACTGCGACATCGTCATCCTGCTTTTCGACATCGCCAACAAACCCACCATGGAGAAGCTCAAGACCAAGGTAGCATGTGTCGTGTGTGTACCTGGTGATCTGTGGGTGGTCAACTCAACAACAACAATGGCGCGCATTGACAGTGGTATCCACTTGTCCGGAGCTGGAACGGATCAGCGCCGCTCGTGCTGATCGGGAACAAGCGCGACCTGCGCGCTGATAAAACAGGTACAGCACCCACCTTCTCACATTGAGTCGTCAACGGCCGTGACTCGACACTGAGCTAAGAAGAAGGAAGAGGAGGAGGAGGAAGAAGAGGACGTTTGTGCTCACCTCGTGTGTGGTGCGTGCGACGCTGGTGCCAGATCACGTGCAAACGGCCGAGGGCGAGGCCGCTGCGGTGGCACTGGGCGATATCCCCTACATAGAAACTTCGTTGGCTCACGACACCTGGGACGAGGAGACGACCACCCTCTGGCAGGCCTGTGTGCAGCTCTACAAGCGCACACCAACCAAGAAGAGCGAGTGACTGACGACACACAACTTGACAGTGTACTCGACCTCGATTGTATTTTTAAGTTTAAACTAACTTCACCGCAAGACCCACCTTTCGTGTTTGTACAAGTGCGCCGGTTGGAAGAAGATGAAGATGAAGAGGGCTCAGACCTTGTCCTTGCCCTTGACGTTGGGCTTGGTGTCGGGGCTGGAGCCGCTTCCACTTCCGACGCTCTCCGTTGGAGAAGAGACGCGGCGGGCTGGGCGGTGAGTTGTCGCTCCTTCTCCTCCACGCCCATCTTGCGCTGCTTGAGCTTGGCCGATCGGGCCTTCAGTCGCTGCATGCGCCCCGAGAGGTCGGCCATCTGCGTGCGCATGTTGTGCAGCCTCTGATGATATGTCGGTGCCTTGGTCATCTGGACGTGAACGTGTGGTGGTGAGCGCGTGTAAGAAAGGCCTGGAGGCGAAGGACGTAGTACCACTTCAGCGATGTTGTGCCAGTGAGGGAGGTTGGCCAGCTTCTCATTCTCGGCCATCAGGGCGGTGATGAGGGACTGCTGGTTTCGACTGGCACCGCATATTCAATCAGTAGTGACACTACACCATTATTTCATTATAAATAAATAAACAAACAAATAAAATGTCGTGTAGGTGGCACCAGCTGCAAGCCTCGGGTTTGATGAAGATAGGAAGAAAATGAAGAATTTAAAATGTAAAATGCAGGAGGCGCACTAAAGCTCGAGGAGATGCTCATCCAGCTGCTGCAGAGGGACGTGAAGATTCGCGAGCAGGCCACCGGTGAGATCCTCGATGGCCCTCGCTTCCTGCTGCTCGTCGATGAACTTAGTGGTGAGCAGAGGCGCCTGCGTATCAGCAGCGCCTGATCCACTCCTCAGCTTGCCCGGGTTGAGATTGACAGTGAAGTCGTCCTCCTCTTCATCTACATCCTCATAGGACCTGGACGGCGGGTACTCCTCGCTTTGTCGTGGTGGCTCCATGCCCCGATTTATATCTGTGGCCTCGAATTCGTAAGCCTCCATCTCTCTTTCTCTTTTGTTTTTTTTTTGGTTTATATTTTTTTGTTTTTTTTTGGATTTTTTATTTTATTTTTATTTCTTTAGCCATTCCGCGGCAAACGGACCTTTCGGTACACCCCCAAACGTTTGAATGCACACACGTTCAGTGGGCACGTTCACCGTGTTGACTAGTACTAGGAAGCCTCACCAGTGCTGGCGAGCACCTTCGAACAACCGGCGAGGAGTACCAGAGGCAACGCCACCCTGACAGCAACAAAGGCCCAACCTCGCCACCCTAATCTCCCTCTCGCGCCAACGGCCACGATACTTGGCACCACTCAACATTCAAAGCAAACTAACCACCAAATGCTTTTTGATTTGTGGTTGGTCGTCCCAAGAGTTTATTAAAGGTTGACGTTGCTTGAAGGAGCCGTACAAAGCCAACGAGAGGCGATCGTGTGGGGGGGGGGCGTTGGTTGTTTGGTTTCCCTTCATTTTGGCTCCGCTACTCCCGCACAAAGCCGGTGGTGGTTTGCTCTTCGCTCTTTTATCTCTCTTCGTTTCATTCCTCACTTCTTCAAAGCACACACAAGAGGTCCCCGACCGACTTCTCCCCAAGCGCGTACCCGACACAAACCAACACAAAGATGAGCTTCAGCGGCAACGAGTCGGTCGCCACCAAGAACCGAAAGGAGAAGCAGGCCGAGATTGAGAGGCTTCACGAGAAGGTTGGCCATCCTCCGTTATTCATCTTTCAAACTACTTAGTCGTTGTGTGTAGCGTTGATGGCTCTACTTGTTTGCTTCTTCTGGCTCCTGTGAAGGCCTGCACTCACGTACTCTTTCCTCTTTGGATGATTACCTCCACAGACCTTCAAGGCCTGGATCAACGCCCAGCTGCGCGTGCGCAACATCAAGATCGAGGGCGAGCTCAAGGACGAACTCAAGGATGGTCTGGCCCTCATCAACCTGATGGAGGTCCTCAGCGGCGAGAAGTGCCCTGAGAAGTACAACACCAAGATCACCCTCGACATGCACCGCATTGAGAACACCACCATCGCCATCAACTTCATCACCAAGCACGTCGGCAAGCTGAGCGTCTCTTCCACCGGTACGCCTCTTCCTCCTCTTCTTCATTATCCAATCTACGCGCGCCTTGATCATTTCTTAAAAAAATCTGTCTCTACACGCAGATGTCCAGCAGGGTAACATGCGTATCATCCTCGGAATGATCTGGCGCGTCATTCTCACCTTCAAGGTCGAGCGTCGCGGTGAAGGCGACGCCGACGACAAGGAGCTCTCCGCCGCCCAGAGTACGTTAGGCCCTTCCTGCTTCTCGCTTGATCCTTTTCGCGCCCTTCTACTTCTTGGCCTCGCGTTGCCTCGTGCTTGTTCATGAAATGATTTTTATTTGATTTTTCCTGTTTTTACTGGGATAAATCCCAGAATAAGTTAATTAATTTGGTCGACAACAAACAGGGAACCGACAGGCCAAGAAGAAGCTGCTCGACTGGTGCGTGGAGAAGACCAAGGGACACAACGGCGTCGACATCAAGGACTTCGGCGAGTCGTGGTATGACGGTCTGGGCTTCTGCGCCCTCATTCACGCGTTCGACCCGTCGCTCATCGACTACGAGTCGCTCAAGGCCGAGAACGCTCAGGCCAACCTCGAGCTGGCCTTCGAGCTCGCCGAGAAGCACCTCGACATCCCGCGCCTGCTCGACCCCGCTGATATCTGCGCCGACGATGAGATGTCGCGCCCCGACGAGCAGTGCTTCATGACCTACCTCTCCGAGTTCCCCATCGCGTTCCTCGCGGGCAAGGAGAAGGCCGACGACCGCGCCGCGATCGAGGCCGAGGCCAAGAGGAAGGCCCAGGAGGAGGAGGAGCGCAAGAGGCTCGAGGCCGAGCGCCAGCGCGCCGAGGAGGAGCGCCTGAAGGCCGAGGCCGAGAAGAAGAGGCTCGAGGAGGAGAAGGCTCGCCTCGAGGCCGACAAGGCCGCCGCCGAGGAGGAGTCCAAGCGAAGGAAGGAGGAGCTCGAGGCCCAGTCGGCCGCGCTCAGGCAGCTCGAGGAGGAGCGCAAGAGGAAGGACGAGGAGGAGGAAGAGAAGAAGAAGAAGCGCGAGGAGAAGAAGAAGCGAAGGCAGCAGGAGGCCGACGAGGCCGAGGAGCGTGCCAAGCGTGAGGCCGAGGAGGCGTCGCGTCTCGCCCGCGAGGAGGCCGAGAAGGAGGCCAAGGAGCGCCAGGAGGAGCTCGAGAAGCGCCAGGAGGAGGACGACGCCAAGCGCCAGGAGGAGCTCTCCAAGCTCGAGGCCCAGCACGAGGCCGAGCGTCTCAGGCTCGAGGAGGAGTGCCGCCGGCTCAAGCAGCAGCTCGAGGCCACCAAGGGCAAGCTCATCGGCAAGCTGAAGGTCACCGTCAAGGAGGGCCGCGGCGTGCACAAGAAGGACAACTCCGGCAAGGCCGATCCCTACTGCGTGCTCTTCCTCGAGAGGCAGAAGGAGAAGACCAGGACCATCAAGAAGAACCAGAACCCCAAGTGGGACGCCGACTTCGAGTTCTACGTCTCCGACCCCGAGGCCGCCCTCGAGGTCACCATGTTCGACTGGAACCGCATCTTCTCGGACTCCTTCCTCGGCAAGGTGTCGATCCCCATCGCCACCCTCAACGACGGCGAGGAGACCACCGCCTGGTACAAGCTCGAGGGCAAGAAGGCCAAGGACAAGGTCACCGGCGAGCTCTGCCTCACCATCCTCTACAGGAAGGAGGTGTAAGTCGCCTTCACACTCTCTTCTTCTCTTACTCTCCTCACTCCACCCCCCCCCCCATCAGCCGATATTTATTTCGACCCAACAATACGAATGTGTGCATATATGTAGTCCAACATTTAGTTGTCTTTCGTCAGCAACAAACCAAACAAAAAATAGAAAAACATGTTTCATGTGTACTTCCTCTTATTGTTGGTGGTTACATTTACACGCTCAGCGATGGTGTCCGGGTCTCGTGGGCGGGATCGTGGACCCACCCTTGAAAGGCGCCTTTTGCCCAGTTGTTGTGAACTCAAGGCCTGCAAGGGCATGCACTTACTCCACTCGTTGGGCATTGTGCACCGCGACCGAGGCCAAGTGGAACGTCAAGGTGAGTGACTTAGCCTCCCCTCCAAGTTCACGGAGGACATCTGGAGCAAGAACACCCAGGGCAACTGACCACTGTGGTCAGCAGCGTGCACTGGACGGCGCCGGAGGTGCTCAACGATCCTGGCCAACATGTACAGCTCAGCATCCTCTGGGAGCTGCTCACCCACAAGCAGCCCTACTCCGGCATGAGGTGCAACGCCCCTCTGCGTTGCATACCTTATATTCCATCGTAGCCCTGAGCCCTGACCGCACGACACACGACACGACATAACACACAGCCCCACAGCCATGCGGTGGCGGTCATCCAGTACAAGATTTGACCGATGCCCGAGACTTCGAGCGCCACCCTGATCTCCTGGAGCTGATCACCTGCTGGCACAGAGACCGGACCATCCGCCCGGCGTTCCTCGAGATTATGACCCGCCTGTCGACCATGCACGCTGACATGTCGGGCGACATCACCTCCAGGAGCTCGTCGTCGGGCACCTCAGGCGGCGCCCGGCTGAAGTTCGAGGTGGCGATCGCGTTCACCGACATCACGATGGTGCTCAGAGGTGCAGCAGGCCCGATTGGCCGGAGGCACTCCTCGAGCACCCGGGGGCGGCCGAGGAGTGGGAGGCACCACTGGGTAATCCCCTACGACGGCGCCGCGGGCGTTGATGTGTCGACAGCTGCAACTGACCACAACTTGAATGTTGTACAAGAGTTCTCATGGGCGTGCACGTGGGCCAGCCCAAGGTGGTGCGCGACCGTCGGGTGGAGTACGTCGGCCTGCGGTGAACTTGGCGGCGCTCATCACTGCGCTCACCCACGGTGACCAGATCGTCATGAGCCACGCCAAGCTCGGTGTGGCCTTCCTCGACAGCGCTAACAACCGAGTTACCTGCCTGGGCAAGTTCGACACCCCGGGCGTTCATTCATTCACGACCGCCGTCAGTAAGAACACTCCGGCGACCGCAAAAACAAAAAACAAAAAACAAACAAAAGGAAACGACGCGCCACTTCTACTCCAACCAACAACGAACCGCAGCAATGGTCGGCCAGCAGCGAGGTGGTCGGGAAGACCGCGGGGCAACCAAGGACACCAACTGGGCTGACTCCGATTGGCTGGATTCGACCAATGGCCGCCGGCCTTGTAAATTATAAAAAGTAGACCCAGCGCCAGAGGGCCACAGACAAAAACTCTCACAGACCACTCCACAACAACTCCCCTTCAAATCAACAATGTCGTGGCAGACGTACGTCGATACCAACCTCGTGGGCACCGGTGCCGTGACCCAGGCCGCTATCCTCGGCCTCGACGGTAACACCTGGGCCACCTCTGCCGGCTTCGCCGTGACCCCCGCCCAGGGCACCACCCTCGCCGGTGCCTTCAACAACGCCGACGCCATCCGCGCTGGTGGTTTCGATCTCGCTGGTGTCCACTACGTGACCCTCCGCGCTGATGATCGTTCCATCTACGGTAAGAAGGGCGCCGCCGGTGTCATCACCGTCAAGACCTCCAAGGCCATCCTCGTGGGCGTCTACAACGAGAAGATCCAGCCCGGTACCGCCGCCAACGTCGTCGAGAAGCTCGCTGACTACCTCATCGGCCAGGGTTTCTAAGTTGTGTAAAACAAATAATACAAAAATCAAAAAGATAATTATAATTCAAACAATCTTCTCGTCCATTTATCCCCAATTCGTTCGTCCCTACTGTTGGAATCTCCCCGTAGCTCGCTTCACAGTGCGTCCAAAATACAGGCCATCATCTAATGTACTCGTGTCAACCTTGGTGGTTGCCGCAAAGCTTCTTTTTGGAAGATGAATCAGCTGTGACGCACGCGGTACCCCCCTTGCACCTACCGCCTTTTTCTTTTGGTTCTTCTTTTCTTTTTCTTCTTTTTTTGTCGCACCTTTCTGCAGATAAGCGTGCGGAGCCCTGATCCGGCGAGCTCACGGTAACACTCCCAGCGTGGTATCCGCACTCGTTCTCGGTTGGGTGCGGCGTTTCCCTGTTGCTCTGGGTGTTCTAGTGGTGTGCATTCGGGAATGGGCCAAATCGCCCACTCACTCATCGGCGATCAGCGAGGACGCAACCGCAAGTGCGTTAGGGAATGTGAAGTGACCGCTACGGCTCCTGTAGATGTCACAGTTGGCGTCTCGACCAACGCCCTGTCCGACGGCTGGTACGGCTTGATCGAAGATGTGGGCGGCATCCCCGCTGCCATGCCATCGCACCCGGTAAACCTCGCTACCCTCCAGGCTTGATTGTGGCGCCTTGCATTCTTCTGATATTCTTTGAATACCAGCCTTCAACATTCCAGAGCCGCGCGCCGACCGCGTTGTAGGGCATGGCGGCCCGACCTTCGTGTTGGATCGTGCCACACTCGCGGCCATCTACGGAGCTGCCGTTCGCGCTCAAGGCCAAGATGGCCTACCAGGCCTCCAAGGGCATGCACTTCCTCCACTCGTCGGGCATCGTGCACCGCGACCTCAAGTCGCTCAACCTGCTGCTCGACACCAAGTGGGACGTCAAGGTGAGCGACTTTGGCCTCACCAAGTTCAAGGAGGACATCGGAAAGGGCGGCGGGTCGCGCGATGTGGCCGGCAGCGTGCACTGGAAGGCGCCCGAGGTGCTCAACGAGTCGGCCGACGTGGACTTCGTCCTGGCCGATGTGTACAGCTTCGGCATCATCCTGTGGGAGCTGCTCACCCGCGAGCAGCCCTACATGGGCCTCAGCCCGTCGGCCGTGGCGGTGTCGGTCATCCGCGATAACCTGCGGCCCGCCATGCCCGACAACGCGGTGCGTGGCCTGTTGAGTTCGAGGAGCTGATCACGAGCTGCTGGCACCGCGACCCGACCATCCGCCCCACATTCCTCGAGATCATGACCCGCCTGTCGGCCATGCACGGCGACTCGACTGGAGGTGTAGGCGCCTCGCCGGCGCCACCTCGTTCACCACTTCCACGACCGGCTCGTCGTCATCGGCCCATTCGGGCGGCGGCATGCGGCAGAACGCCTACGGCTCGTGGACTATGCCATCGGCAGGCTCGTCGAACGGCTCGTCGGGTTCGTCGTCGAATGCCTCCGGGAACATGTCGGCCCGTGCGGCGGCGGCCGGGGCCGTACAGAGGGCGAGGTGACGATCGTGTTCACCGACATCACGCGCGCCGCCTCGCTCTGGGAGTTCAACGCCGCCACGCGCGACGCCACGCTCCTCCACAACGAGGCCCTGCGGAGCGCACTCAAGCCGCACCGCGGCTACGAGGTGGTGTTCATTCGGGACCGGAACAGCGGCGAAGGCTCCTTCTGCATGGCCTTCCAGCAGGCCGCCGACGCCTTGGCCTGGTGCGCCGACGTGCACAGGCCCTGTTCGCAGTGAACTGGCCCTCGCGCTGCTCGAGCACCCGGGCGCAGCTGAGGAGTGGGGCGACACCGACGACCGGGTGCTGTACAAGGGCCTGCGGGTGCGCATGGGCGTGCACCTGGGCACACCCAAGGTGGTGCGTGATCCGATGACGCGTCGGGTGGAGTACATCGGGCCGGTGGTCAACGCCGCGGCTCGCATCACAGCGCTCACTCACGGCGGCCAGATCGTGATGAGCGAGGCCACCTTCGCCAAGCTCAGGGACTCGAGCGAGGCCCAGCCGCTGCTCCGGGGCGCCCAAGACCAAAACCCTTGAGGTCGCGCATCGTCGGCCTGGGCAAGTTCGAGGTGCCCGCCGCCCCACGCGGTACGCTCCCCCCACCAATCTACATTTCAAACATTCCCGTGGCTGACGCGCGGCTTTGGTGGTCTGCACAGGGTGGTAGAGAGCTGACCGACCTTCGGGCTGACGCAGGTTCCAGCTGGGCGTGAGCTTGTCCCTCCTCCCGGTCACCATGCTCCCCGGTTTCGGCGGCATCTCGGCGAGCGACATCCCCGACCAGATCCAGAACGGCTACTTCTGTCTTCTCGGCAGACGCAGGGCGAAGGCCAGCGTGAAGAGCGTGGCCGAGGCGTGCTTGGTGACGAGCAGGATGAAGATGTTGTAGCCGAAGTTGACGAGGACGTACATGCCCGTGAAGAGGTGGTTGTACTCACACGAGTCGCCCGGCAGCGTGTTCCATCTCGGAGTGCTTCCATCTCCCCTTAATTAAGGGGAAAAAGGCTAAACAATGTGCAGGACCACCACACACCAACGATAACAGGGACCAGTCAGTTGCGCTCTTCAACCCGCGACTCGCCGGCGTGCCCGAGCAGGTGTTCGCCGTCAAGCCCGAGGCCAAGGACCAGCTCTACCTGCGCAAGTCCTACATGTACCGCCTGGGCATCAAGACGCCCCAGGTGGTCGCCTACGAATCCAACATCAAGTTAGGTCCGAACCGAAAGAACGAAAGCGATGAAAGAAGGAAACAAAAGAGCGAAGGGCAACCAGTAAAGATTTAAGGTACGGATCGGATTGTTTGAAGTTGTCGCGACTCGTCGTGGCCGGGATGGGTGTAGTTGAGTCGGCTCGCAGACGCACGAAAGGACAACGCAAAGGCGGCAGCCCGGAAAAGCTCACCGCGCTCAAAAAAACCAAACTAAACAGAGGAGGCCGGGCAGGCCTTGAGAAAAGACCGAGGATGTTGCGGCGGGGCATGCTGAGCAGTGCAGCCAGCAGGGACAAAGCGGCGAGCTCCTCTCCCAGACTCGAGCGCGCCGCACCGCCTCAGCTCAAGCGCCAGCAGACTCCAGTACGTCCCTCTCAATAAATAAATAATAAGTAATAAAAAAATAACAATAGAAGGTGGGTAATACAACATTTTTATACGCAATATTAACCGCGAATTTATGTCCACAAAATACAAATGCAAATTAATTATTTTATTTTATTTTATTTACTTTTTCGCTGTGCAGGTTGAGTATCCGCTGTATTGGGTGAACGTGCTGCGCGGTCGAGTCACCAAGCGGATGCTGACCTCACTGAGCGCGGCGCTCACCAGCCAAGATGACCGCTTCGTGCGGCGGTTCATCCGAATGCACGGCATCGCCTCTCTGTTCGAGGTCCACGAGAACCTGTTCTGGCGGTACCGCACCACCCACGACCATAGTGCGCCATGATCGCCCTCTTCCTCTGCGTCACACGGGCTGAAGCCATGTCCATCCCCACACAGGTGCTTCTACGCCAAGACCGGGTCGGCCGCCGTCAACGTCTCGCTCAACATCGAGATGATGCAGGAGTGTGGCCGCTGCGTCGAGATCATTCTCGGGCGATCGGTGCGCCGCTCATCTGGAATGTGGCGTCACGACGCATTCCATTCAACGGCTGACTCTCAATTTCTTCTTTTGGTTCAACATCGCCATCATCATCATCGCAGGGCGGCATGCGGGCCTTCATGAAGGGCAGCAAGAACGTGATGACGGCTCACGTCGAACAGCTGATCGTGACGCTCGGCAGCGAAGACCAGGAGGTGCGGCGGTCGGCCCTGGCCTCCCTCCGCTGCGTGCTCAGCCACATCCAGTCCCTGGATGAGAAGCTGGCACTCAAGCGCCAGCGAACGGCGGCCAAGCGCCCGCAGCAGGCCAATGATGACGTCAGCAAGAGAGAGAAGGCGTCGACGGGCAAGAAGGAGAAGAAGGAAAAGACAAAGAAGAAGGTCCGGGCGAAGATCGAGATCAGGGCCAGGGAGATCGCCCAGATCGTGTGCGAGGCGCTCGTATCCCTGCAGATCCTGCTCGAGGAGGTGAGCCTCTTGAGCGCGATCGTCCGCGTCATCAAAGAGGTGCGTGTGTCGTGTGTCGTGTGTCGTGTGCGTGTGGATGTTGATTGTTGGCTAACGTTTGCTGTGTGTGGCATACAGGCCAAAGGCGAAACTGCGATCGAGGTCCAAACGAATGGACTGTTCTTGATCAACTTCGAGCTGGCCTTCGCGGAGAATCGCCAGGAGAGGAACAGACGAAGAATTGGACTCATCATGGCCGGCGTGGAGCAAGTCATCGAATCGATCGAGCAACAGGTACACGTATCGTCCCAACTCAATTGACTCGTTTCTTTCACTAACGAAGGCGCCGCACGCACCGCATGCAACCAGGAAGGAGAAACAAAGCAGCCTCTGCTTGAAGAGGAGATACGACGATGGCGAGAAGGAGGGTCTGCGACGTCGGAACAGGAGGACGAGTTCGTGGAGCGACCGAACAACGAGGAGGTGGCGGTGACGCAGAGGAAAGAGAACGCGAAGAAAGAGAAAACGAAGGCGAAGAACGAAAAGAAGAAAGACGGGCGAAAGAAGGAAAAGAGGATGAACAGCCACCTGGGCGACAGCATGTACACACCGACAGAAGTCGTCGCCGACGGCGACCGGGCACGCGTTGTCGACGTCTACTCTCTCGTCGACGTAGACCAAGCCTCGGCGTCGGAGGACTCGCGCAGCGGGCGCAGCGCGGAGCTCAGCGAAGACTCTGCAAGCGACACGGACGAGGAGGACCAGGAACCCAACACGCAGCTGCGTGGTGTGCGAGAATCGGACGTATACGGACACACGACCGCAGCGGCGACCACGGCATCGGCCTATGTCGAAGTAGAGGCGGACGACGGCAACCCACCGATGACCAGGGAAAAGAATAGCGCCGAGGGCGCCATTCCGAGCTCCTATTACGTCGAGGTCAATGAAGACGACGAAGGTTGCGATGACGAAGCCACGCCGCCAAAGAGCGAAGCCAAAAAGAACGAAACGAGAAATGAAAGCGAAGGTCCCGTCGTGGAGAGGTACGCCGGAGCCGGAGAGAGTCAGAGAACCGAAGTCGAGGTCTATGAGCAGAGCGATGACGGAGAATCGAGCAACTACCAGGAAATGGACTTCGCGCCCGTCCCGATGCTGCAGCCGGCCAAGATGAAAGAGAAGGCGAAAGAAAAGAAAAAGAAGAAGACCAAGTCGCCCAAGTCTTCGCCCGCCCGTCCTTCGCCACTGCCCTTTGCGTTCTCTTCTTCACCTGCGTCATCGTCGTCATCACTATCGACACCTTTCGCGATTCCAGTGCCACCGCCACCTCCGCCGCCGTTGACGCTCATCGCCCTCAGTGCTTCCTCGCACAGCTCTGGTCGCAGAGCCGCCATCCAGGAGAGCGTCGACGACGGCGACATCTACCACTACATGAAGAAGCAACAGCAAACCAAGGGCTCCATGATCGTTCGGCCGCAGGACAGGCAGAGCTACCTGCAGGACCAACGCTCCCTACAAACCCAACACGGTACCACCGCCTTTGCAGTCATCTTCTAGGGTGGCGTGTGCGATGATTTACACGTATACTTATAAAAAACACATTTTTGATTGGTGGCTGCAGACCTGCGAGCTCTAGCGCAGCCAATCAAGAAGGGCGAGCTGTTTATGTGGAGCGTGCGCGTGAAAGTCGACCCGAAGACCGGCATCCCAACGCCCCAGACGGTGTTCGATTCGGTCAACATCAGCGTCGACGAGAATCAAGTCACGATCTCCGACAAGGTTCGCTCAGTTCTGCTCCGTGCACTGCTGTAGGGGTGTGTGTCGACACTCACCCCTCTCCCGCTGCCCTCTCGCAGATCTTGGATACCTACAGCGCGCAGAGCCTGGCCAAGATCAGCAAAGTGTCGGAACACTTCCAGTCGTTTGCGGATGACGACATGGTACGCCCAGCATGGTCGGCCCAGCAGTCGCATTGGGATGGCTTGATAGCTGCTGACTCTGGCGATTGTGAATGCAGAAACAGAAATTGAACGACTACTACCATGCGGCGCCGATAACGATGGCCATCGAGCTGACGGACATCGTGCGTGTGCGCGAGTTCCGTGCCAACCGCGGTGTCGGCTGGGAGGGCAAGTTCGGCTTCACCATCAAATACAAGTACCGCCCACCACCCACCACGCACCGCGCACGTACCACTCTCTCACACATAGTTGGTGCAGAGCGAACAAGGACAAGAAGCCCGAAATGGTGAGCCTGGCCACCAACTCCTACGAGGACCAGCAATGGTGGATACGCGCCATCATCGTCAACCGAGGTGCGCGATGCCCTTCGCTCTCTCTCTCTCTCTCCCTCTCCCTCTCTCTTATTCAACTCATGCGACGCTGTGCGTGTCTGGTATTTTAGGTATGTCAAGAGACTGGAATGAGGAATTCCAGATGGTCATGAAGTCGCACCGCGAAGAACTGCTCACGCCGCGAGGCCGATTCGTCGACGTCGGCGAGCTGGCACGACAGGACCACTTCGTTTCCGCACCTTTCAACCCCATCCTCCTCGCTGGCAAGAGCAAGGTAAGGCCTCTCGACCACTCACATCCCTCCCCCGACATTTTCTCGCTTCGTCCTTATCATCTTCGTTCTTTGTCGCGAGAGCAGCCCTCGGTCAAGATCGGCGACCTGGTGCACCAATTCACGGTCATTGCCGAAGTGCTGGCGCAAATCATCGTCGACGAGCTCCCGCAGCCGGACGCCAAGAAGCTCATACCGCCGGTCAACCTCGGCGGAGTCGCGGGCGGGGCCAAGTACATCTCGCACGGCATCCTCTTCAAGTTCGCCATCGACTCAGCGCAGCTGTACGGCGGCGACGAGTTCGCCATGAAGGCCACGCAGCACGAGATCAAGGGCCTCACGGCCTACATCAACTACTCGCTCAACTCGCGCTTCCCCAACACCCTCCACTTCCCCTTGATGACCGTCATCGGTACGCACTTCTTTCACGTCACTCGAGCTCAAGCAGTTATTCATACGTGTTGCGGACTGTTCATAGACTACAAGGGCTATCGGCTCAGTGCCACGTCTATTCTGCCTGTGGGCTCCAACACTGTGCGTTCCTCCTCCATCAACTGCGTAGCCAGACTTATTAACGACCTCCGATTAAATCAACAGATCGTGTACGGCTCGGCGGACGGGGGCAAGACGCTGCACAACAAGTACAAGGAGATGAACGCGCTCATGAAGAAGGCCGGCCGCGCGCTCAACATCAAATCCCACTACATCGTTCCCGTCGTGCCGCCGGAGCTGCTCAAGACCGCGCGCCGGGTGCCCATCTGCGGGCCTGGCGATATCGGTGCGCACCCCAACCCAACCCAACCCCTTCCCCCTCCCCTCACGCCTGCTTGCCTCGGCTCACGCCCCATCGCCTCTGTCTCTCGGCAGAGGGCCACCGCGGGAAGGACAATCGATTCTACGTACTGGACACGGCCCGCGTTTTTCCTCCCACGACGCCCATGCCGGGCGTGCGTGGTGGTTTCCTCTTCCAGCTGTTCCGCCCCGAATTCGTTCGGGGTTACCACCTCCCGCTATGCTCCGACGCCTTTTCTCGGTATGCCTTGGTGTGTCGTGTCGTGTGTCGTGTCATGTGCTCGTCGTGTCGTGTCGTGGGTCGTGTCGTGTTGCCTGACGCAGGTTTCATTGTGGCGTCGCTGCAGGTGGGGACACGATCCGATGAACACGGACGTCTTGCGGGGCCACAACGCTGAAGTGCGGGAAGCCACGAAGCACCTGCTCGACGTTGTGATCCCTCGGTTTGCTCGCCGACTCGACCGATTCTTCAGACTCGTCTACGCGCCACTGACCGAACAGCGGTATCTATTTACCACCTCAGCGCCTAGCCGACACCCATCGTGCGACCTGACGCATCAGTCTTGCCCCTCATGTGCTGCGCAGAATGTGGCGGCTGGCGGCAGAGGACTCGCGGCTGATCGTGATCGACATGCACCGCGCTGGGATCAACCTACGATGCCTCGGCCATCTGCGCAAGCACGTGACAGAACCTACCCTCCGTCGATGGCTGCTGATGGGTACGCCTGCGATTGGTTTTAACTCCGACAACCACCACAAAAGACTGACGTTCCTCCTCATCTGCCTCGGGCATCGCGCAGAGATGGTGTCGCGCGTGCTCAAGAACAAGCTACGGGAGCTCATGCGGGCGGCGGTGCGGAGCGTGGGGGAGCGGGACACCAAGCGCGTGGTGGGCGCGTTCCTCCATCGGCTTCTCCACCACCCGCGCTTCTGGCGCCAGGGCTCGTCGTCGGAGCACACCGCCGCCGAGGCTGCGCCCTCGACCGACTCGCACCTCGCGTCCGCCTCTTCCTCTACGATTCCGTGTCCCGGGCTGCGTGCGGCACTGGACATCAAGAAGGCCCTGCTGACGCGCTACCCATGCTCCTTGACACCCGACGAGGTACGACACGCACGGCACGCACGGCACGCAACACGAGGCTTTGGCTGACTGTACGGGCGTACGCAGGAGGGGAAGGAGTGGGACCTGAAGCAGGCGATGAACCTGGGCGTGGTCTTCGGGCGCGTGACCGCCCTCGCCGGCCTCAAGTTCAGCGAGGAGTTCGAGGCCCGGCTCTGGCGCTGGGTGAACAGCGACGGCGAAGAGGAGGCCGCCTCCGTCGAGGCCACGCAAGACGCCGTTGTCCAAATCGCACCCTCGGTCCAACCCCAGCCACTGATCCCAGCTGCATTGTTACTATTATTATTCTTATTATTGCTGAGCTCTTTCGGCTGACCCAAATGCTGCAGATTTCGCAGCTGCCGCTGGTGTCCCTCTTCAACGCCAAGAAGGCAGAGCGACACGCCGAGCGATCATTTGCCAGCATCAAGAAGCACCAGGAGATCTACCTGAACCGGGTACGCTTCTGCTGGTGCGGGGGTGGTAAGGCGACACCCCTTTTAACTCCGATCGCTCAATCAAGGCGAGGGACGAGTACCTTGCCGGCCTGGCCATGAAATCGGACGACTGCGACATACTGCTCAAGCTGGCCTCTGTTCTCGACCGGTTGGCCGAGGTCGTGAAGGAGCGCCTGCCCGAGTACAGACGGCAGGGCGAAGAACAGGAGAGCGAAGCCGTGGTCCGCATCGAACGACTCCGTCGCTTGGCCGAACGCCAGTACCAGGTAATGTCCGCCTTCGCTAAAGAACGCTAAAGAATGCGTGCTCGATCCGGCCAACTTGTCAGACATTCCTCACTTTGTCTTCCAGGAAGCTCTGCGGATTGACTCAACGCAAGCCGACGTGCTGGCCGAATACGCCGCCTACTTGTCCCGAGACCCGGACCGTGCCCAAGAAGCTGTCGAGGTACAACTCAAGACACTTCGCGTGTCGTGTCGTGGTGTCGTGCGGGTGGCGTGTCGGTGTCTTGTGTTTGTTGCTTGTGCCACACGTGTGCGGGAGCGTTTTTTTCGACCCGACGTCTCACCAAGAGCGGCTGCGTATCAGTACTTTTCGTTAGCGGTGCAGGCCAATCCGTTCAATCAGGACCTGGAGAAGAAGCACAAGGCCTTCATCGAGCAGCGCGTCCAGCAGCTCAATGCGCGCCAGCAGCAGGAACAAGACAACAACGGCGTGCCCGCGGCCCGCGGAAGCGGCGGGAGTCTGGCCACGAGCGGCGGCGAGAAGTCGATGATGCGCCTCGTGCGGCGCTCGCGACGGCTGACCGTGGGCACGTTCAAGGGAGTGACCACCATCAGTGGCAAGGGACTCGCCACCTCGTCCTCCCTGCTGCGCATGGACGACTCCTCATCGGTTGCCGGAAGCGACGTCTTCATCTCCGCGCCGCAGCTCAAGCGAGACCAACCACAATCGCATCATCAACCACAACAGAAGCAAGACGAGGGCAAAGAAGAAGATGAAGAAGATGCAGAAGCCGAGAAGGCCGGCCTTAGGAACCAGCTGTCTCAGTCAGGCGGCGCGATTGGGAGCCAGGTGTCGCCCAGAGGCACCAGTGACGATTCTGATGAGGAGCGGCGCGGTGCGGCGTCGAGGACCTCGCCCAAGCGGCGATCGCTTTCGTCGTCAGCGAGCGGCTTGCTCAGTGGCTTGCGCCCGGGCTTCGGCCAGGTGTCGAAGAACCGCAAAACCAAAAAGAAACAGAAACAGAAAACCTGAAAGAAAATAATAAACTTCTGTTTATCTCCTCGACCCGAGCCAGAAGAAGACAAACACCTTCGCGCCACAACCTCTTCTCGTACGTAGCATGCGTTGTTTTAAGTGATCAATTTAAAAGCAACCACAAATCGATTTATATGATCCAACATTGTCCACTAATCATCTTGAGTGCCCTGTCAAGGCTTGAAACTGCTTTGAATCAGCACCTTGTGGCCCGGAGCAGGGTGGGAGTCACCACCAACCATGATCGGCGGTTGCGTCACCACCGTGTCTCCTGCAGGATATTATGCAGCTTGTGTCCGGACAGTGGCCGAGCGGTGGTGCGATCTCTACAAAGTTGAGGAGCACACAACTTCCGACGGTCCAGCACCCGCCATTCGCCACCCGGAGATCATCCGCGGACGACGTGTTCTCCTTCGCACCATTATGTGGGAGGTGGTGACGCGCAAGGAGCCCTTCGCTGGGCGCAACTTCATGGGCGTGTCGCTGGACGTGCTCGAGGGCAAGCGACCGCAGATCCCCAACTGCCCGCCCGAGTTGATTGTATTTCTAATTCGCTTTTAAAACCAAGAACAACTTCAAAAAAAAAAAAAAAAGACCTAGATGATAAAAAGGTGGGTGTGGGCCGCTTGATGGCGAATCACGCGGTTGTTGGGGGTATTGGGGTCCAGGGGGATCCTGACCTTTCGGTCCGGCGATTTGTTGATGAAGCAGAGTTTACTCTCTGCGTTGGAGTGGCGGTCCGCCCTGTGCCTATGCCGGCACACGGCGAACCAGCCTGGGAATTGCGATGATTATCGTGATTCGTCAACCTGTTCGGATGATAGAAGCTTCGGGCCTCTTGCTACTGCTGCACGTTGGATTCGAAGTAGCGTAGAACTCATCTTTGCAAGCTGACTGCCCACACCCACATCACCAAACAGGACGCAAGCCCACATCAAGCTTTGGCCCGGCTACCGCGCACAGATTGTGGGAGTTGAAATGAATTAAATGATAAAAAAGAATCGCAGAAGGGGAAGTATAACTCCACAACCAATCAGTAGGCGGGTGTAGCCTTTTTGCTGGTGTTTGAGCTTGTCGTAGTATGGTGTTAGTGAGAGGTGCTGTAGTTTTGGGGCAGCAGAGGCAGTAGATAGCTAGCGTCCTGCAGCAGCGCCTCCTCCTGGCGCCAAAGCAGGCACTCGCCCAGCGGCACCGCGGCAAACACGACGGCGCCCACCAGCGCCAGCCACCATCCACTGCACAGTAGCCACACTCACAGCTCGTCATCCACCTGCAGCGCCCCCTTTTCCCCTTGGTCAAGATTCCCACGAACCTGAGCGGCCCCCAGGCAAAGCCACTGTTGAACGCGCCGACGTGGGACCGGCGGCCAGCGAAGTTGGTGCACCAGCCCTCCTGGTGGGGTCCCTGGTTTGGGTGCCGACCGCCGTCAGCAGAAAGGGTTGCGTACGCGGCGTCGGGGCAGAGCGAGCCGTCGAGTGCCAGGGTCTGGCTCAGGCCCAGCCAAAAGCCGAGCCAGGCCAGGCACGCACAGACGGCCACGATCACCGACAGCAACACACCCCTCCTCCGGCGTCCCGACCGCCAGCTTGCACGGCGGTCGCACTTCAGCGCCACCGCAAGCAGCACGAGGAAGCCCAACGCCATGGTGCCCTCCACCAGCCCGGCGGTCCACAGCTGGTCTTGGACAGTGTCGGTGGCGGGGGACTCGGACCACGACTTGGTCGTCGAGGCGTTGGTGCGGTGGTGAATGGTGCGGGCGATGCCAGACCAGTAGCCCGTGTAGAGGGTGAACACAACGGTGGCGGCCGTCGTGTTGCTGTCCCAGGTGGGGTAGGGCACGTCGGTCTCGGTGATTCGGTACCACGGCAGCACATAGGCCAGAGCGAAGAGGCCGAGGGCTACAGCCAGCAGCGCCACCACCAAGACCCTCTGGCGAATCCATGGCATCCACTTCTCACTGAGCGTTGAGCTTGTTTGTTGTCTGCCGCGTAAGTGATGTTCAATTTGGTGCAACAACAAGATAGAAGCGCTTGGGCGGGAGCCACTTCCCAGCTGAATTCCAGGCATTCCACAATCATCACTATGTTGTGAAGCTTGGTGAAGAAGTGATGTTCATCATTCCGGAAAATGGGGTGAGTTTAGCTGGGGAGGGGGAACGAGCCGGAGAAGTCGATGACCTCCTTGCGCAGGCGCGCGATCTCTCCGCCGCTCTTCTCCTTCTCCACCTGCTCCTTGAAGGCCTTCAGGTTGCCTCCTCCTGAGTTGAGTTAACACCACCACGACCACACACGCACGACACACGACACACACGACACACAGGCGCGTCACGTAAGAATGAAGCCACACAGGCAGCTGGAAGTGCAAGGGGGACGTACCCTGCTTGGCGAGGGACTGGGTGATCTGGACGGAGCGGTGGAGGAAGTCGGAGACGACCTCGAACTCGGCCTCCTTCAGGCCGCGGGTCGTCATGGCCGGAGTGCCGATGCGCACGCCGCCGGGCACCATGGGGCGAGTGTCGCCGGGCACGGTGTTCTTGTTCACTGTGATGTTGCACGCCTCCATCACGGTCTGTGTATCGCGTGTCGTGTCGTGTCGTGTGTTGGCCGTTCTTTCAGTAATTGTTTGGCGTCGCGACGCAGCGCGTAAATCTCTGACGCACCTCAGTTCGCGAACCGTCAACGCCCTGGGGCCTGAGGTCGAGCAACAGCAGGTGGTTGTCGGTGCCGCCTGGGAGCCGAGCAAGAGAGTGAGTGACGCTTAAAAAAAACTGTGAGCCTCTCGCGTTGGTGTGTGCGACGTACCCGACACGAGGGTGTAGCCCTTGCTTTGCAGGGAGGAGGCGAGGCGAGCGCAGTTCTTCTTCACCTGCACCTGATACTCCACGAATTCGGGCGACATGGCCTAATACAACGAGAATTCGAGGAATTGAGGGTCAGCTCCTGACGCCTGGCTTGAGGGGCATGAGAGTCCATTACCTCCTTCAAGCTCACGGCCAGCGCGGCAATGGTGTTGTTGTGGGGACCACCCTGGAGCGAGGGGAACACCGCAAAGTTGATCCGCTCCTCCAGGTCGTACAGAGTCTCTGAAAATTGCACAAACAATTTCGGGAGTGAGCGCGCACGGCCACCGCACACACACACGACGCACACAAGGGTGAGGCGCAGTACCCTTGCTGGTCTTGGGATCAACGGACTTGACGCCACGCCTGAAGAAGATGACGCCGGAGCGGGGTCCGCGGAGGGTCTTGTGGGTGGTGGAGGTCACCACGTCGCAGTGGTCGAACGGCGACGGCACCTGCTGGGCTGCCACGAGTCCGGAGATGTGGGCCATGTCGCCCATCAGGTAGGCACCCACCTCATCGCAGATCTACAGATGGCCCACACACGCACCTCTCATTCAGCACAACGATGACTGCGGGAGGCAAGAGTGAAGAGCGAGAGAATGGCTAACCTGACGCATGCGAGCGTAGTCAAAGTTGCGCGGGTAGGCGGAGGCGCCGGCGATGATGATCTTGGGCCGGAAGAGGAGGGCAGACCGGCGCAGCTCATCGTAGTCAACGTAGCCGGTCGACTCGTTCAGCCTGCGGACATCGACAATGACAGCAACAACAAGAAAGATGAGGCGTTAACATGAACCAAGCGAAAGCCTTCAACGTTATTCTCGGCGTGTATACCTGTAGGGCATCGATTCGAAGTAGATCGACGTAGCCGAGATGCGCTTCTTGGGGGACATGTAGCCATGAGTCAGACTGCGCGGCCAAGTGACAAGCAAGCTGATGTCAGCCAGGGCTCTCGTAGACGGCGAAGGGGAGAATAACAACGACAACTGGGGTCCCAGGGCGGTCGTACTGGCCACCGTGGGGCAGGTCGAGGCCCATGATGCGGTCGTGCGGGTTGAGCAGGGCCGTGTATGCGGCGAAGTTGGCCGGCGAGCCCGAGTAGGGCTGCACGTTGACGCCCCACTTGGCCGAGTCCAGGTGGAAGGCGTCCAGAGCGCGCTGGATGCACAGCCGCTCGTTCTTGTCGATCACCTCATTGCCACCGTAGTACCTGGTACAGCACCCACCACCAAACAGGTGAGCAAGGGCCGAGGGCAGGTTGTGCCGGGGCTGGAGAGCTGTACCGAGCGCCAGGGTAGCCCTCCGAGTACTTGTTGGTCATGACGGAACCCAAGGCCTCGAGCACAGCTCGCGAGGTGAAGTTCTATCCATGCATTTGACAAATTAATTAAGAGACATCAGAATTAGTGCTAAATTGATGTTCAGAGGCAGTGCCGACCACAACGCTACGTGCGGCAGGTAAATGCGTAAAAGGGAGCAGCGCAATGTGGCGTAATCTTCGTTCTATTGAAAATGAGGTCGTGGGAGGAGGTACCTCAGAGGCGATGAGCTCGATGCCGTACTTCTGACGTTCGTACTCTTCGTGGATGAGGCTGTGCACTTCCGGATCGACCTCGGACAGCGGCCTCGCCGTGGACGAGCTCACCAGACGTCTCGCGGTATGACCCACCGACGTGGCCGACACCGCACCACGCGCCGCGCTCACGCCGCCTCGTCTTGCCAGAACGCTCCTCATGATCAGCAGCGCAGTATCGATTTGATGACGGATCAATGTACAAACAAGAAAACGGAAAGGGCACCCGACGAGGTCTTGGGAAATAGCTTTTCTTCGTCATTTCTCTTTGGAGCCACTTTACCTCGATTGCCTGCGTCACACGGAGAAGAAGATCGAGAGAGCAATCGATTGGACAACTTCCTCTCCAAGCTTCGATTTTTGTTTTCGCTACATAGAAAATGGCGGATGAAGTGTTCACGAATCAGCCTGTGGTGATCGACAACGTATGTTGGCGCAAATTTTGGCATCGTCTACCCGAATGGCCATCGTGGCAATTCTCACGCTGAATCTACTCGCTGCAGGGATCGGGCGTGCTCAAGGCTGGCTTTGCTGGCGATGAATCACCCAAAGTGAACTTCCACACTATGTACCTGCCCCCCCCCAAATTCTAAGTCTTCCTCGCTCTCTTTGTCAAGCTTCTCTCGCTCTAGCGCCATCCATCTCCAGCGATCATCACTTCCCCTTCATCCCAACTTCTCGTTGTTCTGATCTTGTGGCGTGGGGCGTGAAAAGTGTGGGCAAGCCAAAGCACAAGAGGATAATGGCGGGAGCGGTGGAGGGCGAATACTTTGTCGGGTCGAAGGCCGAGGAGCTGCGCGGACTGCTAAAGCTCAAGCGACCGATCGAGCACGGCATCGTCACCGACTGGACCGAAATGGAGCACATCTGGAACCACACTTACTCTGAGCTCAAGATCCAGTCCGAGGACGTACGATCCCACTGTCTCTTACACTAGCACCAGCTGAAGCCGCGCCTTGGAGCACTAATCCGCTTGTACGTGGCACGACCTCAGCATCCGGTGTTGCTCACTGAGGCGCCGCTCAACCCGCGGAAGAACCGAGAGAAGGCAGCGGAGGTGTTCTTTGAGACCTTCAACGTGCCCGCGCTCTACGTCTCGCTTCAAGCAGTGCTCAGTCTGTGCGTTCTTGCCCTCTGCTATATCTTACTCATGCGCGGGGTTGCGGCTCGATGTTGAGTGGTGAGCCAACTCACAATCGTTTGCCTTTTATGTAGGTACGCATCGGGTCGCACGACCGGTGCCGTGCTGGATTCGGGCGACGGTGTCTCACACGCCGTACCCATCTTCGAGGGCTTTGCCATGCCTCACGCCATTCAGCGCATTGATGTTGCTGGAAGGTAACTCTAGACCTAGACCAACAAGCGCAGCTCCGCTCGACTTTTGCTCACATTCGAAAACAACAGGGATGTGACACACAACCTGCAGACGTTGCTGAGGCACGCTGGCTACAACTTCCACACCAGCGCGGAGCGGGAGATTGTCAGACAGATCAAGGAGACCGTGTGCTACGTCGCGTTTGACCCCAAGGTTCGTGCCACTCTGCTTCGTCTCTCCTTCCACCTAGTGCTAGTGGTTCACCGCATTCTCATTGTCATCATCTGCTTCGTTCCGTGCCTGCAGAAAGAGGAGGAGCTGTTGGAATCGGAGAAGAGCAAAAAGCCGGTGCACGTCAACTACAAGCTTCCCGACGGCAACGTCATCGAGGTGGGCATGGAGCGCTTCAACGCGCCCGAAGTTTTGTTCAACCCCGAGCTGATCGGTGAAGAGTACCCCGGCATCCATGAGACCATCACCAACTCAATTCAGAAGGTTCGTGGTCCTAAACTCTCTTTCTTTTTCTTGTCTTCGAGAGTACTGACTCACCTCCATTTCCACTTCTTCTTCTGAATCACACAGGTTGACGTTGACCTGCGAAACGTGCTCTACCAAAACATCGTGCTCTCCGGTGGCTCCACGCTCTTCCCTGGTGCGTACACCCATGTGTAGGACTACTATGCGCGTGGTGTGGTGGTGCTGACGTTCCTTCATGACAATAAACAAACTATCAGGTTTCGGTGATCGTCTGCTGGACGAGGTGAAGGGTCTGGCTCCGGCCAACATCAAGATCAAGATCTCGGCGCCGCCTGAGCGCCTCTACTCGACGTGGATCGGCGGCTCCATCCTGGCGTCCCTCGCCACGTTCAAGAAGATGTGGGTCTCGAGCGAAGAGTGGGAGGAGGACGGCAAGGCCGCCATCCACAGAAAGACCTTCGCGTAGGAAGGAGGAAGAAGGTAACAATCGTCCTGCAGCTCGTCGACAACAAACATGGAAAAAGGAAAAGAAAGGGCACAAAAATAAAAAACAAACAAACAAGAACCCCAAGCCGTGCACGCGCAAACGTTGATGCCCTTTGATTAAGTGCCGCGAGATGCTGCCCTTCCTGCGCATGCTCCTGCCCAAGAGGGAGGAAAAGTCCCAGACTACGCAAGTGGAGCAAGTGGAGCCCATGAGCTGCCCAGGTACGAGCATTTTCTTTTCAGCAAAAGAATTAATTACTGATTTAATCTGCCCATTGTAGCAGAAGAGGACTGGAGAGTTCTCCATACCTCCTGGTTAGATGACATACCCGAGGAGGTTGCTTTGCATATATTGTCTTTCCTCTCCGCTCGCGACCTTGGCCAGCTTGCACAAACCAGCAGGGTACCCCTCCCTCTTCCTCTATTTTCGCTCTCTACGTGTGCTTGCATATCCTCATGCTCTTCTACTTGACATCGTTACCGCTCTGTTATTGCAGTACTACAGCAGGCTAACCGAGGAAAAGGAGCTGTGGAAGGAACTCTACTACTCGCTCAGCAAGAGACAGCCATCTGCCCAGTCCATCCAAAATGCACCATTGCCCGTCGTGATCTCCCTCGCAGACACAACCCCCTAACAATGCGCTTATTGCCTTTCTCAGGTGGGCTGGAAGTGGCTCTACTTGGGGCGCCTTAAAACGGACTATGGCAAGCCGCCCCACGTGACCGTGTACAACCCCAGCCACTTCGCTCGCAAACACTACGAGGTGTGACTCTTGGCCTTTGGTTTCTTTCAAATGCGGAACGGCGCCGAAGCCTCGTAGTTGGTTTACACCTTCCTCTTCACTACAGGATCAAAACTCTGATGATCACGCGGACCCCTTGAAAGAGGACTTCAGCGAGATGAACCGTGGTCTGGGCGGAATTGGATGTCTGGTTCGTCCCTGCCCGCCTCGCCTCAACCCGACAATGAAGGCTAATCGACGCATTTTCTCCAACGCTACCTAGGGTGTGTATGCTGAGAAAGACATTCTCATCGGAGGGACCATGCGTGGTACGTCTGCTGTGCTTTCGCCCATCGTCTCCACTTGTTTGCTGAGGCACCAGTTTCGCTCTTTTATGCTCGTTATCTTCAGGCAAGATGCTCGCGATTGACATTTCTACGGGAAAATTGTTGAGATGCATTCCGGCCCACAAGCACACTTGTACGCGACACCCTCTTCTTCTTGCAGCTACGCACGTTCCTCACTACAATATCGCCTCGTGGTGCCTTAGTGTCATGCCTGAGCATCAATCAGAACCTGGCAGTCACAGGCTCGTGGGACACTACACTTCAGGGTACCCTGCACTCTACTCTCTTTCCCAAAGTTGCCACTCGCACTTCTCGTACTAAGAATCTCCGTGTGGACTCGCTCTACCTTCGCAGTTTGGGATCTCGACACGTATAGCAGCCTGACAACGCTGACACGACCGGGCGAGATCGGCTACATTCGGTGCTGCCAAGTTGACAAGTCTCGAGGGCTCGTCGTGAGCGGATCAAACGACAACAGCATTAAGATCTGGTAGCCACCCCGCTTAGCCCCCGCGTTCCTGAAACAGCGACGCTGACCCATACTCGTTGAACAAATAACCAGGGAACTGGAGACGGGCTGCCACCTGGACACGATCAGAGGGCACGACGGAGCGGTAACCGGCCTCAGTTTTCACGAAGATCGGCTCATCACAGGCTCTTGGGACAGAACCGGTACTCTTTGAGCCCAACGTGTTCGTACTGGAGGTGGTGGCTCAAACGCCAAGCAACAGTGCGGCTGTGGAGCCTTAAGGACAAGGAATGTGCGATGGTCTTGAAGGACCAACCCGGCGACAAGTACTGTGCCATCCGCTACGACCCTGTCCAAGAGCTCGTGTACGGTGGAAGGTACGCCACCCAACTGTCTTGTCTACGGAGTTAGGGTATCACCCTGGGCTTTGACATTTTGCCGTGTCGCGCTGCGCAGGGAGGACCAGCACATTGCGGTCTTTGATCTTCGCGCGGGCAAGTTCATGTGCCGACTCACCGGCCATACGTCGTGGGTCTATGGCCTGGCACTTGACGACACCACCCTCTTCTCGGTGCGTACTTGTCCTTGCCTCAACTTGTCCTCCTTACCGACCACCGGGCGCTCACTTCGCTTTTGAATTTGTGCCAGGGCTCGATGGACGGAAAGGTGCGCATATGGGACAGAGAAAAGAACGAATGCTACAACGAACTCGGCTCCGTCGGCACCAGCTGCGTGCACGCCCTTCTCGTCTACGACAACATTCTGGTAACACCCACCGCTACCGCCTTCACTCGAGAAGTGTGCACACGCTCTCGCATGATTGCACTCGCTCACATTGCGGTCTGTCTGTCTCATGTAGTACTCGGCCAACGAGGATAGCAGCATTCGAGCAATGGTAAGCAAGCTTGCTTAGAGCAGACGATGTGATGCTGATGCTTCGCTTTGCCAAGAGACTGACTCCCCTTTGTTCTCTCACAGGACTTTTCTGGCCCGTTGGGACGAAGCCGGGCAGGCCTCACCGGGTCGAGCAGCGCCAGGGAGGGCTTCCCCACGTGACGCGAGCTGGCCTGCAGTCGCCCTCGCCTTTGCCCAACACGTTCCTTTTTTTAATTTCTTTTCCAGACCTGTGCGAGAGCGAAGCAGAGCGCAAATGTCTCACATTCCAAATCGGCGTGGGCTCGCACTGCTGGAGACAAATAGGAATTCTAAACTTCTAATTACGTCTCGGCGCGGGTTGGCAGCAAGCGGGTTTCAGAAGACTTGGCTCGACGTCGTGCACCACCAGCGATGTACACGTATAGTGTCGGGGTAAAGGACCATGAACCCGCAGGTATCCATTTCTAAGTCGCGTCACCCGCTCTTTCTTTGCAGGGCTATGACTAACTGGTGCCTGTGTATTGTTTTTGCAGCTGGGGGCGGGCTCCTCGAAGGTGCGGAGCTGCCAAAGGCCAAGGAAGCAGAACCAGAGTTGTACACGGTGACAAGCATCACCTCGGTGGCACTTCGGCGAGGCTACACCATCAGCAACATCGACGAAGCATACATGGTGCGAACTGTTTGTCAGCTCCTCCAGTGCAAACGGACTGTTAACTGGATTATACGGTGTTGGACAGGTGTATGAGCTCGATGTAACGTCGCAGTTCCAAGGGAGCCCCGACCTTGCTGGCACGCCCGTGGTTCGGAGGCACAGCGTGCGCAAGCGGTACAGCGAGCTGCATGCACTCCACTGCCATGTACGCGCGTGTCTCTCTTCACCTTGACTGTGAGTATGTCGATGATCGACTGACAATGCTCATCACCCACTTGTGGCCTTGATGACTTTGAGTTCAGCTGGAGAAGGCCCAGCCCAAGCTGAAGTTGCCCTCGTTTCCGTACAAGCTACAGATACTGAACTTGGACACCGACGGCCTGAAGCGGAAGAAGGCCCTGGCTGATTACCTGGACTTTGTCGGGTCCCACCCACAAGCTCGCAGCCGATGTTATGCTCATCAACTGTCTCCACGACAAGGTGATCAGGCCTGCCGGCTGCCTTTCAACCCTCTCTCTGCACTTGCTGTGGTCTGTGTGTCTGACATTCTTCATTTTGCAGTCGCCTGAGGCGCCCGTTGTGTTGCGCGTAACACCACTTCAGGCAATGAGCATCGCTACCACGAAGAAAAGCGGTTCATGTTTCTCACCTGCCCTCTCTCCTTCAACCACAGCGCCTACTGACTATGTGCGTGCAGGCATCCCGGATGCGTTTTGTAGGCTGACCATGTACGACACGACATTCAAGAAGATCGGGCAGGTCTCCCGCACGCTCACGGCGCACAACGGGCGCAGCTTGGAGCCGCAGTGGCAGGACCAGGAGTGTTGCTTGTACCTTCACCAAGCTTGCCCATGATCCCAATCGGTTTAACTCATCGTACACTCACCCACCCAATAGCGAACTGCCCGACTCGTGTGCCGGGGTGACGCTGAGCCTCTGGCACCACAACATCATCTTCTCGGACGTATTCCTGGTGCGTAAGAAGGCGCACATCTGCACGCGCAGCATGCGCGAGTTGAAGAATCGCTAATCACTATGCAGGGTCGCATTTGTCTGGAGCGCCACACTCTTCCGCGCAACAAGTCGGTGGAGCATTGGTTCCCGCTTCACCCCACGGAGAACATTCGCGGTGTGGATGTGACAGGGGCCATCCAACTGCGAGTTGATTTCAAGGTACGCATGTCCAGCGCTCTGCCTGCACGTCCCTCACGCACTCGCGCACGCGTGTGGTACAAAACAGACCAACCAAAAAGAAGGTTTGGAGATGGACACGGTGGCCGAGAGTGATCTCAGCAGGCGGTTGAAGACACAACAGCTGGAGGAGCGGACCACGCATCGAATCAAGCGCGAGAAGCTCTACTCCACGGGGCAGCTCCACATTCGTTATCTCTACCATCCGCCGCAGGGCCACGGGAAGGCTACCTGCAGATCGAAGGTTCGTGAACCGTCGCGTGCGTGTCGTGCGTGCCGTGCATTGACTCACGTGAAAACAGTGGTCGAGTGCGGCCTGCCGGCCAAGGCGTCGTGCTACGTGCAGCTGCACCTGCAGAGAGGCAGCGACGACATGATCACTCCGCTCCAGTCCACGGCCAAGGAAGGCGAACCCAAGAAGACAGGCGAGAGGAGAGACATTCCCGAAATCGCACTCGGCGTCACCGTACACCACCTGCCACCACCCGCAGGCCTGCGCGTGCGTGCGTGCGTATATGATATCTGATGGCTGACTGGCTGCGCAGGAGGGGCGCACGGTGGTGAGTAAAAGCAAGACCGCGCCTCGCTTCGACAAGAAGTTCCACTTCTTCCTCTACCCTTCCGCCTCGTCGTCTCCATCGGACGTGCCCGACTGCGTCAAGCTGTCCCTGTGGTCCCACGTCATCTTCGGTACGCAACCATTGCTGCCCACACTGACTTGTTGACCAGCCTAAGGTCGACTTGCGATCACTTCTGATCGCTCGCTGTGATTGGCCTCCAGGAAGTGACAAGTTGATCGGCGATCACACACTGGTGCTCTCGGATTGGGCGCCCGGCGTGTGGCACGACCAATGGGTGACCGTGTGCTCGCCGCTGGCCGAGAAGTCCCTGCCCTCGCGCATGGGACGCAGCATGGCGCGTGAGGGTCTCGTGCCCAAGTACCCCATCGTCCTCCTTCCCGGTACGGACCTTGCCCAACAACTTACCGCGGTGCCTGCGTGTTATTGATCGAGCGTGATTGTATATTGGCGTGTGCGTGCGTGCGTGCGTGCGTGCGTGAGTGTGCCCTGTCAGGTCTGGCGTCGTCGAGTTTGCAGGTGGAAGAGGGCAATCCCGAGTGGGTGGGCGAGTGGATCTGGCTGTCCCTCGCCAAGATCGGCTCCCAGAAGTTCAAAACCCTCTTCTCCTCGCCCACCGTCAGGTACTTGCATCTCAGGCTACTCCCACCAATTCGCACCAACTCACCCTGCAGCTGATGAACTACAACCTACCAACTCACCCAGTAAGCGGATTGATCCAGATGCGTCGGACGAGGGCTCTGCCGACGCCCAGTTTCGAGTATATATGAACACTCGCCCACCCACCCACTCCCTGCTGCGCCCATTTCTTCCGCTGACGCATGGTGGTTCGACACCAACAGAACGAGTGGGTGAGGCACGTGTGTCTGCAGCAGGACGGCTGCAGCGATCCACCGGGAATTCGCGTGCGCCCTGTACCCGGCAAGGACGGTTGCGCGTACCTCAGCCCCGGCGCCCTCACCAACAATCTCTCCTATGTGCGCTCTTCTGCTTCTTCATCACACGTCTCGCATGGCTGGGTGGACTGACGCGAAGAGGAGGACAGGTGATGGGTCCGCTGATCGAGAATCTGCACGAGTTCGGCTACACCGACTCCGATCTCGTTGCTGTGCCTGTACGTGTGTCGTGTGCTGTGTGTGTGTGATCGGCGGCCTGACAAGCCTGGACTATTCACACAGTATGACTGGCGCTTGCCGCCGCACATGCTGGAGGAGCGCGACGGATTCTTCACGCAGCTCCGGACGATCATCGAGAAGACCGCCGAGCGATGCCAGTCGCCAGTTGTCATTGTGGCCCACTCCATGGGCAACCGGGTGCTGCAGTACTTCCTGCACCGGCTTGTCGTGACCGAGGGCGACCTCGGCCGGCAGTGGATCGACCGGCACGTCCACTCCTACGTCGCCGTCGGCGCGCCATTCCTCGGCGCGCCCAAGATCGTGCGCAGCCTGGTACGTACCACCGCACCCCTCTCGCCGCTGCTGCTTCTAAGCCGCGCCATAACCACCTACGTCTGGTGTGTGCAGGCCACGGGCGAGCGGATGGGCATGGAGGCGCTTCTGCGTCAGGAGGAGGGCGTCGCATTCATCAGGTCGCTGGGTACGAACTGGCTCGGTGTCACTTTGGTGGTTGGAATTCTTGGCTCGGTCGAGCTGTGGCGGCTCACTATCGCCCACCGCCCACCTGTGATCGATCACACAGGGAGCACGGGTATGATCATGCCGATGGCCCAGCCGCGCTACTTCGAAGTGCCGCGTGAGTTCGTCCATCTGCGGGGCGAGCGGAGCGAGGCCCACCTGCCGATCACCATCACCCAGACACTGGCCCTTGCCGGCGCCTCGGTACCACTCCGTTCTACCTGCTGCCTGCACTCGTACACTCATCCCGCCCCTCTGAGCGCTTTCAACAGAAACAAGTGGAGAATCTGGAGGCGTACTACCGTCGAAACAGCGTGTGGGGCCGCATGCCGGATGCTCCGCCGGTCAAGCGGCTCTTTGCCATCTACGGTACTTCTTTGCTTGGCCTTTGTGGTGATCTGTACAGATGGTTGGTCGTTTACCCCACAACTCACTGTTCATTCAGGCGTCAACTTGGACACGGAGATGTTCTACTTCTACCGACGAGACCGGAAGGGCGAACTGGTGTTCGACCGGGATGTCAAGGACACGGCCGACTTCCAGGGCTACACCATGCGCGAGGTGCGCGGCTCTTTCCTTGTTGTCTGTGAGCCTTGTGTGGGTGTGGGTGTGCGTCTGATTTGGTGCGCGCGTGTGCGCGCGTGCGTGAATTGTGTTGCGTGCGTGCAGGGGATCGGGTACGAAACGAAGGACACGGTGCAGGGCACTTTGAGGAGCTCGACCGGATTGCACGGCCACCGTTCTGGCGACGGTACGGTGCCGTACGTATCGCTCAACTACTGCACGGAATGGCGCCAGGACCTCGAATTGCGGATCGAAGAGCTCGAAGGCGTAGAACATCGAGAGATTCTCAGTACGGGATCTAACAGCACGCACACGCACAACCACAATGCCTCCACACGACACGACACGACACGCTACGCTCACGATCATTACTGATTGTGGCTGTGCCACAGACAACCGACTCTTCTTTCGTCTGTTGATCGAGCACGTGTCGGAGCCCCTCACACTCAGGCAGCGCCGTGAACGGGAGACAGTGGTGCTTGGGTGCATAGACGACGAGCGCGACGACACCGACGTCGACGCCTGATGGGCCCACTGTCAAAAAAAGTCAGACATTGCTCATCAAGACCCACCACAGGCAGGATACGGGCACGGCATAGTTCCTGTTTTGGTGTGGTAGTGGTGGTGTGTGGGGGCGAAGGAGATGGGTTGTGTGTGGGATCATCTCCTGTGAGTTGTGAGAAGAAGCAAAAAGGAGGAGGAGGTGGAGGAGCAAAAAGGATACGGCACGGTGGATTCCCGGGTGGTCGCCCACCCCAGTACTAACACCGCCTGGCGCAGCTTAACTTCGCTGTTCGGATGGGAAGCGGTGCTTTCTGCGCAGTATGGCCGTATCCAACATTGCTACACGGGCCCGCTCTTCAGGGCCATATCGGCATCCCTACCCACCTTGCATCTCACCTGCACCCATCAGCCTTCACATCCTGCTCCCCTCAAAGGCTTGGCTGACGTTCGTTGGCTGGGTACCTTGATGCCCCCAGCCAGAAAGAAAGAAAGACGGAAAGAATGAAAACGAGAATGCGGGAAAAACGCTTTTTACAAAGTGTAAGTCAAGACCAGCGAAGACACTTGCCAGCGCTTGCCGGCGAACATGAAAATAGGTCTGACCGCCTGTGCCTGTTCTCGCGTGGCCACGACACCAACACGGAGAGAACCAAATCGAAAGAGGCAATGGAGTTGTGCTGTTTGTGCGCAGGAGCGCAACGTTTGTTTTTGTAACTACAGTGTTTGTACAACAACACCAGCGAAGATGCTCAGAAGCACTTGCGGTGAACAATGCTAGGTTTCTTTCCCGCCCGATGTTTCTCCTTTCAAAAGCACTTGCGGTGGACAATGGAGGGACCAGACTCGTCGTACTCCTCCTTGGAGATCCACATCTGCTGGAAGGTGGAGAGCGAGGCCAGGATGGAGCCACCGATCCAGACCGAGTACTTGCGCTCGGGCGGGGCGATGATCTTGATCTTCATGGTCGACGGCGCGAGGGCGGTGAGCTCCTTCTGCATGCGGTCGGCAATGCCGGGGAACATGGTGGTACCGCCCGACAGGACGACGTTACCGTAGAGGTCCTTCCTGATGTCGACGTCGCACTTCATGATCGAGTTGTAAGTGGTCTCGTGGATACCGGCCGACTCCATGCCGAGGAACGAGGGCTGGAACAGGGCCTCGGGGGCGCGGAAGCGCTCGTTACCGATGGTGATGACCTGACCGTCGGGCAGCTCGTACGACTTCTCGAGGGCCGACGACGAGGCGGCGGTGTGCATCTCCTGCTCGAAGTCGAGGGCGACGTAGCACAGCTTCTCCTTGATGTCGCGCACGATCTCGCGCTCGGCGGTGGTGGTGAACGAGTAGCCGCGCTCAGTGAGGATCTTCATGAGGTAGTCGGTGAGATCGCGACCGGCGAGATCGAGACGCAGGATGGCGTGGGGCAGGGCATAACCCTCGTAGATGGGCACGGTGTGGGTCACGCCGTCGCCCGAGTCCAGCACGATGCCGGTGGTACGGCCCGAGGCGTAGAGCGAGAGCACGGCCTGGATGGCGACGTACATGGCGGGGGTGTTAAAGGTCTCGAACCTGATGGGAGAGAGAGAGGAGGTGAGTCTATCTTTCATGCGAAACCACATCACTTGCGTGGCGGTGATGGAAAAGAGGAGGAGTCTCGTACATGATCTGGGTCATCTTCTCGCGGTTGGCCTTGGGGTTGAGGGGGGCCTCGGTGAGCAGCACGGGGTGCTCCTCGGGGGCCACGCGGAGCTCGTTGTAGAAGGTGTGGTGCCAGATCTTCTCCATGTCGTCCCAGTTGGTCACGATGCCGTGCTCGATGGGGTACTTGAGGGTGAGGATACCACGCTTGGACTGGGCCTCGTCACCGACGTACGAGTCCTTCTGGCCCATGCCGACCATGACGCCGGTGTGGCGGGGACGACCGACGATCGAGGGGAACACAGCGCGCGGGGCGTCATCACCGGCAAAGCCAGCCTTGCACATGCCCGAACCGTTGTCGATAACCAGAGCCTGAACCTCGTCTCCCATGTTGATGATGTAGTTGGTGGTAGTGTTGTAGAGTTGTAGTAAACTAAAGGATAGCTTGCTGGAGGCGCGCCTTTTATGTGGGGCGTGGTGCCAGAGAGGTTGCTCTGTCGCTTGGTTATTGCGTGCACGCTTCTCCTGCGTTCTCCGGCTGACCAATGGCTGCGTTGTCTTTTTACTGGCGTGCGCTACTGCGCTGCCCCCAGTTAAGTCCGCCACTGCGAGCCAATGGCCTACCGTTCCTTATTGCCCTGGCTTCTACCGCGGGGCTTGCGTTGTTCCGCGTTGTCGTTGTTTTAGCTGGCCGGAAAGAAGAAGCAAGATGGGAAGATATGAAAGAGTGAAGAGGAAAGGAGGAGTGAAGAAGCAAAAGGATACGGCACGGTGGATTCCCGGGTGGTCGCCCACCCCAGTACTAACACCGCCTGGCGCAGCTTAACTTCGCTGTTCGGATGGGAAGCGGTGCTTTCTGCGCAGTATGGCCGTATCCGACACTTTTTGGCAGCTTCTTGCGCTCTGCCCTGTTCTTGGCTCTGAGAAGAAACGTCAACAAAGCGAAAAGTTTTCGGTGAGCTCACGCTTGTCAGTCGCCCGTTCCCAAGGTCAGCAGGGCAATGGAGGAGACAAGGACGCACCAGGAGCACAAGTTTGAGGTGGTGCGGTGGCAAGCTGTGACTACCTGGGCTTGGGGTAGAGCACCCCAAGAGTCTGCTGTGTTTTTCACTACTGATGGCCACCTACTCATTCGCTTGCCCCCCCCCTCAAGATGGTGGCTGTATGGCCAGCTGTGCCATATGTCGCAACCATATGTTTGGCCAGTGTACCACCTCATCATGCCCTTGGAAGGCGGCGCAGATCCCAATCACTGAAGCTTCTTCTTCATCTTTTCGCTGGTTCTTGTTGTGAGAGCTGCAGGCATCGAGTGTGAGGCGCTCGACGGCGATCCCGAGTACGAGCACGAGGGGTGCCCCATGGCCTGGGGTCAGTGCAACCACGTGTTCCACCGGCACTGCATCGACCGCTGGCTCCTCTCCCGCTCCGTGTGCCCTCTCGGTTCGTGCATTACCTTTCCAGCATGCCAACGAAAGCCGCAGCCAAGCTAACGGAAGCGGGTGAATGTATGCCATTGTGTGGAGCGCAGACAATAGGACGTGGGCGTGGCAGCTGCCTGCACAGCCAAACGGGTGAGCACGGACTACACGCACTGACCCGGCCCCCGGGTGGTCGTCACGGTCGTCACGAGGGCCTGGTCTGCGCCGCAGCGGGAGGGTGAGCCGTCGGCGGGAAGAGCGCGGTGGCCACCTTCTCCACGAGCTGGCCGGGCCGCGCATAGAGCTCCAGCAGGAAGACGAATCGCTTGTCGCGCCCGACCGCCTGCGCCAGCCATCGCCGCACCTCTTCGCCCGGCCACCCCGCGTGGTGGCCCCTTCTGTCGCTGCTCTCCTCATGCGCACCCACATCACCGGCTTTGCCCTCCGCGTCTTCGTCTTCTTCCTTCCCCGCTTGCGTGGATTCTTGTCGCTCATGGGCGTTGCCACGAGTAGCGGCCTGCGCGAGTCGTTGGCGGAGCTCGGCGTGTTCGTCGGGCGTGACGAGGGACTGCAGGGCGAGGTAGCGCACCAGCGACATCAGGGCAATCTCCTCCTTCTCGTCGTCGCTCCACGACGTCGGTGAGTCTGCCTCGTCATCGACCACGCTGTCTTCTTCCTGCTGCTGCTGCTCCTTTCCTTTATCGTCGTCGCTTGCGTCGAGCCGCGGCCGCTTGGTTTGGTGGTGGCCGGCCCCCGGACGTCGGGCCGTGCGCTTGCGCTGGGCCACGCGAGTGGAGGCCTCGATGTCGAGAGGCACCACAAGGACCACGTTGTCGCAGGTGGCGTTCCGGTTGAGCCCCTCGATGTCGATCGAGAGCGCCACCGTGGGCAGCAGGCCGTCGAAGCTGGCTGGCAGCGATGTGGTGGGGAAGCACGGCAGGCCCGACATGCCGCCGTCGCCGTCGCCGACCTCCGCAACTTGTGTAGTCACGGTCGTGGTCGTGGACGACGCACCGCTGGGTCCGGCTTTCGGCGCTTTTTTGATCTCTCGATCGGGTCCGAGGGTCGCCTTGCCAGGCTTGAAGTCAAGCAACACGAGGCGTCCACGAGCTTGCGCTTGCGGGAGATCGCCGAACCACCGCCTTCGCCCTCGTCGAACTGTGGACCATGTGGTGCAAATGAGTCACACCAGGGAGGCAATCAGAGGCCCACGACGTCTTCCTATGTGATGAGGGTGCGTGTGGTGCTTACCTGGGCTGTGTGGTCGGCGGTGTCGTGTTGCCGAGGATAGAAGGAGCGAAGTCGGACGATGCGGCCCTGGACGAGCAGCGACGCTCGCTCGAGCTGGTGCAGCGAAGCCGACACCGTCGCCACGTCGCTGCAACCCCCCCCCAGACACAACGATCACATGCGCGTTAGTTGCGGCCGAGAGAGGGGACGGCTTTGGGGGAAGCAAAGGTACCGTAGCGTGTGCACGGTGACGTGGGGATGAGTTCGCTGGAAGAACGGCAGCGGCCATGGCCGTAGGAACACCGTGGAGACGGGCAACAGCGAGACTGTGCGGTGCGGGTAGCCGTCATGAGTCGACCACATCACGTGGGGTAGGGGAATCACATGCAGACAACGGTTAACGGTTTGTTGCGTACATTGTTTGTTGATGGCGCGAGTCGTGTCCAGTAGCTTAGCGTAGAAGCTGTCGGCAATGGCGTTCCATCGGAGCGTCTTAGCCACCTGTTCCTGCACCGAGCGGTGCCAGATTGACAGCGGGTATCTGTTGACAAACAAACACAGAGCAGTGTGCGTGATCGCCATCAGCGTCGTTCGCGATCGGCCTAGTACCCGGGAGCGCTTGGCGAGGTACCTGGCTTGGACATCGCGCGCCTGAGCCTCAACGGCATCGTCCCCTGCGGCCACTGGCGATTGGTCGAAGATGTAAATCTGCGTGAAGTTGGTAGATCGAGAGAGGGTGATCGAGCGCGCACTGACCGGCGGTGGCCGACCCTGTCGCTCGCTGTCGTCGGCAGCCTCGGCGTCGTTGTCGTTGGTGAGCACCAGCAGCTTGAGATCCGTGAGCAGGACGACGTGACCCTCCTGCAGGTCCTCGAACCGAGCAAAGTCCTGGGAGTTCGTGTAGAGCTTCACCAGGAGGCCCCGGGTGCGCATGTTCGAGTCCGAGGTCTGTTGCCCGCCCGCGTCCAACGATGACACGTCCTGCAGCAGCAGCCACCTGTAGTGCCTGAAGCCGCCAGAGCTGTGGCGATTGGGGAGAGAATGAAAGGAATGTCAATAAAAATGAATAAGAATTGTAAACGCAGTTGAGGGAGGGTAGAGGCACCAGCCGCGAGGGCTGACTCCGCCGCTGCCCCACTCCAAGACCTTGCGCGATCGCTCCTGTCGTCCGGCAAAGATCACTCGGCCGAGATAGTCAAAGGCGCCGCCATCTTCCACTCCCTTGTCCAGCTCCGAGCTCCTGACAAGGTCGTAGCTGATGCGCGGGATGCGCGGCCACTGCGAGGCTGGAACACCAGTGGAGTGGGGTTCAGCGCAAGCCAGAGACGCCAACGTATCAAAGCGATGCATTGGTGGTCACGTTACCGCTGAGCTTGAATAGAAAGGCAGTCCCAGCGTTGAGTGCGAGCTCCCAGGGAGGACCGTGGGGGTGCGGGTAGGCTGGCTTGATCTTGTACTTGCCAATCAGCACCAGGTCGCCTGAACAGAGACATCGACCAGTGGATGAGTCCATCGTTCTATCTAGATTGCCAAGGTACGAACGCCTTTGGGGAGAGGGGCAGCCGCACCTATTTCCAAGTGCGGATAGTAGTAGGCGCACATGTTGGTCCACAGCACTACTGTAGCGCTGCCCGTACGATCCCCTGAGCGCGCCACAGCGCACAGTCCCCACAGATGATGTCAGCTAAATCGCTGCAGCAGTGAGGCGGGCAGTTTTCGCGTACGAACGACGAGCTGGCAGCGCATGGGGTACTTGGCGTTGCTGTCCGAAACCTTGGCGTAGTGAATCACCTTCGACTTCTGTACAGAATGCACGGAAGTACAGAATGTCAATACAAAGCGCAATGTGCTTACGTTCTCCTGGCGCTGAGCTGAAGTTGGAGACCGATACCTGTACAACTCGGGCGATGAAAGGGCCAGCTCCGGATCTCTGGCCGCCGCCCATGCTCTCGTGCTCGCTGAACACCTCGGCGATGGTGTACAGGTTGCCCCGCCCGTGTTCGTCTTCCTCCGCCTCGGCCTCTGTCTCCTGGCTGCCCACGCGTAGGAACTCGTCCATGGGCAAGTCCACCAGGAGCTCCAGCTCTTCGTCCGATATGGACAGCCGCCCGTGCCATCGCTGCTGATCTCGTCGACGAGCACCTTCTTCTTCTTCTCCTTCTCCTTCTTCTCCTTTTCTTTCACCTTCTTCTTCGTCCTCTTTCCCTTGGTTCAGGTCCAGGTCTCGCACTCCCTTTGGCTCGTTCTCCAGTCGACCCCAGTTGCGCCCGTACAGGCAGGTGTCGTTGTTGACGTGCAGGTAGTAGCCTCGCGTGCCGATCAGTGGCGAGGCGCTCCGCTCCCGCGATACGGCTTGCTCGGCAAAGGCGATGGTGTTCGATGGCGTGATGTCGATGGAGGTCAAGGTGCAGGAGCTTGGTGAGAATGATGATTCCTTCACCTCCGATGACCGTTTCATCGAACCAATGGCACCATCGTACAACCTGTGCACACATTCATCTTAGAGATCACACTGGCCGCACACGCACGCAACACACGCAACATGCAACACGTACCTTGACTACTCGGCCCGGCATCAGCCGACCGACGTAGACCAGGTTGTTAAGGGTCGGGTGAAGCAGGCACTTGCGCTTCAGGGTGCCGTCGGTGAGAGTGACGTCAAAGAGGTCAGCATAGTGGCCGGCACCGACTGCCTCACGCTCCTCGTTCTCGTCAGACAACTGAAGCAGCTTCTCTGCTGTCTGGTCAGGGGGTGTCTAGGGTAGCAGAAGCAGAAGGTGAGACTGATTGCCTCGACTACTAATCTTTGAGTGCGCTACATACAACGATCGATGCTGAGCAGGCACAGGGTGAGGTTAATCTCCTCGCTGCCACCACTTGCATCGTCGGAATCCATCGTCATCAAGTCATCTGTCGCTGTGCGGGACAGCTGCGCGATGCCGTGCTCGCTTAATCTGTGCATCACCGCAACGTTCGCACTCTCGTCGGGCAGCTCCTCGCCCGACCCCTCTGCGGCAGGGTCCTGCGTAGACAGCATGTGTGTCTCCATCACTTGTATTACAATTTGATTTATTTTTATTCTGTTATTCTGTCAATCAATAACCGCACAGCTTCTGTCTTCTTTTTGCCTTTTTACCGCGTGTTGCGTGAAGCAAATCCGCCAAATCGGTCATCTTTGGACATCTTGGCTCTGCGCCCTCTGCCTGAAGCTTGTACGAACCCTCCCTGAAGAACCCGTGACTTCTCCTCCGTGAGGCAACCCTGCCCACGGCGGATCCGCTTCGAATCAGACGCGATTCCACCGCGCATTTTTCTCCTTGCTGTCGTGATTGAGTCGAATTTCTTGTTTCGATCCATCTTGACACATACCGCTAGGAGATGAATACGGTTGTGCTCGCTCTGTTGGTGGCCGTCGTGGCAGCGCTCTTCTACTACCCCACCTTTGTTCGCATCCCATCAGCCGAAGAGGTGAGTGGCAACACGGCCCAGCGTGCCGCCACACCCACACAAGCCATGAGGTACTACTCCCTGCTGCAAGTGATGCACTAATCTTACAAGGTGTCTGGATTAATACTGACGGTCGGTCCCAGTTCGGCCCCCTCTGCCCAGGCCCAGCAAACCAACGCTGGGTCGGCTGCCGCTCCCGCTGGCCAAGTCCCGTCTGCGCCCACCGCCTCTGCAGTCGCCTCCCCTTCCCAGACCCCGCAGGCGAGTACGGCTCAGGTCGTTGAACTCCCTCCTGCCACTGGGAAGAAGGTCATCATTGTTGGTGGCGGATTGGCTGGCATGAGCGCCGCCATCGGTATGTGTTGTATTACACGACACACACGCACGACGCACGACACACAACACGACTGACATTCGGACGTTTGGCAGAGGCTGTTCGTGCTGGCGCCCACGTGGACATGCTTGAGAAGACGATCCGCTGGGGTGGCAACTCGGAGAAGGCTTCGTCGGGTATGAACGCCGCTCGGACTGCCGCTCAGATCAAGCTCAACCTGAAGGACAGCGTTGAGGAGTTTTACAAGTACGCGAGCACAACTGGCTGACAGTTCACTTTCGCCTTCAGTACATCAACGTCAGGCCTGATGTTCTATGCGCAAACAGGGACACCATCGCCTCTGGCCACGGTCTCTCCAACGAGGAGTTGGTTGACGTCATGACCAAGGAGTCCGCTTCCGCCTACGACTTCCTCTCCAGCTTCGACATTGACCTCAACACCGTGACCAAGCTTGGAGGTAACTACGTCAGCAGCCTTTCCCTTTCGTGCCACACAGCCCTTTACTTACGCTGATGCCTCAATCACAGGTCACTCGCGCGCAAGGACGCACCGTCCCTCTGAGAGGGTGACCGGCAACGTTGGTTGGGAAATCACTTCGGTACGCACACCTGTCGGCATTGCTCTATATCCGTGTATTATAGTCACTGAGGTCCCCCCGGATGAACCACAGACTCTGTCGAAGTACCTGGCCACTCTTCCGCGCGACCGTCTCACCATGAAGCTGGGGGCTCGGCTCACGTCGCTCGTGGTTGAAGATGGACGAGTCGTTGGTGTCAAGTATACGAAGATTGTGCGCGACGGTATGGACACGGCTAGCCGTTTCTTTTCTATTATTGGTACTAAACGCGTCCTCCTTCGTTCTCTGCCTATTCGTTGCTGCCTGCACAGAGAAGGGGCACGAAACAGGGGAGGAACTTGCCGAGTTGCGAGGCGATTCGGTCATCCTCGCCACTGGCGGTTATTCGCGTGCTGATGACTTGCTTCGCAAGTATATCCCCAAGATCGTAGACCTCCCGACCACCAATGGTACGACCAAGAGTTGTTGTGGCACACTTGCTGCATCGCCTTTTAAATAGTTCGGCTCTGTGCTTGCAGGTCCTTTCGCCGAAGGAGACGGCATTAAGGTGGCTGAGCAGATCAATGCCTCTCTCATCCACATGGACCAAGTGCAAGTGCGTGTCGCCCACAGTCACCTTATTCAACTGAAGGCTAGCAACTAAAACGTAGCCACATGTACACAGCTTCACCCCACCAGCTTCGTCTCGCCGAAGGATCCCCTGGCAAAGACCAAGTTCCTGGCCCCAGAGGCCCTCCGTGGCCTTGGCGGCATTCTTATCAACCAAGATGGTTAGTACCTGCCTTCATTTGACTGAATGTGCGCACTTCAGAGCATCACTGGTTGATGTTGTACGTATTCAATGTAACGCACAGGCAAGCGCTTCGTGAACGAGCTCGACACACGCGACAAGGTCACGCAGGCCATTTTCAAGAACTGCAAGCCCCTGATCGTGGAGCAGGAAGTGAGTACGTTTAGAAACGATGACAACATCACTCAGTGCCCGAGAAGAGCACAAGCCTAACCATTTCATTGTCTTTCTACCGGTCAGATGGTCAAATGAAGACCGTGGTGGGTCCCGTGGTGGCTCACCTGATCATGACCGACGAGGCCGTGAAGCTGTTCCCGAACTTGCAGTTCTATCAGGCCAAGGGATTCCTCCATGGCTACCTGGGCGTTGAAGAAATGGCTGAGGTACATGCGCTTGTGCCTGGCCTTCGCACTGCCCGATATGGAATGGCTCATTCACCTTCACCGTGCGTTTCCACAGGGCCTGGAGCTCCCAGGCAACACCCTGAAGCAGACGTTCGCCGAGTACCACGAGTGCTTTGTTCGCCAGGGCAACTGTGCCGATCCTTTCGGCAAGAAGGACTTCCCGTTCGGCACCCGCAGCAACGACGTGTTCCACGCCATGATGATCACGCCCGCGATCCACTACACCATGGGCGGTCTCGAAATCGACAAGGAGGCGCACGTCCTCCGAGCCGCCGCCACCGAGAACAAGGACGAGGCTGCCGAGGCGGCTACGGCGACCAAGGAGATCATTCCTGGCCTCTTCGCTGCGGGTGAGGTGACGGGCGGCGTCCACGGCGCCAACCGCCTGGGTGGCAACTCACTGCTCGAGTGCGTCGTCTTTGGCCGGAGAGCCGGACGCTTCGCCGCTGCCTTCACTGAAACCGCCACCGCTCCTGAAGTTACCTCCTCCTCTCCTTCCTCTACGCCCGCTTCCGTCGTGTGAGCTACCCTCCGCCTGCCCTCAAGCAAAATCCACAGCCAAGTTTCGGACATCTTCTTCAACACAAAGCACGATCACGTCTTTGTTGCCGCCGCGGGAACACAGCGGCCCGTTCGCGCTGCGTAACTGTTGCTTCATCAGTTGACGCCTGTCGTTGGGTGCACTGCAAACGGCGTTTGATATGTCGCCCAGTCGGTTTCTTCACTCAGCGACAGGCTGAACCGGCGCCGGTTGCGGTGGTGCCGCGGCGTGCCAAGAAGGCAACAAGTTGACACAGCCAATCCGGAAAAACTACACCTTCGCGGAGCTTCCGCGCTGTACTGGTCACAACACAGCAAAACAATCATCGCCACAACTAACAAACACACACCCGGCTGCAAGCAAGCCACGGGCCAAAGCACAAACAGGCCCTGAGCTCTGTACAACACAACATTAGAGTCGATGGCACGCGTGCGGCTTGACCGAGCAACTCTCTTCGCCGCGCTGCTCGCCATCTTTTACGCCAGTTTTGGTACCAAGCACTCCCTCTACATCAATCAACGGAAGATAAAAAAGAAAGTCGGAAAGAAGAAAGGAGGCAATCCAAATGAAACGTGCTCTCACTGCCTCCTCTCTACGCCGACGAGAAGCAGGTGCTACTTCGGGTGTGCAGCTCTATGGCGCTGGCAGCCCCAACACCAACGCCATCCTCTCGGTCTGGACCAACTCCTACCTCTACTACCGCGACGACGTGAGGTGCGTCGTCCTGATCCGTCACCGTCTCACAACCGCTTGTGCAACTTTTCCCTTATTGGCTTGCTGCCCAACCGTGGCCATGGCCGCCGGCATCTTAGCTAAGAATTATGAATTAACCACTTTTTCCTTTTTTCCGTGTTGTTATGCGTTATTGTGTAGCTTCGCGTACGACCCCAGCGGGGTGACATCGGCGCGCACGGCGTACGACCAAGGGGACGTGGTACGTGTCGAGAGTTGAGTTAGCAAGACGGGCGTGTCCGTCATCTGTGCGCTGCGCTTGCTCTCCGGATTTTTCCGGGTTTCTCTCGGTCATATAAGACGCCTGGGTCGCTCACCGGGTGGGGGTTGTCTGCAGGACTTTCTCTGCCTGGACAGGGGCATCACCGAGCAGTCGGGCGACGACAATGACCTCATCCAGTTCCCTCTCGCGGGCCAGGCCCTGGTGATGGCCTACAACCTACCCGCCCTGAGCGCGACTGATCCCCACCTGGTACCGCACTATTTGATTGGTTATTTTATTAGAAATAATGCGATTGGCGATTAACCGAACACACAACAACGATAACGGCAGGTCATCGACAGAGACACGTTGGGGCTGATCTGGTCTGGCGCTATCACCAAGTGGAACGACACGCGAATCAAGGCGCACAACCCGGTGATTGCCAACAAGCTGCCCGATGAGTTTATCACAATCGGATACAACGACAATGACGTCCTCACCATCGTCGAGGTGATCAAGCGCGCTCTGGAGAGCTTCAGCGACGATTTCCGCGTGGCTCTGGCTGCGGCCAACCGCACCTTCGCGCAGATGCCACCGGCCCTCAACCTCCATGCCGAGGATGCCGGAGACACGACCGCCCTCAGGCTCGGTTGGCTCGCGGTACGCACCCGCACCGCACAGCCCTCCGCTCCCAGACACTCAAGTTTGGGTTCTCTGTGCTGACCGTTTATTTCTTTGCGATTGCACAGGCGCACCCCAACAGTATCACCTTCCTCAACTACGCCGACGCCTCCGACAGCCACTTCCCGTGGATGAACATGTACAACAAGGCGGGCACCTTGGTGACGCCCTCGACCGCCTCCGTGCAGTCGGCCATGACGGACTTCCTCGACGAATACTCACAAAACAACTTTACCGTCGACATCTACGACGCCAACGGCACAAACTCGTGGCCGCTCTCCTACATGACCTTCTTCTCGATGAGCCGAAACATCACCGTGTTCGACTGCACCAACATCCAGGAACTGCTCCAGTTCATTGCCTGGGTCCACACCAACGACGAGTGCGTTGCTCTCCCTCCACAGCACACCACATCCTTGATGTCTTTCGCCGGAAGGCAACCACTCACAACCACTCACCCATCGCTTCATCAGAGTGTCGAAGGCCGCCGAGCGAATCAACGTGGCCCCGCTTGACGTGAGCCTTAGGAAGCGCCTGATCGACATTCTGGCCACGGTCCAGTGCAATGGCGAGGAGGCCTACGCCTCCGAGTTCCTGATCGGCATTGGTACCCCGCTGCCCGTGTTCCCCGCGTGGGCCAACGCGTGGGGCTCGGCCAACCGCAAGGCCAAGTACTACGACGCGTCGTCGCTGCAGGCCAAGGAGGACCTCGTTACATATGTCGAGGACTTTGGTGTGACCAGCAACGGCATGGCCCAGACCTACTACGACCGAATGCCCGACGTCGCGCTCTTCCCTGCCACCGTCTTCGCGCTTGTTCCCGGTAAGCACTACTCCCAGCGCACATGCACACTGTCTCGACTGGGCCTGACCACTGTTCATTTGTGTGGTATTCAGCATTCAACATTCCTCAGTTGAAGGGCATGACGTTGGTGCTCGATTTCGATACCATCTCTGGCATCTATCTCAACAACATCACCAGGTGGTCGGATCAGCGGATCAAGGACATCAATTCACAGGAGGTGGCCGACGCACTTCCCGACCAGAACATCATTGTGGTGATTCACGAGGTCCAGTCTGCCTACACGCAGCTCTTCACCACCATGCTTTCGACCATGGTTCCAGAGTTCAACAAAACGGTTCGTTGGCGTTGTGCACGCCCGCACGCTCTCTCAGGCTCATGCACCACCCATTAACGCACACCTCTTTCGCATTTCGCAGATGGGTGTCAGCCTCTTGCCGACCTTCCCTGTGGAGCTCGCGCCCAACAGAACGGTGTCAACCACGGTGGTCAGCGGAATGGGTCCGCTTCTCGACGCAACGCCGTACTCCTTCGCCTTCTGGCAGCTGCACGATGTACTGCTGGTACGATTCATATCTAAGCAGCTTGCTTCTTCGCTTCTTTTGTGGCTTCCTACCTAACCTGCGACCTGCCATATCTTCAGCTCCGAAACCTCGATGCCGCGTCGATGTACAACAAAGCGGGCAACGTGGTGGCGGCCAACTCCGACACGGTCACCAACGCTCTGTCCGACTACATCAGCACCGCTTCCGTCTTGGATTACACCGGCATCGTTCTGGGTACCTTTGGAAGCCCCTCCATCCGGATTCGCAGTGATATTCACTCCATTTTCCTTCTGTTCTCAGCCCCGGGCAGCAACAGTTGGCCGATTGCCACGTTCGGTTCGATGATCTATCGTTCGCAGACCATGCAAAACTGCATCAAGGCTGCAGCGCTGGCCGACTTCATCATCTGGACGCAGACCAACGAGAATGCCCTCAAGATCGCCGAGAGGTTTGCTCTTCTCTTTTCTTATCACATGGTTGGAACCAAACGAACGGCCTTTTTTTGACTCACGCCCTCTCTGCAGGCAAGGATTTGTGGTGGCTACGAGCGTGGACATTATTTACCGAAAGGCTCTGGACCAGCTCAAGAAATTCACATGTGACGACAAGCCCGTGAGTGCGCTCTACGGGTGCATCTGGGATGGCCAGCTCTGCTCCAGTGCGGGCACCTGCACCAACGGCGTTTGTGTATGCGAATCCGGGCGCGAGGGCCAGTACTGCCAGGAGTTCACTTCCAGCAGCTCCGATTCCCTCTTGGTCATTCTTGGTACGCATTCGCTCGACAATACCGCACACGACACGACACGACACAATCACAGTCTATGGACTAATTCGATTCCTTGGAAGCAGCCACGATCATCCCGGTGGGCGCTGTGGTCTTCTGTCTGCTGTTGCTGTTCATCCTCGTTCTGATCTGCTTCATCAAGCGTAAGGGCAACCAGAGCGACAACTGGGAGATCGACTACGACGAGCTCGAGGTCGGCGAGCACCTCGGCTCGGGCGGCTACGGCGAGGTCCACAAGGCCGTGTGGAAGGGCACGGAGGTAGCCGTCAAGGTCATGGCCTCCGATCGGATCACCAAAGAGATGGAGAAGAGCTTCAAGGACGAGGTATCAACAGCCACACACCTCACCACGGCTGTGTCATCATCTGATTGTGTGCTCACCAACATATCACAGGTGCGGGTGATGACATCGTTGCGGCATCCCAACGTGGTGCTGTTCATGGCGGCATCGACCAAGGCGCCCAAGATGTGCATCGTCATGGAGTACATGGCCCTCGGTTCTCTCTTTGACGTACGTATCTCGCACCTCGTGTTCTCCGAATAACACTTACAGCCGGCTAATCGATCGATGATGCGACATACAGTTGCTGCACAACGAGCTGATTCCTGACATCCCGTTCCTGCTGAAGGCCAAGATGGCCTATCAGGCCTCCAAGGGCATGCACTTCCTCCACTCCTCCGGTACGGTGCCTTGCGTCTTCGTTCTTTTCGTTTTCGTTTTCATTGCCCCCCCTCCAAATTCTCAACTGATTACAATATTGTTTGCAGGAATTGTGCACAGGGATTTGAAGTCGCTCAACCTGCTGCTCGACGCCAAGTGGAACGTCAAGGTGAGCGACTTTGGCCTCACCAAGTTCAAGGAGGACATCAACAAGGGCGGCGTCCGCGACATTGCCGGCAGCGTGCACTGGACAGCGCCGGAGGTGCTCAACGAGTCGGGCGACGTGGACTTCATCCTGGCCGACGTCTACTCCTTTGGCATCATCCTCTGGGAGCTCCTCACTCGCGATCAGCCCTACTTCGGCCTCAGGTACATGACGACGACAATCATATTATTATGCAATTTAAATTGAGTTATCGAGACATCAAGTGTTAACTTTTTTTCTCTCAGCCCGGCTGCTGTGGCGGTGGCCGTTATCCGTGATGGCATTCGACCCAAGATGCCCGAGAACGCCACGGGGGCGTGGCCGGCCGAGTACGAGGAGCTGATCACGAGCTGCTGGCACCACGATCCGACCATCCGCCCGACGTTCCTCGAGATCATGACCCGCCTGTCGGCCATGCACGGCGACTCGACCTCGGCCGGTGGCTTCACCTCCAAGACCTCGTCTTCCTCGTCGGGCCACTCGGGCGGCGGCAAGCCCAACATCTACAGCTCGTGGACCATGCCCTCCACCAACTCCTCCTCGAACGGGTCGTCATCGTCCAACTCGTCCAAGAACTATTCGGGCGCTGCGGCTGCGGCTGCCGGGGCTGTGCGCGCGCCGGAGGGCGAGGTGGCGATCGTGTTCACCGACATCACGCGCGCCGCCTCGCTCTGGGAGTTCAACGCCGCCGCCATGCGCGACGCCACGCTCCTCCACAACGAGACCCTCCGAAACGCGCTCAAGAAGCACCACGGCTACGAGGTGGTGTTCATCCGCGACCGCAACAGCGGCGAGGGCTCCTTCTGCATGGCCTTCCAGCAGGTCGCCGACGCGCTCGCCTGGTGCTCGGACGTGCAGCAAGAGCTGCTCAAGGTGGAGTGGCCGGAGGCGCTGCTGGAGCACCCGGGGGCGGCGGAGGAATGGGGCGACACTGACGACCGGGTGCTGTACAAGGGCCTGCGGGTGCGCATGGGCGTGCACGTCGGCACGCCGCGCACCGTGCGCGACCCGATGACACGGCGTGTGGAGTACATCGGCCCCGTGGTCAACATCGCGGCGCGCATCACTGCCATGACCCACGGCGGCCAGGTGGTCGTGAGCCACTCGACGCACGATAAGATCAAGGACACGGACCTCATTACCAAGGAGCACAACCCAGTCGTGTGCCTGGGCAAGTTCGAGATGCCCGACGCGCCCGCCGGGGCCAAGCTCTACGAGCTCAAGGTGGCCGGGCTCGAAGGCCGCTTCTTCGGCGGCGTAACCAACGATGGCGAGGTGGTCTCGTCGTCCAACAACCCCTCGTCCGGGTCCGACCACCACGCTGCTGCGGGCGGCGACGGCGAGCTCAAGGAGATGAGCGGCGTGTCGACGGCCAGCAGCGATGGCGGCGGCGAAGTGCAGACGGCGGTGGGCGAGGGCATGATGTTCAAGGAGGACACCTTTCTCACGTCGGCCAACCTGTGCCGCTGGATCATCGACTACCATGAGATCCAGGTGGGCAAGCAGGTGGGCCTGGGCTCGTATGGCGTGGTCTACCACGGCAAGTGGAAGGGCGTCGAGGTGGCGGTGAAGCGGTTCATCAAGCAGAAGCTGGACGAGCGGCGCATGCTCGAGTTCCGCGCGGAGATGGCCTTCCTGTCGGAGCTCCACCACCCCAACATCGTCCTCTTCATCGGTATACGCCCACCACCTCGTTGACTCATCTTACGAACAGCGCGCAAGGCTAATCATCCATTTGAAATTGGCGCAACCAAACAGGGGCGTGCGTGAAGAAGCCCAACCTGTGCATCGTGACAGAGTTCATGAAGCAGGGCTCGCTCAAGGACATCCTGGCCAACAACGCCATCAAGCTCACGTGGAAGCAGAAGCTGCGACTGTTGCGGTCGGCGGCGCTGGGCATCAACTACCTGCACTCGCTCCACCCGGTCATCGTGCACCGCGACCTCAAGCCCTCCAATCTGCTCGTACGCTCTTCGAACCACCCACTTGACATTGTCTGTCCGTCACATCTAACCCCCCATGCTGATGGATGTGTGTACAGGTGGACGAGAACTGGAGCGTGAAGGTGGCCGACTTTGGGTTCGCGCGCATCAAGGAGGAGAACGCCACGATGACCCGCTGCGGCACGCCCTGCTGGACGGCGCCCGAGATCATCCGCGGGGAGAAGTACGACGAGCGCGCCGACGTGTTCTCCTTCGGCGTGGTCATGTGGCAGGTGGTGACGAGGAAGGAGCCCTATGCCGGGCGCAACTTCATGGGCGTGTCGCTGGACGTGCTCGAGGGCAAGCGACCGCAGATCCCCAACGACTGCCCACTGGATTTCAAGAAGGTGATGAAGAAGTGCTGGCACGCCAATGCCAACAAGCGCCCCACCATGGAGGATGTGGTGACCTTCCTCGACACCCAGGTGGGCGACGACGACGGCTCGGCAGCGGCCTTCACCACCAACGCCCTCGTGTAGTTGAGCGTAGTCCACCTGTAAATTATGTACTATATTAATTCCATTACAATGTAACGGTGCTCACGCATTGGAATAGGATATGCAGCTTTCAGAACCCTTTATTTGCTTCTCCTGTGACTTCGTAGTCCATTGCCCCTTCAACTGCAACATCGCCACTCATGTTGAGCACTGTGCTGGAGGGATTTGTGTTGGTGTAGATGCTATTGGTGCCCATGATACACCGTTGCCATCCTCCTTGGTGGAGTGGTGCTCCTTCGCTCTCTTTTGCTCGGCAGGCTCTTCCTTGATCGACTCTGGTGGATAGTATGAGGGACAGTTTTGAAGGCGAGTGAGGAGAGTGAGGGGTACCCCGCCACTGGGAGACGATGCTGGCAGTCAGCGACGCAGACTGCTCGGCTTTGATTTCTCGCTTGCAAATGTTGGCATAGTGCATCTTGTTTTCACCCCGCTTGCCCAGCCGACGACAGCCCACGTTCGGGAAAGCTCGCTGTTCGTTGTGGAGAGGAGCGTAGTAACACCAGCACGCCATCGTTGAGTTCAAGTCATTAATGGATGGGCGAATGTGTCGAGGGAAGTCTGACCTTGAAGAGCCTGCCAAGTGCTGCATTGTTGGTAGGCAGATAGCCCGCCCGCGAGCAGAAGTCGAGGTAGTCCTCGAACACCTGGGACCGCCCCACGGCCTTCCCCTCCGTCTCTTCGTACGTCTGGTGCAACCTGCAAGGAGCACCCGCAACAATGTTAACATTGGTCTACAGGGCAGTCCTCCCCCTTGCTGAGTGCAAGTGCCTGGAGCTGGAGGATAACACGTACCACTCCACAATGAATGGCCGGGAGAGCTCTCGCGCTAACTTCTGGGTCGACTTATCCAGAGAGTAGGTGCTGAGGTTGCGTGGGGTCACGGTGCAAGCACCAACATTTTCGACCTCCTCTTCTTCCCCCTCCTGCAACCTGGGCGTAGTAGTCTGTTTCTCTTCTTCGCCACCAAGCTCGGGGGATCGGTCGTGAGCTGGCTCTTCATCCATCCTCCTTTGCGCCTTTTCCCTTGCGACCTCTATCTTCTTGGTCCTTTTCACTTTGAACTTCTTGCCTTTTTGGCCTCGTTTACCTTTTTGCCACGAGGAGTTAAAAGTCTGCCCCATCGCGCTGAAGAACCGAACCGGCGAACAAGGTCGCACACCAGCACAACGCCGAGATGTAGGTCTAGGGATATTAGAGTTTGGTTAAGGCGGGGTGGTGGGCAGGCGGGCGAAAAGTGCGATTTTGGCATCATGCTCAACGTCTGCACGTCCAGGTGCATTTGTACGCGTCGTGACCCAACACCCACGCCGGCCGTTCGCGGCCCGCTGTCCACCGCGTTGATCGTTGGATTGCGGGCGCCGGCGTTATGTCTGTGGTCTGGCCTGCAAGCCAATTTTCCACCAGTCGCTTTTTTTCGCTCCTTCGGGGCAGTTGTTTTAAAATGGCACATTGCCCAAAGAGCCTATCGGGGGGATGTCCTCGTGTCGTGACCGCTGTGCTCGGTTATTAGCTCAGTCAGTTGCCACCCTCTCCGGATGTTCCCAGGAGCCTTCAGAAGTCTATATCCCCGAATCCCCACCTCTCCTCTCCTTATTCTTGTATCCAGAGCACCCAACGCACCCTCAACTTCCAGCCCGCAGACCCAGCCTCATAACTTGCTCGAACAACAGCAGCGTGTACACCACAACCTCCACGACAGCGGCAAACTGCACCATGACTCACCGAAAGGCGGCCCTCACGCTGATTGCCCTATGGCTCCACTTGCTGTGCCTGCACTCAGGTTCCTGGTCGCTCGCTGATCGCTCGATGACTTGCTCCTCACCCCAACAGTTCTGACACCTCACGAAACCCTCAAAAGCAGGAGCCGCCACAGGGACTCTCATTGAGGGAGATGGCAGCTCAAACGCCAAGTCGGTATTCGACGTATGGGCCAATGCCTACCGCTACTCTCGAGACGACATCAGGTATGAGCTGCATGCTCTCGGCGAGGTTGGTGAAGGGGGCTCACACTTTGTATGTACAGTTTCACCTTCCCCGGCTCAGGAGTGCTCGCTTCCCTGCAGGCCTACGCCAACGGCGACCTGGTGCGTTCTCTCTTGCTCCATTTTTCGGTCCATTTTGTTCCTTTTTTTATTAGTTCAAAAATTCAAAAAGGTCCGACAATCGAAAACTGAAAAACTAAAAACAATTGAAAAACAGGACTTTCTTGCTCTCGATCGTGGCGTTTCTAGTGCCATCACCTCCGACTATGCCTACCTCACCCAGTTCCCGCTGGCCGCCCATGCCATGGTCATGGGATACAACATTCCCGAGCTCAACACCACAAACTCCCTGGTTTGCCCCCCCCCGGGTTTGATTCTTGAATCAAACGTTCCACATGTTGTCCTTCTTATCCTTTCTTTGCGTACGATCCTGCAGATCTTCGACAGGGAGACGCTGGGACTGGTGTGGGCGGGGAATATCACAACGTGGATCCACCAGCGTATCAAGGACCTCAACCCTGATGTCGCCGCCCAGCTGCCAAGCGCGGACATCGTGCTGGGCTACAACGATGACTTCGTCCTGTCCGTGACCGAAGTGCTCAAGCTGGCACTGGAGAGCTACAGCGCGGACTTCAAGACCGTGTTCGCCGCAGCCAACCGGACCTTTGCCAACATGGCGTACGGCGGCCGCGGCGAGGAAGTGGGCATCTCCAACGCGCTCAGGCTCTCCTGGGTTCAGGTACCATCGGTGTGCTTACCGGATGACTGGGCATTCCACGCATATCTCACACTTGGCCGTGCTTTGATGATGCAGGGGAAGCCGTACGGCATGACATTCCTTACGTGGGCAGACTCGGTGGGCTCCGTCTCGTACGCGCGGATGATCAACAAGGCCGGCTCGTTGGTGGAGCCCTCGGTCACGTCCGTGCAGGCGGCCATAACGTCCTTCGAGGACGACTATGAAAACGGCGATTTCGAGATTGACATCGTCGACGCCAACGGAACGGATGCGTGGCCGCTGGCCTGGATGACCCACTTCGCCATCGCACGAAATGCCAGCTCACTTGACTGCACCACCGTCAAAGAGTTCCTCACCTTCATTGCTTGGGTCCACACCAACGACGCGTACGTCACACCGCACGCCGCACTTCTTAGTTTTTCAACGTTTCCTCACCTTGGCTTGCACTTGCTTGCGCGCAACCCCACAGGGCTTCGGAGGGCGCCACAGAAATCAACGTTGCCCCTCTGCCGGTGAGTTTCCGCAAAAAGCTCATAGGCCTGTTGGGCGACGTGCAGTGCAACGACAAGCAGGCCTACTCGACGTCGTTCCTGATCGGTACCGGCACGCAGATCGGTCTGTTCACCTCCTGGTCGGTGGCCTGGTCGTCCGGTTCTACGGAGATGAAGTACTACGAGTCCCTGCCCGAGGTGTCCAACCAGCAGCTGGAGACCTACGACGCAGACTACAGCGTCACCAGCACCGGCATCGACGAACAATGGCTCTCGCGCATTCCTGATCTTGCAGTACTGCCTGCCGCGGGTTACGCTGTAGTGCCCGGTACACGCACGCACGCACGCACGCACGCACGCACGCACGCACGCACGCGCAGCAGCCTCGACGAAAGACTGACTGAACGTTAATCCGTGTACAGCCTACAACGTGCCTGAGTTGAAGGGGCTGACGTTGGTGCTCAACTTCGACACCATCGCCGCCATCTATCTCAACAAGCTGACAATGTGGAACGATACCAGAATCAAGGCCATCAACTCGCCCGAGGTGGCCGCTGCACTCCCGGCCCAACCCATCACAGTGATAACGTCAGCCGACAGTTCCGCGCCCGAGCAGCTGTTCACCTACATGCTGAGCGCGGAGGTGCCAGAGTTCAACGCCACGGTAACCACGCAGCTCTTTGCCATCATGCGCGCGCCGTGAGTCGCTGACCCTCCTCCTCGATCGCAGGTGGGCGTGGGCTCCAACGTAACGTTCCCAGTGGAGTCTGCTGGCGGCAATCGCTCAATCTCCACCGCTTCAGCTGATTTGCTCGTCCTGCTGACGTCCACCAAGTACTCGTTCGCCTTCTGGTGGCACCATGAAGTGCTTCTGGTACGAGCTTGCCGCATATATCGCCGAGTTGCGTAAGGCCCTCGGCGAAGTCTCCAATTTTTACCTAATGGCGTATTTTATGTTATTGTTTTGGCTCAATAGACCCGCGCGCTGCGCTCGGCGTCGATGAACAACACGGCGGGTGTCGTGGTGAGCCCCAACATAACCACTGTGGCGAGCGCAGTGAACGACTTCATCAACGCCACCGGCGCGGCGACATTGACCTTCAGCTCTTTCGTTCTTCGTATGTCGCACACGCCACACGCCACACGCAACCTTCCTTTGCTGCTGCGTCTCACATTTGTCTTCGTCGGCATGCAGAGCCGGGCAAGCAGAGTTGGCCCCTGACCACGTTCGGAATCCTCCTCTACCGCCAGAAGAACATGCGCGATTGCGACGATGCCGCTGCACTGGCCGACTACTTCTACTGGACGCAGTACAATGCGGAGGCCGTGCAGATTGCAGACCGCCAAGGCTTCCTGCTGGCGTCGACCATCGACGTACTGAAGGCCGCATTCCTGCTGTCGCTCAGGGACTTCACCTGCAATGGCGTGGCGGCGAGCAGCATACACAACTGCATTAGCGACCTCGGCCAGCTGTGCGCGAACGCCGGCACGTGCACCAATAACGCCTGCGTCTGCGACACCGGGCGCGAGGGCCGGTATTGCGAAGAAGAGACCTCCAACTCAGCTGACACCACTTTGGCGATTGCTCTCGGTATGTTCCTCTACGCACACGCACGCAACACCCGTGCATATAACGTGACTAATCGGTTCGGACTATCGTCACGCAGGTGTGGGCATTCCGCTGGGGTCACTGATCTTTGCCGCACTCCTGGCTCTCATCGTCTATCTGCTCGTGTTGGTCAACCGGAAGGGCAAGAGCCACGACGACTGGGAGATCCGGTACGACGAGCTCGAGGTCGGCGAGCATCTGGGCACGGGCGGCTTTGGCGAGGTCTATCGGGCCACGTGGAAGGGCACCGAGGTGGCCGTCAAGGTCATGGCCTCTGACCGCATCAGCAAGGACATGGAGAAGAGCTTCAAGGACGAGGTACCGCACGCACGCACGCACACGCATACACACGGTCTGTACGAAAGCGAAGGCGATGGCCTCATTATAACGACGTTGGCATCACAGGTGCGGGTGATGACGGCGTTGCGGCATCCCAACGTGGTGTTGTTCATGGCGGCGTCGACCAAGGCGCCAAAGATGTGCATCGTGATGGAGTTCATGTCCCTCGGCTCGCTTTATGAGGTGCGGCATCATGATGACCATCGACTACAATCGCCAGGCTGACTCCTTCGTTGTGCGTTGCTTACGCCCCCACGAATACAGTTGCTGCACAACGAGCTGATCCCGGAGCTGCCGTTCGCGCTCAAGGCCAAGATGGCCTACCAGGCCTCCAAGGGCATGCACTTCCTCCACTCGTCGGGCATCGTGCACCGCGACCTCAAGTCGCTCAACCTGCTGCTCGACGCCAAGTGGAACGTCAAGGTGAGCGACTTTGGCCTCACCAAGTTCAAGGAGGACGTCAAGAACAAGACGTCGCGCGACGTGGCCGGCAGCGTGCATTGGACGGCGCCAGAGGTGCTCAACGAGTCGGGCGACGTGGACTTCATCTTGGCCGACGTCTACAGCTTCGGCATCATCCTCTGGGAGCTGCTCACTCGCACTCAACCCTACGTTGGAATGAGGTACACGACAACCGCACACACCGCACACACCTCACACATCACTTACCGATGCGAAACCCAGTCCGGCCGCGGTGGCGGTGTCGGTGATCCGCGACAACCTGCGGCCCACCATGCCCGAGTCCAACGAGAACCTGTGCCCGGCCGAGTTCGAGGAGCTCGTCGTGAGCTGCTGGCACCACGACCCGACCATCCGCCCGACGTTCCTCGAGATCATGACCCGCCTTTCGGCCATGCACGGCGACTCGACATCGGCCGGCGCCTTCACCTCCAAGACCGGCTCGTCGTCGTCGTCGGCCACTCGGGCGGCGGACAACGCGGCGGCAGGCCCCGCCTCACCTACAACTCGTGGACCATGCCCTCTACCACCGCCAATTCGTCGTCAACGGGCTCGTCGGCATCGTCCAACTCGTCCAAGAATATGTCGGCAGCCGCTGGCGCAGCGGCCGGGGCCGTGCGAGCACCGGAGGGCGAGGTGGCGATCGTGTTCACCGACATCACGCGCGCCGCCTCGCTCTGGGAGTTCAACGCCGCCGCCATGCGCGACGCCACGCTCCTCCACAACGAGACCCTCCGAAGCGCGCTCCAGAAGCACCGCGGCTACGAGGTGGTGTTCATTCGGGACCGGAACAGCGGCGAGGGCTCCTTCTGCATGGCCTTCCAGCAGGCCGCCGACGCGCTCGCCTGGTGCGCCGAGGTGCAGCAAGAGCTGCTCAAGGTGGAGTGGCCGGAGGCGCTGCTGGAGCACCCGGGGGCGGCGGAGGAATGGGGCGACACTGACGACCGGGTGCTGTACAAGGGCCTGCGGGTGCGCATGGGCGTGCACGTCGGCACGCCCAAGGTGGTGCGTGACCCGATGACGCGGCGTGTGGAGTACATCGGCCCCGTAGTCAACGCGGCGGCCCGCATCACGGCCCTCACGCACGGCGGCCAAATCGTGCTGAGCCACGTCGTCTTTCAGAAGATCCACGACAGCGAGCTCTGCAAGCAGCGCAACAGGATCGCCCGACTCGGCAAGTTCGAAATGCCTGACGCACCGCAAGGCACGACACACAGCACACGACACACGACACACCGCACACACCACCTCACACAACCTAATCCGCTAATTGCGCGCGCGTGTGTGCAGGTGCCAAGCTATACGAGCTAAAGGCTGAGGGCCTCGAGGCACGTTTCTTCGGCGGCGTCACGCTCGATGGCGACCGACCCTCCAACGGCTCCCCGGGATCGGCCGGCGGCGCGCACGATGGCCAGACCCACTCCAGCGAGAACGACGGCACCGTCAGCAGCGACGGCGGCGACGGCGAGCTGCTGACGGCGGTGGGCGAGGGCATGATGTTCAAGGAGGACACCTTTCTCACGTCGGCCAACCTGTGCCGCTGGATCATCGACTACGGCGAGGTCCAGGTGGGCAAGCAGGTGGGCCTCGGGTCCTACGGCGTGGTCTACCACGGGAAGTGGAAGGGCGTGGAGGTGGCGGTGAAGCGGTTCATCAAGCAGAAGCTCGACGAGCGGCGCATGCTCGAGTTCCGCGCGGAGATGGCCTTCCTGTCGGAGCTCCACCACCCCAACATCGTCCTCTTCATCGGTACACGCCCACCACCTCGTTGACACATCTTACGAACAGCACAAGGCTAATGATCTTTTTTTATATTGTCGCAACCAAACAGGGGCGTGCGTGAAGAAGCCCAACCTGTGCATCGTGACGGAGTTCATGAAGCAGGGCTCGCTCAAGGACATCCTGGCCAACAACGCCATCAAGCTCACGTGGAAGCAGAAGCTGCGACTGTTGCGGTCGGCGGCGCTGGGCATCAACTACCTGCACTCGCTCCACCCGGTCATCGTGCACCGCGACCTCAAGCCCTCCAATCTGCTCGTGCGTAGCCCTTTCACTGCGGGGTTGTGTGTTGTTGGTGGTGTGTTGTGTTGTGTACTTACAATGCGCAAACTCGTAAACAGGTGGATGAGAATTGGAACGTGAAGGTGGCCGACTTTGGGTTCGCGCGCATCAAGGAGGAGAACGCCACCATGACCCGCTGCGGCACGCCCTGCTGGACGGCGCCCGAGATCATCCGCGGGGAGAAGTACGACGAGCGCGCCGACGTGTTCTCCTTCGGCATCATTATGTGGCAGGTGGTGACGCGCAAGGAGCCCTTCGCTGGGCGCAACTTCATGGGCGTGTCGCTGGACGTGCTCGAGGGCAAGCGACCGCAGATCCCCAACGACTGCCCGCTGGATTTCAAGAAGGTGATGAAGAAGTGCTGGCACGCCAATGCCGACAAGCGCCCCACCATGGAACACGTGCTGCGCTTCCTCGACGCGCAAGTGGGCGACGACGACGGCTCGGCAGCGGCCTTCACCACCAACGCCCTCGTGTAGTGTGTGTAAATAGTATGTTGTACAGCCTTTCTCTTTTTTATCAGCCAGACTGACACGCTAGTGTAGTAATAATTATAAAATTAGCTTCTTTTTATCAACCGCCCTCTTAGCTCAGCTGGTAGAGCGCACGACTGAAGATCGTGAGGTCGCTGGTTCAAACCCGGCAGAGGGCAATCGATACGAAATCTCTTTTTATGTAAGTGCCGGCGAATGCGGTCGTGCACCAGAGCGATGACAAACGCTTGGTACACCTCGCGCGGGTCCCAGGGCTCCCGGTTGCGCTGGAAGGGCGACCCCGTAGATGTCCTCCCCGCAGCCACTCGGCACTTCGTCTCTGAGTGGGTAGAGGTGGTAGGTGGTGATCTAACACATCAACAGCGCACGACGACTCATTTTGGCTTGACCGCCTGTGTGGTGTGTGAGTCGTGTCGTGTCGTGCGTGTCGTGTGCGTTGTGTTTTAAATGTGTGAAAGAAATGAACAAAAGAAATTGAAAATAAAACTCGAACTTTCCGTGCCTGCCGAGTCGCACGGGCTTGCGGTAAAACGGCACTGCAACAGAACCGAAGCATCAAATCCATATACAGATGGCAGAGCAGCCACCGCCTTGGACCGTAACTTACCACGTATCGCCCCCATTTTCCATCCTTAATCGTTCAAAATGATTTTTCATCATCATTCCATTGTTATTAAACTATAAAACAAAAAATGATTACTGGCTCGTTGGCGCGAGCAGGAGGAGGGTGAACGCGTGCTCGGGTGCAAGCACTACCGACGCGGAAGCCGCATACGTGCGCCGTGCTGCGATGGTGCCTTGTTCACCTGCCATTCGTGCCACGACGAAAAGACCGATCACACCCTCGACAGGCACGCCTTTCAACGCCACTGTCACGGCGGCCTTCCGCACACACACTTGCATATGGCTGACTTGGCAGCTGCACACATAGGTTCGCCGTCCGCCAGATGCAGTGCATGCACTGCGGCCTCGAGCAGCCCGCACAAAAGTGCTGTTCTGCCGAGGGATGCAAGAAGTAAACCCACTGCAATCCCCAGTCTGGCTGTAGCGTGTCCTGATCAGAAGATTTCTCTGCGTGCGTTGTGTGCGTGTCGTGCGTGCGTGCGTGTCGTGCGACAGACAACTGGGACTGTACTATTGTAATATATGCCACCTCTGGAGCGATGACCCAAAGAAGAGCATTTTCCACTGCGTCGATTGTGGGATCTGCCGTATCGGCAAAGGTTCGGCCTTCCACTTCCCCAAGTGCTGGTGCTTGGTCCTGTCTAACCTCTCGAGCGCTGGCGCTGGCTTGGTGATGGTACGCAGGGCTGGGGGTGGACTTTTTCCACTGTAGCAAGTGCAAGGCCTGTTTAGCCATTTCGCTCCAAAACAACCATCAGTGCATCGAGGACGTGCTCAACACCAACTGCCCTGTCTGCTGGGAACACTTGTTCACCTCTCGGTAAGCCAACACACACACACACACACACACGACACACATCACCACACACACGCACCACACGCACACACGCACACACGACACACAGCGCTGACTGCACGCGCGTGATGACGTTTCAAGGGACCCGTTGTCGGTGCTGACCTGCGGGCACTCGATGCACAAGGCCTGCTTCGAGACCTACACGCGGAACGGGTTCTACCGATGTCCGACGTGCCAGCGCATGCTCTTCGACCCGCGGGAAGCGCTCATACGGGAGGTCAAGGTCAAGGCCCTTCGATGGGGCAAGCGCCTCCTCCAGGACCTGATCGCCCTCATCTGCCTCGCCTACCTCGTGGACCGATTCGTCTATGACTACATCTAGAGACGCTACAGCCACAACCACAACACCCTCTTCCTCTTCGTCTTCATCGCGATCGGCTCTTCTCCTTAGAGTCTCAGAATCAAATGGAAATGATGAGGCTGAGGATGATGAGATGGCCATGTCACGGGGATGGTGGGTGTTGTATTGTGTAGAATTGTACAAAAGAACCGGTGGTGTTGGCCTCAACTCACCGCCGCTGATGAACAAGAGGAGAAGGGAGAAGGGAGAAGTAAGGGAGGGCGGGCGGCGACGTGTGTGGCTCGGTTGGACTCTTTGGTGGTTGAGGGCAGAGTAGAGCGAGAGGGAAAGGGGGAGCGATGGTCCGGGGGGGGGTCCTTTACTCGGCGGCAGCACCGCCGTCGCCGCCTCCGGAAACGGTTTTGAGGGCTGCCTCAAGGTAGTCCATCTGCCTCTCCAGCTTCGAAAGCTTCTCGTTGATGCGCGCCAGCTTGTACCGTGTCGAAATGTCTGCCAAAGGGTAATGGATTAATAAAATTGAAAAAGGTGGGCAGTGATTGACGTTGAAGATGTTACGATTGTAATATAAGGGCGTTACGGCACCCGACAAACAGTTGGCGAAATGAACGACAATTAATTAAAACAAAATTGTAGAGGATTGTAGAGGAGGAAGAAGTACCAAAGCGGTTCAAAAATTCGGTGACCTTCTTTATGTTAACCGTGACATCCTCGATGAACTCCCGCTGTTCCCAGTCTCGCTGGATGTTGGTCTTTCCTTTATCCATTTTGTTTGAGGCGCTGGCAATCGAGCAACTGCTTCAACAATGCGATCGGATCTCAACGCGGCTTTGTTTGTTGGTTGCTTGGCGCAGACCAACTCAAAATTGTGCCGAAGATATGGAAGAAAAAGAAAAGCAAAGAGAAAAGAGAAGCGAGCACGTTTGTTGATTCATTGATTGATTTGAAACGTAGCGCAAACCATGCTGAGGCGAGAGGAGGCGTTCGAGCTTTGCGGGGAGGGGGGAGAGGAAGACGACCTTCTTGGATTTGTGGATGATTTCGGGTCTACGCCCCCTCGACCACAGACGCACAGGGCGAGGCGCAAACAGAGCAACGAGCTGTACTCGCCCCAGTCTCCAGATCACCACAGGCCCACGCACACCAACTCCCACGTACAGCCGACACAATTGCAAAATTATGACTCAATTCATCCCAACTCGGCCGTCTCCGCCTCCTCGATAGACCATGCGTCTTCTGCTTCGCCTCAATCGTTTCAGCTGCTGCAACAGCTGCCACCCGCCCTACAGATGGAGGTCATCGTGCACCTGAGGGTGCGGGACGTGTGCGGCCTCGCCCTCGTGTGCCGGGACTGGGCGGCCTGGGCCCGCTCCGATGACTTTTGGCGCCGGCTGCACGCCCAACGCTTCGATCCCTCGTCGACCGCCCTACCCTCACCATTCACGGCTTCTTTCCCTTCTCTGTCTCCTCCCTCCTCGGCCTCTCCTTCATCATCGTCGTCGTCGTCGTCATTGGCGCCTTTGCCACCGCAGGCTTGGTCATCGCAAGCACCACGGCCGCACCAACCACTGTCGCCTCGCAGCTCACCGCTAGACTCTCCTTCTTCGACGTCGAAGTGGCGCGAAGACTTCAAGATCCGACACGAGCGTGCGCGCGGGTGGCGACGGAACAACTACCGAGAGGTGGTGATGCGCGGGCACCAGGCAGCCGTCACCACCGTTCGCATATGGAGCGCCAAGGATCGGGTCTTCAGCGCCTCTGCAGACAGGTACACGAGCTTGTGCATGCAGACTGTGCGAGTGTCGTGCGGTGCAAACAAATTCTTGACCGTGTCTGATGCGTTGGGTGCCTTGCCTTCCTACCATAGTACAATCCGGGCGTGGAATACGACCAACGGAAAGGCTGTGGGCGCGATCCGCGGCCACATCGGCAGCGTCATGTGCCTCCACCGAAACGAGACCAGCTTGGCCAGCGGCGGTGAGGACAAGAGCGTCAAAGGTACCAACCGCGCAGTCCTCGGAAACCACAGTGTGAGGTTGATCACTGCGTTCATGAGCTCACACTCACTCCCACGTGTCGCAGTATGGGATCTCACGCAGGGGAAGATGGTGCGAAGCATCACCGTGCACCGCGGAACCGTTTTATGTCTGCAGATGGACGACACCAAAGTTGTGTCAGGTGCGTGTTCGTGTTCGTGTTCGTTTGGACACATGTGTCGTGTGTCGTGTGTCATGTGTCGTGTCGTGCGTGCGCATCGGTTATGCGCGTGAGCAAGAAAGGATGCAACACTCACCATAGGCACACGATGCCACTCTCCTGGCGGAACAGGAGGCGCCGATGGTGCTATTCACCTGTGCGACCTGCGGAAGAAGGAGCCGGAGCGCATAGCGTTTCAGCACAAGAGCACCGTCGTCCGCGCGCTCCAGTTCGACGACAGCTGCCTCGTGGTGGGCACCGAGACCGGTGCCATCCGCGTCCTCGACCTCAGTAGCGGTGCGTACGCCAACACCCCATCCCTCCGCTTGCTTCTTGGAATTTGAGCAATGCACTCACTTCCCAACCCGATACCTCGCCCTTTCCAGGCAGGTGCATGCAGATCTTGGCCGGCGAACACGCACGATCGGTGTCGAGCGTGCAATTCGACGAGAGGCGCATTGTCTCGGGCTCGCCGGATTGGAGCGTGCGGGTGTGGGACCGCGTCACGGGCCAGTGCGTGGAGGAGCTCGAGGAGCACATGCGCGGAGTCTTCGCCGTGCGCTTCGACCGGCAGAAGCTGGTGAGCGGCGGCGGCGACCGGCTGGTCAAGGTGTGGGACTGGGACGACGACCTGTGGTGCATCAACACCCTTCGCGGACACACCGGCCCCGTACTGAGCGTGGACTGCGATGACGTGCGCCTCGTCAGCGGAGCCACCGACCACACCGTGCGGCTGTGGGACTTTAGCGATCCTGACTACGTGCGTGGACCGCCTGCGGCTGGCGGCCTCGACGCCCTCGTGTCCGTGGCTTCATTCGCTGGCACCACGACCAACGAGGACTGTGTCATCCAGTAGACGTACAGCTTCATCCTCGTCGATCGGTGTAGCCCGGTCATCTTCATCCTCGTCTCCTTGCACTGGACAGACCAACCGGCTACGAGGACCCCTGAATCGGGCGTAATGCCCCAACCAGGATCGGTGGTCGGCCACTTCACCACATAACACGCCGAGGCGGAAATACTCATAACGGCCGAATGCTCTTAAAGAATACCATGCACCCACACGTCAGGGCAATCTGGCGGTGTGCCCTTCGAACCCGTGATACACAGCAATTGCGGTTGCGTGCGTTCCGTGCAAGCCGATCTGCTGGTGATTGGGTGTCGATGGATTGAGTCAACCGTTGGGAGGGAAGATGTTCCTTAACTATTTGAAACAGGTCAGATGCCTGGCGCTGGGACATAGTTCGCATACACTTGTGATGCCTGGCACCGGTCCCAAGACACCACCTTGTGTGCGGGTGCACCTCTCTCGCTTGACTTGCCGCAGCTGGACGCTCCCCGTCGTCGTGCTGGGAATCGGCAAACGAAGAAGAAGAAGAAGCGAAGAGCACGTCGCGCTAGCTGAAGTTCTTCGTTCTTTTCGTCTTCATCCTTCTTCGCCCACCTCCCTTGCCATCATCAACCTCCCAGCGATCGTTCACCACCAGAGAGCTTCCTGCGCTTTGCAACAAAGCCTGGGATTCTCGTGAGCGCCGCGTGTCAACCCAAGCGTCAAGGGCCACGCGCGAAGGCAGCACTTTCCTTCCCGCACCACCGGCAACCGCCACGACACCTCAACCAGCTCCCGTGGGCTGGTTGCGAAGCCCACGCCGCGCAGCCGAAAAGGAGAGGAACAAAAGGGTGAAGCCCGTAGACGTGCACCATAACGAGAGAAGATTTGAGTTGATTACGCAACGAATTCGAGAAAGAACGCGCTCGAGAAGATGGATGGAGAACAGGGCAATCCGTATCCCTATCAGCGCTGGGGCCACCAGAACGGCAGCTCTGCACACCAACAACCCAGTCTCGCCAGCCCCCAACCCCTCGCCGGCGACAATCATCACCATCATCTACACACGCAGCCAGCGCATCATCACCAAGAAGACGGTTGCAGATTCGGCCAATCCGATGCTGCTCACCCTCAATATTCCTGCTACAAAACGGCCGAACCCAGCCCCACCCTCATGGCGTCGTTGTTGCACCTTGTCGAGGGCGACGCACCTTCACCTTCTACTGCAGCAGCCGCCACGTTTGCATCTTCGGCCAAATCATCTTTCTTCCCCACTCCTACCTCCACCCATCATCCATATCCCGCCCTCCAGCAGCAGCTCCCGTACAGCGCTACGGCGTCGGCAGATGATCAAGAGTGGGATGAGGTGGTGGCCTACCTCTCGCGCCAGCCGTGGCCCGCCACGCTCCCACCGCAGCTCCAGGAGCTCACGACGGGCCACGAGGCCCACTACCCGGCCGCGCTCATCACCACGCCACCGACGTCTGGCACCAACGGTCGCCGCGCCGCCGCTGCTGCTGCTTCGTCGTCTTCTTCGTCTTCATCTTCATCTTCTTCGCCCATCCTTCTCGGACCGCAGCTCGCGCCTCAGGCCTACGACTACGACCACCAGCAGCAGACACTGTACCAACATCCCGACCACCACCTTTGGATGCACAACCACGCCCGTCACGCCACCACCAGCCCGGCCGCTGGCGGCCAACAGCGCAAGCGCAGACACCGCGGATCAGGTACAGCCACCACCCATGCTTGTGACTCGTCGAATGAAGTGTACTTCATTCTCTTATTTATTTTTTAATTGATAAATAAATAAGAGAAGTTGATCGAATTTATTATTATTTTGGTTGATCGCGCGTTTTTTGGAATCTGCTACGGTTGCGGCGTGGGATTTGGGCGCTAACCACCGGTGCTATTGTGCGTGTATGGCGTGACAGACAATATGGCGCGAGGCGGCTGGACAGCGGCGCCCACGACGGGCAGGAGCAACACAACAGACGGATATGCGCTGAGGGATGGCATTGGCGTGGATGGCTCGCGCGGTGACGCCGGTGTCAGAGCCGGAGACCTGTTCGACGGTTACTTCTCGCCAGTGGACGCCACTGCGCTACATGACGAGCGAGCGAGTCTACAGCTGATCACACCCACCGCTGCGACAGCGTCGCGTCTGCACCAGGCAATGACAACTGATCAGGCCGAGGGCGAGGAAGAGGAGGAGGACAGCAACGCGGACGAGGGAGCCACGCTGCATCCCTACACCAAGTCAGCGCTTCAGCGACCATCGAAAGCGCTCACGAAGGTGGCGGCGCTGGGCCGGAATAAGGCGCGGCGCATATGGACGGAGGACGCACACCTGCGGCTGGCGGCGATGGGACTCTGCTACCTCGACACGTATCGCAAGAAGGTCTGGGTCTACGCGACCATCCACCCGAGCGCAATGGTCGGCGATAACGTACGGTCGAGCCTCGAGCGCGGCTTCGACGGGTGGACCAGCCAGGAGGAGGCCACGCTCGGCGTCAGCGTGCTGATGGTCCTGGCCCAGGGTGCGTAACGCTTAGATAGGGAGCCGCGTCTTTGATCTGGTGACACACGTACGAAGGCTGAAGGTGTTGTTGGTATTTGGGGTTGTGCACAGGTGCGGCGCAGGCTGGCGACAAGAAGATGGCGAAAGAGTTCTTCATGAAGGCGCGCCAGGCAGCTGTCTACGTTGGCGGTGATAGCTCCGATTATACTCTGGCTGAGGTATCGCCCTCCTACCTTCTGTTCATTACATTGGGACACGGACGATCTCTTTCGCAGTGAACTCGTGGCTAAGCAACTCTTCTTCCCCTTTCTTCCTTTCCTAAAGGCGTTGGTGTCGATTGCCATCTTTGCGCACACCGAAGGTGAGATGGACGATCGCGAGGTGCATCAGATACTCGATAAGGCGATGCAGATATGTCACCGAGTCCCTGCCCTCAACAGGTCGGCTCACTGCGCGTTGTGTTGCGTTGTCGTCGCAAGAGTCAACGTTGACTAACTACAACTCTTGTGGTGTTTCACAGTGACGCCTACCACCGATGCATGTTCATGAAATCGATTCTGCGGTTCACCAGCCCGAGCGATATGCGGATGTTGGACGAGGCCTTCTGCTCGGTGAAGAAGCTCCCGTACTACACCTACTTCGTGGACGGCCAAACGCGCGAGGCCATGCCCTATGGCATGTCCGTAATGCAGGGAATCGCCGACACGGCGATCGTTCTCTTCCACGTCATCATCGCCCTCGACATGAAGAACCAGGGCTTTGCGAGCGGTTGCGCGACTGCGGGTTCTCACCACATGGTAAGTAACCGGTTGCCGCCCCTCACCTTTCTCTCTCTCTCTCTCTCTCAACGCTCGCGTCGTGTTTTCTCGTGAGCTCAACTTGTTTGGCGGCACACAGGACAACGACATCGTTCAGCTCGTGCGGACCGTGCTAGCCTGGAAGTGCGACTAGAGACCATTGCGAAGGACTGGCCGCCTTTCATGTATCTCAGCTTACGCTTGTGCGCAATAGCTAGCCGAGCTCAGTGCTTCTGGATGCTCGGCCTCCAACGCCAGGTTCGCACACTCCCCTTTATGATAGCGCATTGCTGTTATTATTCCTTTACCGAGCTTTGATATTACTTATCATTATTTAATACTGATCATTATATTAATTGTAACAAACAGGCCTACAAGTGCATCGAGGACTATATCCAGCTCTCTCAGAAGAGGAAGCTGGACTCTTCCTTCGAGTTCCTTGGACCGCCGGTCCTGCGTGCGGACCAGATGATCCTCTCCATTCTCGCCGAGAAAGACGACGTACGCACCTCTACCGCATACCCCTCCCCCCCGACAAGTCCTCTTGCTGTGCTCACCACATCTGTTTGTTCCAGGGCGAGTTGGTGTTCGAGATGTTCGATGCGATGAAGATCAACGTGGAGAAGATGCCGGGCCTCCGAAAGCTACGCGAGCGGTACGACTATCTCCTCGACCGCAAGTCACCACAGGCCGCCAACGGGTCATCGTTCGCTTCATTCCCGTCGTCGTCTTCGTTCTTTCACCCGGCGGTCGCTTCGTTCCTCACCGGCGCTCAGCGCTGCTCCGGTCCGGCACCTCCGCAGACATCGCCGGCGACCGTCTGCTGTCCTCCTTTCTCTCCGGCAGTTCGATCAGACTTCCCCTCCCCTCCTTCTTCGTCTCGCGCTACCCACCTCTCCTCGACACCACCAGCTTCGTCTGCTCTCTTCTCGGCCACGGTGCCTCCGCTTGCAGGCAAGATGCCCGCGGAGCCTCCCGCCGTGACATCTTCGCCTCCGCGACAGCCGGTGGACACTCTTCTATTCGGTCACAACGTGCCCGCGGCCGCCGCGGCGTCGCACTCCACTTCCTCCGATGTTGCCACGTCATCATCCACGCCAGCAGCAGCGCCTTCTCAGCTACTGGAGCCCCAGAACGCCGAGTTCTTCGCCGAATTGCAGCGCAAGGAGCGCGCTATGACCGCCCTCGTAAGTCCCTCTCCCCCTTCACAATCTCTTTACCGTTAACATTAACCGGATGGAGTGGCTCACCCGTCTCTTCACACGGAGCAGGAGCAACGCATGTACAAGGTGAGGGCCAGGACGCAGAACCTGGACGAGCGCATCGAGTCGCTCGAGGAGCTCGTAGCCATCTACGAGACCATCGTCACCGCTGAGGATGCCGACACCGCTGCGAAGGACCAGTTGGGTGCTGCTGCCAAGCAGGAGCGGCGGAACGGGAGCTCCGGCGGTCGGCCACGACGAGACGCACGCGGCGGCAAGGCGGGCAGACCCAAGACCAAGTGCGGGCCCAGGGGCTACGACGAGCGAGCCGACGCGCACCTATCGACGCCGCTCGAGCTTCTCGACTCGCCGTGCGCTTCATCGTCATCGTCGCCACCGTCGCAGACGACGTCTTCCTCGCCGGTCATGTCGCCCTCCCAACAGCCCGGCTGGGAGGGCGGCGCCGTCCCCTCTCGGCTGCCGCCGTCATCTTCTTCGTCATCGCTTTCGTCTTCGTCGTCGGCCATCTTTCCTTCTTCATCGCCCGAGCTGGTCCTCACCGACGAGGAGGAGTTCTTCCGCGAGATCTTTGCCGCAACGAATGATGAGCCACACCGACACGACACTCTCTTTCCATCGTAGTATGTACGTAGAGCACCGCATGCATGTACACAGCAACAACATCATCAACGCGACTTATTCAGTCCTTTTAATAGTGGGCACGCTCCTTTTTTGATCCCTTATGTGACGTTACACGGTGATTAACGAGTCGACATTTAACGATTTATGGTTCACACGAGTTTGAGTTGACCGTAACGGACCTCTCGAGTGTACAGGTCTTCACCGCATTCCTTCTTTTCCCATTTGGTGTATTTGTTTGATTGTTTGATTGTTTGACAAGTTGTCATCAAAGGCTGTGTGGTGTGATGGCGGTCCCCCCGCCTCACGAGCGACCTCCTCTTCGGCTCGTACTCCCCATTTCGTTTTCCCTCTTCATCTTCCTGTCTCTGCTTTGCGTCAATCCAGCATTGGCCAAACCGCCCCTCTCGGGGAAGAGGCATGCCTTCTCACCCCCGCCCGAGCCGCGCCGCATCATCACGCCCCCGTCGGCTCCCCGAGGCGAGGCCATCGCCCCCTCCAAATCCTCGCGCTCGCTCCCCTCCATGCCAGTACCCCCCCCCCACCACCTCTTTCGCCAAGGGGCGCCTCAGTACATTTTTTGCATTCCTTACCCTGCGACCATGTGTAGGACGCGTTCTGGGACGACTTGGTAGAGCGCAACAGAGAGGAGCGGTCGGGGTATGGAGGGAGGTCATCGGCAAACAACGACGACAGAAGGAGGAGGGACACTCGGGCGGCAGCGCCCAAGCCGGATTGCCTCTACGTCTCGGGCTATTCGAGCGAGGTGAAGCGCGGCTTCGCGTACAGCAACGGAAAGCTGTACGTGTTCAACGATGCCGGCGACTACCAGTCCCAGTACCTCTCCGCGCCGATGGCCCTCGGCGTCGACTACCACACCGACACCCTCTACGTCTCCACGTCGTCCAGCATTGACCAGTACCTCCCTGTGCCGGCGCTTTGTTCTTTGTTGCCTCGTTGGCGCATTATGCCGACTGCCCCATCCCGCGCAGGATTGAGATTGGGCGCAACATGTCGAACGGTGACAAGTACTGCACGTGCTCCTTTTCGACCAAGGAGGTGGACGTGTTCGACATCCAGTACGATGCATCTCTTCAACATGCATTATATTGGCAGGACGACGTGTCGTGCACTCACTCACTCTTTGGCTTGATGTGTGCGTACAGGACGTTGGACGTGAATCAGGCCGATGGCGGTGTGTACTTTGGCTTCCACAACGAGATCTGCTACAAGCCCAATAACTCTTCGTCGGCCTCCTGCTGGGTGTGGCCGAACTCTTTGGTGCCCGACAATGAGGAGTTCAAGTACATTTACATCAACCAACGTACGAAACCTCAGCTCGCACACGCACACGCATCTCAACACAGACTGCAATGGCACTCATTCGCTCTCCAGATTCGCAAAAGCTGTACGCGTTGTCGAGTATCGCCATGTGGGTCTACTATTTCGAAGTGAATCCCAATGCCTCTCTCTGGCTCGGTGGCCTGTGGGGCTCGCCCGGCTACTTGAACTCCTACGCCCGAAACTCCAAGTTCACAGGTCTGCTCTCTTGTTTAACTTGCCACTCACTTGATTTATTGACTCACTGTGCATGCGTGCGTGCGTTCGATTCCTGTGCGTGTGCGCGCCGGTGCAGGGGTTGCAAGCAGAGACGACTCCGACGAGATCTACCTGTCGCTGCCCTCCTTCGATTACGTAGAAGCGGGCACAGGAGACACCAAGACCTCGAGTTGCCTGGTGGTCGAGGCGAGTCTCGACGCCTGGACCTTGAGCGGCTGCTGGATTCCCGAACCCGGTCTGCAGGCCGACCAGATCTACGAGCCCTTCTTCCTCTACCACCACGACGGCTACTTCTACAGCTTCATACCCAACGCTCCACCCGGAGGTGGCTCAGACACAACAAACGCGGTACATCCCTCCCCCTTTGTTTATTTTGTTTTATAATAACAAACAATAACAACAAATTATATTATTATATAATATGGCAGTTGCTCCGCATGGATCTCCAACACAAGACCGAGGATGACAGTCTCCTGGAGATGGCCGAGGATTGGGACTGGTTCATCGACCGAATCTCCTCGCCCACCGACCTCCTCTGGGCGCCGTGCCCCTACGTGCCGTCGCCTTCGCCCTCTCCGCGAGCGTTGAGCGCCTCGGCGGACGGATTGTCAACCGCCGCCATCATCGCACCCGTCGTTCTGGGTACTTGCTCTCGCTGCCCCCTCTTCTCTCATTCTTGGCCCCACCAGCTCACCATCGGCTGTGCATGTGTGTGGTGTGTGTGTGGATGCAGGCTCGCTCTTGGTTCTGTTTGTGGCGGGCCTCATTGTCGGCATTCTGGCGTGGAACTACCACCGCAAGAGGCGGAAGTACTACGCCGGCCAGGAGCTCTGCTCCGACGAGATCGAGTTGGGCATGGTCAAGTTCACCTACCGTGAGATCGAGTACCAGGACCTCAAGCTGGGTCGGCTGCTGGGCGAGGGGGCCTTCGGCAAAGTGTACAAGGGCGAGTACCGGTAATATTCACAGCCTCTGCGCACGCACGCACATGACACACACACACACACACACACACACAACATTAATGGACTCGATGACCCTGCAGAGGGGCTGTGGTGGCCGTGAAGCTGTTCGAGGCGCTGCGCCTGGATCAGGCCGACGAAAAGGTGCTCAACGAGCTGCGCATGGAGGCGCAGATGATGGAGCGCCTCTCGAACCACCCGAACATTGTGAAGTTTGTCGGCGCCATCACGCGAGGTGAGTACTCGGACCTGGCCCACGTCGAACCTGCTCCCAGTGCGGGTGCTGACGTCACCACCGATCATTGTGCGCTGTCATACCAGGAAACGAGGGAGCCAACTTCGCGCTGGTGACCGAGTTCTGCTCGCGTGGGTCACTTTTAGATCTGCTGGTGAAGAAAAAGAAGAAGCTGCCGCTCATCACGCTCGTCAGGATGGCCCGCGACGCTGCGTCGGGCATTCTCCATCTTCACAAGGTTAGCCACCTCACCGCCGCCACCACCACCACCACCACCACCACCCCCCCACCACCACCACCACCACCACCACCACCACCACCACACCGCTAATGGCACGTCGTCTACAGGAGCACATTGTACACCGTGATATTGCAGCTCGTAACATCCTCGTGGGCCAGAATTACGGTACCGCCCCAACAGCCGTGGGAGATCTCGGCGCCCATGTGGGGCATGTGTGACTCACACGAGCTGCATTGGTGGCAGAGGTGTACGTGGCCGATTTTGGGCTGGCCCGAGCTCAGGAGGCCGAGGGCCAAGTGGCCACCACCAAGCAGAACTTTGGCCCCATCTCCGTATGCATTGCCACTCACCCAAGCGACTGCAATCAACTTTCCTAACGAATTGGGTGGACAAAATTGCAGTGGATGGCGCCCGAAGCGTTGAGGTCACGCGAATACTCGGAAGCCACCGACGCCTTCTCCTTCGGCGTACTCCTGTGGTATGTACACCACATTGCATTGTACTGGCCAACAGGTAGTTGCGTTATATGCACCCACCACCACACTCATACCACAACAGGGAAATGGTGGAGCGGAAGCGTCCGTGGGCGGGCATGGAGGCCGTCCAGGTCGTGACCGCGGTGACCACCAACACGCGGCTCAAAATCCCCAAGGACTGCGACCCGGTGTTCCAGCGGCTCATGAAGATGTGCTGGCGCCAGAATCCCGCCCATCGGTAAGCTCTGCCGCCTTTTTGGAATGCACAGTGATCTGTGAGTAACATTGTGTGGCGTGTGGCGTGTGGCGTGTGGCGTGTGGCGTGTGGCGTGTGGCGGTGGCGTGTGGCGTGTGGCGGTGCAGGCCATCGTTCGAGAAGATGGTGAACACGCTCTCGGACTACTACAAGACGCTCAAGCAGTACCAGGACGCCGACGCCGACGCCTTCGAGGCGAGCGGCAAAGACTCCGACGATGAACCAGAAGGTAGACCAGACCACACCATATCATTTTGCAATCATTCATGTAATTTCATTACAACCTAACATTTTACCTAGATTTGGGAGAGGGCATGAGCTACGAGGAGTGGCAAGCCCGACGCATCAAAGACGAGGTCAAGTCCTTCATGAAGCAGCTCATCACCGAGGTAGGCCTGCCTTATATCTGGTAATTGTTGCCATTCCACGACTAACTTTGGTTGCAGCGTAACGACGACTATCACACGGTGGCGGGAGCCGCGGCGGTGGCCCTGCACGAGCTGCGGTCGGCGTTCGGCGTCGAGGGCGAGGAGGGAGAGACGGTGCCGCTGCTGGCCAAGAAGCAGTCGAGCGGCCAGCTCTCGCGCAGCAAGCCGCTCAAGGGCTCGGACACGCCCGCCTCGGGCAAGAAGATCATCTACGACAGCCTCAACGAGAGCAAGGCGAAGAAGATGGGCCTCACGAAGAACAAGAAGAAAGAGAAGACCGGCGAAGAAGAAGAGGGGGAAGATGAAGATGACGGCGACATCCAGTTCACGGGCGAGTCGATGCGCTACGCGGGGGCGGGTGCTACGTCGGCCGGCAGCATTCTCGACAGTTCGATGTACTTGGGGCTCGACGAGGCGGCCAAGGGAGGCGAGAGCAACCAGAACCTGGAGCGGGAGGACTCGGGCGAGCTCGTAAGGAAGCGGAAGCCGAACCCGAAGCAGATCGCGTCGGCGTCATCGTCGTCGTATGCGTCGTTGTCGGCGTCGGAGTTGTCGGCGCCGTCCAACCAGGCCAACGCCACGAGCCCGGCCGGCCCCTCGCCGCAGGGCGACGCGGCACCGGGCAAGGCCGAAGCCGGAGACGAAGATCAGATCTACCTTTTCCAGGCCAACGCCGAGACGGATGAGGAAAGAGAGAAAGAGAAAGAGAACGAGAACGAAAACGAGAAAGCGACAGAGAACGAAGGCGAAGAGGAGGCGGAGGCGGAGGCAGAGGCGGAGGGGAAGGGCGGAGCCAAGAAGTCGAAGAATCCGCTCATGAAGAGTCTGGAGGCGATGAAGAAGCTGAGCGAGCGGTCGCTCAGGAAGAGCGATGGTGGCGGGTTGAAGAAGACCATAGAGAAGAACATGGAGAAGAACGAGAAGAAGCGAGGTAAGAGCGAGCAGGCGCTCAAGAGGAGAGAGACCAAGAAGGCCGAGGCCGAACAGAAGAAGAACCAACAAGAGCCTAAGAAGAGCGCCGAGGCCGAGCTGCCGGCGCCGCCGGTTGCGGCCCCGCCGCAGCAGTGGCTCATGCCAGAAAGAAAGGTTAAGGTCTCCACGCTGGGCTCGAGCATCAGAGAGCAGGACAGCTTCTACGCCTCCATCCTCGACTCCAAGCAGAGCCTGGCCCTGGGAAGCGACGATGAAAGCGACGACAGCAGCAGCGACAGCGACTAGACCCCATCTTGCTCTGCAGTGTGCAATTTTTGTTTGTGGGTTGACACAATTTTTTTGATAATCGTGAAGAGACGTGGGCAGCCACCTTAAGGTGTTATGTGTGGTCAGTAGCCTTTGTGCCAGTCGACGGGGAAGAGGAGGTCGCGCCCGGCCACGTAGCGGACCAGGTTCTGCCGGAAGAGCCGGGCCACGTCGCGACCGAAGGAAATGGCGGCCACGTGCGGCGTCACGACCACCTCCGGGTGGGCCGACCACAGGCGCGATGGTGGCGCCAGCGGCTCGGACTTGAAAACGTCGAGCACCGCGCCGGCGATGTGGCCCCGCTCGAGCGCCTCCAGGATGACGTCGCCCTCCTGCTTCTGCTTCTTCATCATCACCTGCTTGTCATTGGTATCGTCGTCACTGTCACCTTCATCGGCAATCGAGTCGGCCTCTTCGTTGAGAATGTCGCCTCGGCCGATGTTGATGAAAACGGCGCCGGGCTTGCACGCCGAGAACTCGCGGAGGCCGAGCAGGCCCTTGGTCTGCGGCGTCGACGGCAGCGCGTTCACCACGTAGTCGCACCGCGACAGAAAGACGTCGATGTCCTGTGGGGCAAACCAGTTCGTGAGACACAGTGACGATGGTGGTGATGACGATGACGATGATAAGACGTACTCGCCGGCCGTGGTTTCCGGGCGTGGTGGCGTGCGTTTCGAAGAGTTCGTCGACGGCGCCGGCGTTGAGCATGTGGTGATAGCGCTCCTTGCTGCTGACCAGACCCACCACCCGCATGTCGAACGCCTTGCCCACCCTCGCCAACTCGCGTCCGATGTCGCCCAGGCCCATGACGCCTGTTTGCTCGCCCGCGTAGATGTGTGAGCAAGAACGAAAGCGATGAGCCGTCGTTGTGCGAAAACGACGAAAGAGCGAACTGGGAAGAGAGCGAACCGAGAGTGAGGGAGGAGAGAGACCGGTAGTCGTAGCCGTCGTGCGCGCCGCGCCACTCCTTGCGCTCCTGCAAGTCGCGCAGCAGCGGGAGCTTGCGCTCGCGCGACAGCACAAAAGCGAACACGTACTCGGCCATCGGCTTGCCAAACACTCCACCCAGCCGCGTCAACCCGAACGAAGGCACCTGCTCGTTCACGTCAATCTCGCTTGCGTGCGTGTTGCGTGTGCGGCCGCGCGTGTTGCGTGTGCGGCCGCGCGTGTGCGGTGCGTACTGGCTTGTGCGGCTGTTCGTGGCCGAGCGCTCTGAAGAGGCTGTCCACGCCGGCCCAGGTCGATTGCATCCACCGCAGGTCGCCGGCCTGGGTGGTGGCCAGGTGGTGGAGGTGGGGCGCCACCAGGGCCGGGTCGGCCACCACGACCTCGCTCTCGCGCAGCAGCGCCACGAGCTTGCGCGCTTCGTCGGCTTCGTCGGCTGGCGCGGCGCCCGAGGGCGGAGGTGCGTAGGCGACGAGCTCCAGCTCGAACGCGGGTTCGGCCGCCTCACCTTCTCGTGTCGCATTACCAGCAGAAGATGAAGATGAAGATGTGGAAGTGGAAACCAGGAAAGGGGCGCACTCGAGGCGCAGGTCGCGTTCGAGGTCAGCGATACGTGACACCACGAGCGCCTTCACCCGACGCACCGTCTTCTGCATCTGCTTGTTCTCTCCTTCAGTTTTTTGTTTTTTATTTTCCAGTTTTTCAAAAGCGCATGATCGATGCAGCCGGAGCAGCAGTGGTGGGCGGTGACGTGCGGGCGGGGCATGGAGCGGTTCGCGGCGCTGGAGGTGGCCCACAAGCTGCAGCCCATCAGCGTTCGCCCCACCGACGGCAAACTGCACTTCCTCCTGCCGTCTGCCGCGGCATCTCCACCCGCCCAGGCCGCACCACCGCCATCGTCATCTTCATCCTCATCTTCATCTTCACTACCAGCGCCCGCCCAAGGAGACCAGGTGCTGAGTCGGCTGCGAGGGCTGAAGACCGCCGAGCGACTGTTCGTGCAGGTGCTGGCTCACTTTGAAGAAGAAGAAGGTGGTGATGGCCGTAATGGCGAGGCTGCCAAGGACAAGAGTCCACGCACGATCAAGAGCGCCACGGGAGCCAACCCCTTCAAGATCTACGAACACGGTACCACCCGCGCCTGCACTACATGCGTTAGTAGTCGTGCGCGTGACTAACAAGGTTTGCTGATGGCACTACTGATGATGCCCAGGAGGACTCTTCGTGATGGTGGGCTGGGCCGTGAGCTACGCCCACTTGTGGGAGCAAGCCGTGCGTTCCTTGCGCCAGTACGTACTCGAGTCTTGTCGTGCAGCAGCTCATCACTGCGTGTGGGACTCACTTCCCGACCCACTTGATTGTGTG